GAGTGCAACGGCTTGCCCGAAGCAGCTAATTACTGGAAACAAGTCATAAAGGTGAACGACTATCAGAAGATCCGGTTTGCAAACCGGGTTGTTTCTTCAATGTTTAACACCGTCTCGGGTAAGAAAATCGCCATCCTCGGTTTCGCCTTCAAGAAGGACACAGGTGACACCAGAGAGACTCCTGCCATTGATGTTTGCAACAGATTAGTTGCTGACAAGGCCAAGCTGAGCATATACGACCCACAGGTTCTTGAAGAACAGATCATGAGAGATCTTTCCATGGCTAGGTTTGACTGGGACCACCCGGTTCCTCTGCCGCAGTTTAAAGCTGAAGGTATCTCAGAGCAAGTGAGTGTCGTAACAGATGCTTACGAGGCGACGAAAGATGCGCACGGCCTTTGTGTGTTGACCGAGTGGGATGAGTTCAAGTCCTTGGACTACAAGAAAATCTTTGACAATATGCAGAAGCCTGCTTTTGTGTTTGATGGTAGGAACGTCGTTGATGCAGTGAAGCTGCGTGAGATTGGGTTTATCGTCTACTCCATTGGTAAGCCGCTTGATTTATGGCTCAAGGACATGCCTTCTGTGGCATGAAGGTGTCAGCTTCGAGCAGCTAATATATCTTTTTCTATATAATATAGTATACCTAAATTTCATTTCTATTCCTGATTTTTGTTGTAACGTCTGAAGCTGAACAATGATGAAATAGTATCAAAACTTTATATTTCTTCTCTCAACATGATAAGAAATATCTTATTATATGGTAAAAGCCTTCCCAAATGATAACAAATCTTGTGCTTTTATGTTATTGAAATTTGGGTTTATCTGTACCGGGGAGGAAAATAAGGAACGAAAATGTTAAAATTACAAAACAGTAAGGACTAGAGAGAAAAGTGTGCTGCTCTTTAATTTTGTGGTCCAGCTAATTTTTAGGGATTTTTGCGGGTCAACCCGAATTAGTGTTTGGGCTGCTTTGTTATTAAAAATAGCTTGAACGGTATCCACCTTCCTCGATTTTATCTTCTTTTCGTGTTCTTCCCCAAATTTTCAACGTAATCCATTTTTTTTTCGTTTTACTGGGATATCTAAATTTATCTTATAATTGATCTGTTGTTTCATCCAATTCTCGTTTCCCTCTATCTATTGATACCAATTTTTATCTATTTCGTTTACCAAAACAAATCTAGGGTTAGGGTTATCGATCTCCTCACACGTTGTATAATTTCTTGATCCATCGTTCTCGTACGCGATTTAGAATTTTGATAGATATCCCTTTTTATTTTGATGTTAATTCACGTTTTTCGTCCCCAATTGAGATCTAGGGTTCATATTTTCCGATCTATCTCAGGGCTTGCCAGATCTGTAAATTATCAAAGGGCTTTCTCTTGATTTGTATATATTCTCTCAATTCTTATCTATTTTACACTTGATTTGGTTAATTTCTGGGTAGGTTGGATTCTAGGGTTAAGGTTTCTTCTGATTTGGGGATTTTTGATTTTTTTTTTTTAATTCCAGCTTAAGCCCCTGAACTCTGAAGATTCTTGTTTTTTGGTATTTAAGTCTTCTGGTGACGTTCTGGTTTGGTTCTATCCTTTGTGCAGTTGGCCTGAAACATTATCTGAGCTTGTCCTTCTGTAGAGGTAAATCAATAATACACATATTATCTAAACATTTTGTTCTTGTCTGAAAATAGTTTTGTAAACATTTCTGCTTCTGATAGTTCTGTTATTTTACTGGTTTCTTTGTTTTGGTGCATGCCTGTTTAAGTAGTAATGTCAGTGTAGTCATTGTCCATAGAGGAATTTTTTACTGTTTAGGCATCTTACATACGGTCTCTTGCATGCATTTCTAAGGATTCAAGGTTCTCTCATTTTTTCTTTTTCGTCCTTCGACTTTATAGTATTTCATCTCACGTTATGCAGATTGAAAAATGGGATTCAAACGTCCTTTCGATGATGAGAAATTTCATGAGCTCCCGCTCAAACATTCTAGACAGCTTGGCTATGGCGATAAGTCAACTCAGTTTGAAGAGTTTGTTCCTCGCCAAGCCGTTTCGCAGAAATCTCTTTCCACGGGTAACTATAACTTGTTTGTAAAATTTTCAATGAGAGGACAAGACTGTTGCTATGTGATTAATATTTTTCTTCTGAATGGGTTTATTGGACAACAGTAAACGAGGAAGATGTAGTTGATGGTAAATCACCTGATGGTGAAACCTTTGATGAAGAGTCCAGTTTTGTTTACACGGGTCTTAACATGGATGGTGCTTTTGATCGGGTCATGGAAGGTTGCGACGGGAAGGATGCAGCTCAGTCTCCAACGTATCTTGAGCGTTGTATGCCTCCAAGAGTATTTGCTTCTCTTGAGAGTTACTATACTTTCCTCTTGGATCAGCCTCCTAGAAAGCAAGTTCCCATTGGACCAGCTCATCAAGCTATAATTCCTGAATGGGAAGGTAGTCAGAATGAGAACCAAGAGCTCTCAGGCACGTCTGTTCAGAATCACATCATTGGATGTGAGGACGGTGAGAAGCTATCTGGTACATGTGTTACGCCTGCGAATATGGATGAGATGGTTGGGAAAGGTAGAGAGTTCTGCGTCTGCAGTGACAGGGGCTCTATAAGGTGTGTGCGGCAGCACGTGAAAGAAGCTAGAGAAGAACTGGTTAAGATGCTTGGATTTGAGAAATTCAGAGATTTGGGTTTCTGTGATATGGGAGAAGAAGTTGCACCGAGGTGGAGCGATGACGATGCGATACTGTTCCATGAGATTGTTTATTCTAATCCCGTGACATTAGGTCGGAACTTTTGGCAGCATTTGGAAGCTGCGTTTTGTTTCCGAACCATGAAGGAGATTGTTAGCTACTACTTTAACGTTTTTGTCCTCAGAAGAAGGGCCACGCAGAACAGAAATTTTATACTGGACATCGACAGTGATGATGATGAGTGGCATGGAGGTTATGGAGGACCTCTGGGTGCTCAATATGCCGAAGAAGATGAAGAAGAAGAAGACTCTGCTATCGAATCTCCTCTTCATCAAGGGACGGACAGGTTCAGTGAGAAAGTGCATCCAATCCATCAGGAAGAAGGTGAAGAAGATGAAAGTGTTAGTGACAGTGATGATGACGATAATGTTGATACCAGAGAAGGTGGTACTGGACTGTGTGACGGGCACGAGATGATTTCTTACATGGATAGATTTTCAGGGAGCAATGAAGGGAGATTGAACGTGGAAGATGACTCTTGCACGACCTTTGAACTTGCACATGATGCAATGACGAACTGTGAAAAGAAAAACGAGACCGGTCTTGGAGAGCATCAGAAGAAGTCGAATGAGTGTAATGATCCAATGTACCCGAAAGCTTCAACAAATGGCAAAGATCTTCAACCAACAGGGAGCATTATGGAGGAGATATTTGGTCATGGACCCTGGGACAACAAGGCAAGATACAACTGATGAATCAACATCGTTGTCAACAACAACTTGCAGAATGCTAGGAAAAACACTTTTCGGGTTATGGGGTCCTCCTAATGTTCCTGTTAAAAGCAGAGGGAGAAGAGGAGAGAGAGAGAGAGAGAGACTTTTAGACTAAGAATTTTCAGCCTTTGTTTTCTCATGTGGAACCTTGTGAAATGGGGCTGTTGTTTCACTTTTCTTGGGACCCTCTTTCTCAAAATCCTTTACCCAGAATGTCAGAATCTCTCTGATCTGCACTTAGGATTTTTCTCTCTGTGTACACGAACGAAGTGTGAAGGCAAAGTCTTGTCTTTTGTTTTACCATCATCACGCTTTTGTGAGTAAACAAGAAAAAACATCCACATCGTTTTTACTTATAAAGTTTTTACATAAAAATGAGTTTTATTTTGTGTGATTAAGTAAAAATCATTTAAGGAGAGAAGAAAATGATTTTGGGTTTTTTCTATTGTTAAATATATACATTGGACAGTAGTAGAGGGTGAAAAGATAGAATCTTTGCTTGGTAATCACAAAAACAAACAAACCTCACAAATATTCAATGCCAAAGTTTGTTGCTTTAGAATCGGAGAATATGTGGCAGAGACACCCAATTATGGTTCTCTCAAGGACAAAAGGTTTTAAAGGATTTGTTTGGACGTCGACAAGTCTCTATTTTCGTTGTTTGGCCCCATGGTTTGTTATACCCACTACCCGAATTGAGTTTCTACTAAGTCAGTTCAGTGTACTCAAGATATGTAAAAAAATTTAATAAGGAAACAAATCTGTAATACAAAAATCAAACTTTCTGTAATTGTGTGTGATTTCAAGATTTGATCTCTTTTTTGAAAACTCTGAGGGATGGTGTGAGATCATGACGAGTGGCTAAAACAGATCTGGACCGTCCAGTAGTGGGGGCTTCTCTCTCTCTCTCTATCTGTTGTATCTTTTTTGCTTCCATGCATGAATTGAAACAACACAACAACACAACAACACACACCCAAAGAGATGGAGAGAGAAAAAAGGAGAGAGTGTGTGTGTGTTTGTTGAGGAGAGGAATAGATCCAAAAATGCAGCTGACCTTTGATTACTCGTGTTAGTAACACTTCTCCTTTTTGATTTTTCTTCTTCTTCTTTTTTTTCCTCTTTTTTGCTCCAAACTCAAATAAAAAGAAACCAAATCTCCAAACTTTTATAAGATGGGATAACTGTGGAATTTACAAAGTTTGTTCTTTTTTTTTTTACTTTTCTCCCTGCTTCTTCTTCTTCTTAGCTTGAAGGTCGGATCTTGTACTTAGCAACTGTCACATCCCGAATCTGATCGCTACGAAAGTTTCAAACTTTCTGCTTCTTCTTTCTTCTCTCTCTGTGGCATTTGGGAATTTTCGGGTTTGTCGGTTTGTGCAGCATTTCTTCGAAGATTCAAGGTAAACTCCATGAATGGGTTCTCGCTAATCTTACTTTTGCTTTTCGTTTCTAGAGAAACCCGTTCTTGGTTCTGATTGTTTCGTGTTTGATCATTTGTGTAAGAGAAGATCGGATCAAAGATGGAGAAGAGCGAAGAGAAGGAATTTGTGTGCAGGTTCTGTAACAAGAAGTTCCCTTCTGGGAAATCACTCGGAGGTCACATCAGAATTCACACCAACGAGTATTCAGTTAATTCAGATAGTGGCAATCGCCAGAGGGAGAAGAACAAGAGTTTGGTGGATCGCAGGGAGATGGTGGCTCTGAAACAGAAGCAACAGCAACTTTCTTGCAGAGAATGTGGTAAAGGATTCGATTCTTTGAAAGCTCTTTGCAATCACATGGATTCTCACGCTGAGGGGGAGAAGATGGTGGTGGATAGCGAATCTGATAGTGACACAGAGACTTCCTCAGCTCCTACGAGGAAAAGATCCAAGAGGGTGATGACGAAACAATCCAATTTTGAATCTTTTAGTGATGGGGACTCGTCTTCTGCTTCTGAGGTTGACCTAGAAGATAAGGACACGGCTTTGTCTCTGATGATGATGTCTAGTGATTCGAAAGGACGTAACTTGGGGGTGAACTCTCTGGCTGAGTCATCGGAAAACAACTCTGTGATTCTGGAGACAAAGTCTTCTTCAGGGGAGCAGCTTAAGAAGATCTCCAGTGTGAAGAACCAGGTTTTGAAGACAGATGAAGTTGCAGCTGATGACCAATTGAGATCTGCTGATGATGACGATGGTGCTATTCTCTGTGATTCAGATGACTCTGACTCTGATTACTTCATGAATGGCCCAAAGAAGTCTGACTCAGGTGTTTCCGTTGATGGAGCTCTTAGGAACACTGGATTTGGATTCAGCAATTCCTTGAACAACAGATTCAGGAACAGTGATGAGCAGAGGGTCAAGGAGGGAGGATCACAGTATGAGCTGAGAAAAAGCAAAAGAGTGTTGCCTTCTTATGAAAGTGGTGCACACAGCTTGGAAACTGAGTCCTGTGCTGACACAAGCAACAAGATCTATAGGTCTAATTATGGCAAGTCTCCTATGGTTAAGAAAGCAAGTGGTGGTGCAAAGAAGAAAAGCACAGGACACGAGTGTCCGATTTGCTTCAGGGTGTTCAGCTCAGGCCAAGCTTTAGGTGGTCACAAGAGATCACATTCCTTTGAGAACCAAGAACACAGGATCAGGATCAAACACAGAGCAGCTGATATGCGAATCGATCTCAACCTTCCTGCTACTGATAGTGATGAATGAATCAGAAACTGAAACCACAACACATCCCCCTTCCCTTCTCTTCTGCTGTTTCATCCAATTTTTTGATAGTTTTTTTTCTTTCAAAGTTTCTCAAGGTAAATCAAAAGCTATTTGATTTGTTCATGTAAAGCTTTATCACTTAGCCAAATTCTTTTCTTTATAGACTCCAAGTGTTGTCTTGTTGATATAAAGCTTCCAGTTTCATACTGAGATTCTTCTTGTCTTCAACATTTTAAGATTTCTTTTCTTTTTCTCCTTTCTAGCTTTCACTTTATAAGCCTTCCTCTGCACTCGTACCTAAGTTTTCATATTACTCTGGCTTCTGTATAGCATGATGATGTTTTGATTTTACCCCAAAAAAGCAGATCAAATGGAACCGAAAACATTTTAAAAAGACCACATTTGGTTTCTTTACTATTTCAATTCAAACCACTTGGAGATACAAATACCCTCTTGATTTGATGGGCCGTTCTTATTGGGCTTATAAATAGTTTTGGTGGAAACTTCTTTAACTCGTGGAATCCAATAAAGACCCTATAAATAGCTTGAGTTCCACGGAACAACTCAATATTCTTGCTTATCTTGTATTGGTTGTGTACAAGTACACAGTCGTGTCAAATACATAAACCGATCATTTTATACGTATAAAAATCACGTAAAAAAGCAACATAAAGTGAAAAAAAAATCGATCGGAATGTATAATTAGGTCACGGGATGATATTTGTTATTTATATCTATGAAAACGAACTAAAGGACCCACAAAACCGATTTTTCCCTTCTCATTTACTAAAAAAAAACCCTTCATAACGTCGATTCATGTGCATCTTCTGCGTTGCATTAAAATCCCAATTTGCTTATTTCCCTCTTTCTCTCAAGTTTAAACTTTCCCTTCTCCAAGAAAACTTCTTACTCTTCTCTCTCTCTCCAAATCGAGCAATGTCGACGACTCACATGAACCGTCCGATCTTGATCTCTCTTCTCCTTTTCGCCTTTTTCCTTCTCATAACTTCCTCCACCGCCGAAGGAAACTTCCATTACCGAACTCACCGATTCGTCCCGAGGGTTCATCACCACCCGTATTACGTGACTCCTCACCGTTCGTGCGACTCCTTCTCTCGTCCGTACGCGCGTTCTATGTGCCTTGAGCTTCAAAGAATCCACCGTAGCAGCCGGAAGCAGCCGCGTTTTCCCCCTCCTCCTCCGGAGATTGATCCAAGGTACGGCGTCGATAAAAGACTCGTCCCCTCCGGTCCAAATCCGCTTCACAACTAAAACCTTATCCCAGTTTCACTTTGTATGATACATATATACGTGGGCGTAGGGTTCCTTAGTTACATATTTTATAGATGACACATTTCTTGGCGTTTCTTGAGCTTGTTCGAGAGATCTGTATGTTTTTCATAGAGTTTCTTTTGGCCGAAGACGAAGGTTCGACGTCGTTTCTTCTTTGCGGATCGTTCTTGAATCTCGATTCTACTTTCTTGATCTTGTAATGGAGTCCTACGTTATGAGGGAGATGTTGTTGCTATTTCCACGCTTGTTTTCTTTAGACTTGTAGAGTGAGGAAACAATCTTGGAAATAGTATATTACTGTAATTTTTTTGCAATGGTCTTTCTTTTATTTTTCTGCTTACGTAATTGTTTTTTAAAAAAAGGTGAAAGTAGATTTAGTATATGGTTGGGAGAGGAGAGGAGAGGTGGAGAAACGCATGAGTTCCATAAATTTGGGAGCTGTATTATTATTATTATTATGTAACTCCAAAGTCTCCACTAGTGTAGGATTAAAATTTATATTGCAAAAAAATATGATTGGCCAAAATCCATATATGTATGCTCTTCTCTCGTGTGTTATACTTCGCTGTAACGATATTTAATTCGCTTGTCTCTGTCAATAGACACTAGTAGAACGTAATACACAAGAGTTTTTTTATATAACTTTTGTTTTTCTATTTCCAAATCATTTTTATTTACTTTCCCAAAACACAAAAGTTGGTTCACTATGATCGCTAACGCATTACCAGCCGACTGATTCAATCAACCAACGTATTATATAAGTTGTAGACAAATGTTTCTGTCTAGAGCCCGATTTTTAATATAAATTTATATCAGAGTGACATAACTTGGCTGTGAATTTCTGAAATGTGTGTGAAACAAAAAATATTTTAGTTTTCATTTGTGGAAAGAAATACATTTGTATAAGCTTTTTAAATGATGAAAGTAGTGCAAACTTGTAAACAAAGGCAAAAGGTTAGAAACAATAAGAAAACAGTACAAAAATGAGGAGTAAAGTAAACTTGTATAAACTCTATTTCAGAAAGATGGCAAGTATAAAGAGAATTGGAGAACTTTGGGATAACATGAATTTTATTGGCAAAAGTAAAACCATGGAAATATATTTTGAAATACTAACAAAAAGAAAACATACTATGAAATCATGAAGTCTCGCTAATAGATGGAAGAAGAATGAAGATGGACAAAGTTTTGGGTAGGAAAAACTCAACATAGACAAAACAAAAAAAATGTGAAAGACAATGTAGAAATTCTATAAATTAATAATGATGGAATCAGATAAAATTATTAATTTATTAAGTTATTAATTTATAAATTTTAATAAGTATTGATTATAAATTTTGGGATAAAATAAAATTATTAATTTATCGAGTTTATTAATTTATTGAATATTAATTTATAGAGTTTTTATTCTATATATATTGGTAAATATTGAATAGAGTTAACTGTTTAAAAGATAAAAATACCTCAGAATACTATAAAAACTAGTTTTAGTTCCACAAATACTACAAATTTTTATTTTTAATAAATTTTCATTAATCATTAGTACCTTTTCTAAAAAAAAATTAAGTCTCATAGATTAGTTTCTTAATTACTTACTAAGTTACTATATACTACAAGATAGACAGGGATTTCCAGTCCAAATATATTTTGAAAATGTATAAAACAAAAGGATAAAACAATGTGTATTTATCTATAATCTTTTGGGTTTAAGGGCATTTGAAATATCTAGATTTCTGCACCCATCTCTGATTACAACCAAATGACGTATCCAGCTAAAAAGTGCCGGGTCTTCAATTTTTTCTTTATTTTGGTTTTAATTTGCTTCAAATAAAGCAATTAGTAGTAATTCTTACATTTAATTCCTTATTAGTTAATTTTGGGGCGCTCTTATCCCAAAACAGACGAATACAATGCGTGTCTACCATTCACTCTTAAGCACAATCCGCCTAGACTATGGTCACGTATTCACTCATTTCTCCCTAATCTTGTTATTAATGTCAATTGGAAAAAAATTTAATTTTTTGTAATCTGATACTAATAATTTAATTTTTTTTCTTTCTTTGTCTTTTTCATATCCAACCCCAAAGAGAAAGCAAATCTCCTAACTTTAGATATTGAGGAAATTTCAAAGTCTGTTTTATTTGTTTCCTGTTTTTGTGTTCTCTTTTGCTTGATGGTAGGATCTGTAGTTAACAAGAGAGGACTGTTACATTCCCCAAAATCTGATCTTTGAGAAAGTATCAAGCTTTCTGCTTGATGATCCCCTCTCTCCCTCTCTCTCTTAGCATCTGGGGAAATCAGTGTTTCCTTCCAAGATTTGAGGTAAATTAGACTAATGGGTTCTCACTAATTTCCAGCTTTTTTGTTTCCTTCTTCTTCTTCTGATCTTTTGCTTATATAGTGTTTGATCATTTGTCCTAAGATGGAGCAGTGCAAAGAGAGGAAGTTTGTGTGCAAGTTCTGTAGCAAGAGGTTTGCTTGTGGGAAATCACTTGGAGGTCACATCAGAACTCACATGAACAACGAGAATTCACTTGATTCAGATGAGGATGAGCCTAGTAAGCTCAGAATCGACGAAAACGGAGGTCAATCTAGTTACGGTCTGAGGGAGAATCCCAAGAAGAACAAGAGGTTCGTGGATCAGAGAGAGATGATGGCTCTGAAGCATCATCAGCAACAGCAGCTTCAACATCAACAACAGCAACAGCAACAGCTTCTTTGTTGCAGAGAATGTGGTAAAGGTTTCGTCTCTTCGAAAGCTCTTTGTGGTCACATGGCTTCTCACTCTGAGAGAGAGAAGTTTGTGATGGATAGCCAATCTGATACCGAGGCTTCCTCGTCTCCTATCAGGAGAAGATCCAAGAGAGTTGTGAAACATCACCACAGGGCTGATGATGCTTTTGTAGTTGGTGGTACCATCATGAACCAATCCGATTCTGCGTCTTCTGATGCTTCCGAGATCGAGCCGGAGCAGGAGGAAATGGCATTGTCTCTGATGATGCTCTCTAGGGATTCAAGTTTCAAGAAAGGTTATAACTTGGTGGTGAACTCTCTGGCTGAGTCGTCTGACAACAACTCGGTGATTCTCGAGACTAAGTCATCTTCAGGGGAACAGCTAAAGATGTTCAATGTGAAGAGTGTTAATGAGGAGTTTCGTAAGAAGAACAAACTTGAAGGAGTGGATAATGGTGATATTCTCTATGATTCAGACAATTCTGATTCTGGCTACTTCAGGAACGGACCAAAGAAGCTGGACTCAGACGTTTCTGTTGATGGGTTCTTCAGGAACACTGGGTTTGATAACAAGGCTGTGATGAGAACCGGATCAGGATTCAACAGCTCCACAGCAAAACAGGACAACAACTTGAACAGGTTCAGGAAGGAATGGTCAGGGTCAGGGTCAGGGTCAGGATCAGGTCGTTCTTCGACAAAGTACGATCTGAGGAAAAGCAAAAGAGGGTTTCCTACAAACTGTCGAAAGAAGATCAAGTACGAGTTCACTGAATCTGTCTATGACAGTGGTGAGCATAGCTTGGAGACTGATTCTTGTGCGGACACAAACCGAACAATCAAGATTCATAGTAAGTCATCGTCACCGATGGTGAAGAAAGCAAGTGGTGGTGCAAAGAAAAAAAGCAAAGGTCACGAGTGTCCGATTTGCTTCAGGGTGTTTAAATCAGGACAGGCTTTAGGTGGTCACAAGAGATCACATTTCATTGGGAATCAAGAACACAGGACTCTGGTGATACAACACCAAGTGGCTCATGAGATGCATACACTCATCGATCTCAATCTTCCTGCTCCTATTGATGAATGAATGAATCCGCGATTTTGTTCTCATTATTGATTGTTTCCTATCTGTTTTTAATTGTTTGCTTCAGATTCAAGAATGCTTTTTTTTTGTTTTAATTCAGGAAGGTAAACCAAAGTTTTAATTTATTTATTTGTTCATAATCATTATCAGGCTTGGTGGTGCTTTTGATATTTTTAGTTACGAGAAGAAAAAGAAAATACAAATCAATTAGTCAAGACAAGAGAGCTAAATGGTAATTTTGTGGCAGAGTTCAATGATAATTCAATTGAAAGAAGGAAGTATTACAATTATGAGATGGAAAAAGAAAGGTAAAGGACCACATTTTTGATCTATAAGAAGAAACTTTTGGCAAAAAAGTGTTTGGTCAATTAATTTTTAAGACACCAACTTGTGTATAAACAAAACCTCTCCTCATCATCCATAGTTTTGACGAATCAACATACATGTCTCTATTAACAAAACTATTATTTTCATAAAATTCTATCATATAACTTATATGCTCCACATTAAAATATATCTTTAATAGTGTTTGTTGTTGTATAACTTATTATGGTCAATGTAAATTTGATTTCTACTTTGGCATGAAACAGTGACAACGATTATCTGTTTTATAACCCAACCAGGCTTTATATAAAACACAGCAAAATCATGTTTGGCACATCTTACAGAAGACAAGATTATACAACACCCCCGGAAGATAGATGAAGAACAATTTAGCATCAAATCTAATTGTAATGTATAGTGATTGTTATATTCTCTGTAGTTTTTTTCCAAAGGTCTGGGAAAATTCAAGATTACTTTCTGTTTCTGAAACTAATCATGTAAAGATCACTGTTGCGGGATTATTACCTGAAGGAGGGCACCTTTGTCTCCTTGGTCTTCTTGTTGCTTTTCCCCATCCTGTTAGCTTACTGTCTTCAAGTCCCACCACTGGCACGCTCTCTTCCATCGCCTGCGCCGCCGCCATTGACGGACAAACTTGAGCTTGGTTTATGTTAGTGACCATTCGTTTCCTTTTCGAGTTTCTTCGAGCAGCCACTCCAGAGTTGCAAGTGTAGTCTCTGGTTTTCATAAGCCCACCAAACATTTGAATATCTTCAGTGACTTCGTGCCTCGATAGAGAAGAAAGTCCGGGGAGAATATCTCTCTGAAAATCCCGCTTTGGTCTTCCTCTTCTTGCTTGTCCTCTTCTTGGCCTGTTAGAACCAGCCCCTTCGAATAACAGATTCTCAGGGACTAAAGGCTCTGGCATGTAGTCTTCTTCCTTGGTCGGCTCTAAGTTCAGGGTCCTTGCTTCAAGGTAATCAATCTCCCCGGAAGAGTATTCTTCCCTGTAACCCTCACAGTCTGTGGCTTCTGGAGAACTACTCTCATCAACCTTTCTTTCAAACTCATAACCGCAAGAAGTGATTATCTCCGCAAACCAAGAGAGCGGGCTTTTCGCAGCCGCATCAGTTGAAGAGGAAGCTGCGTCATCGGGAAGGCGTTGGTGATCAGCCAATGAGATGGCGACTATTGCTTCTGCTGCTGCCTTGATGTGTTCATCCATAGAAATTCCATCTTGCTCTTTCATCAATCCCCAAGCTCCTTCATTTGATTTCTCCTGCGAGCTCTCTCTTTCTTCTTCACTCTCGAGAGTGGGGGGAGCTTCCAAATCTATCCACATAGTTCTTTTTGCTTTCACTCTCAGGCTGGAATGTAAGCCGGAATCTTCATCATCCTCGCTAGCACATGAATTCAGATCAATGTAGCGTCTGAAGTTGGCAGCTTTCTTTCCTTCTTTCTTTTCAACATGCTGGTCAACAGAAACCGAGGCATCACATGGCAAGTTGATATCGAGGTCTTGTCTAACCAAGTGATTTACTTCCTTGCGTTGATCAGCGATGCTTAATGAATGAGAGCTCAGGGACGTTTGCTCCTCCTTGCAAATAGAGTGCTTCTCAAAGATTGGGATGTTTCTACTACTCTGTGGGTTGATCATCTCAACTCTTCCCATGATGGCATTGTTAGAGCATGAAGCAGATCTCAAACCATTCTGAGGAGAAACAAAATTCAGGCCGTCCCCTGCGTCAGTTGTCGAAGCATTCAAATCCAATAAGAAGCCATTGGATATTTCACTTTTGTAAGAGGGCTTAGGTTTTAGCCAGGGTAACCCAGCTGAGGATTCCTTTTTTGGCCCTTGAAGGCTCTCAAAACTCTGGTTCTTCGCTACCTCATTTAAAGAAGCATTTGGGTTAAAGCCGGCTGATGGGAAATGAAAGGCAGCCTCCTTCGAACCTGAAGAGAATCCTTGATAGATCCCATTAGAGACATGGCTCCTCGTCTCAAAACTCGAATCTGGTCTTGCATGTGTGACAAAATTCAAGAAGGGATTCGTTTGAACTGGGTAAGATCTCTGATGTGAGCTGCTGCTCCCAGGGTTCTCCCATGATGAAGAAGACCATTGGCTCCATGGCCTAACAAATTCAGGGCGGTAGTCATTGTGTAACCTTGGAGCATGAGATGCCACACTCGATTCCACGTAGGTGTCATAAGAAACTTGAGGATTCTTTGAACGAACTTCGAGCTCACGATATGCTCTTTCCTCGGAGAATTTGCTATGATCAGTTGTAGGATAGCTCTGAGGTTGATATGCATGGTTAAAGAGTGCTTGTACAGAATGGGAAGGTAAATGCAGCTGGTCTCTCTGAATGCTTCTGTCGTGCCCTATTAACACACAACCACGTGAAAACATTAATAGAAGATAGCCAAAAATGGCTACATACCAAATCAGCACACAATGTAAAACTTATCTCTATTAAAGCATAGAGAGTATAAAGACACACACAAAAAAAAAACCTTGCAGACCAGTTTATATCATTTCAAAGATTAGAGAAAAATCGAATGAAAGTGAAGAGCTAAGAATATCTCACCTCCATCAACCATCCATCCATTGTGACTTCTATTTTTCTCCAACCAATGACCTTGAACATCTGCATTGTTTCTTCCATAATGAGAATACATATCCCTGGACAGAGCAACCGGTTCCGGCTCTTGCCACTTGAGCGGCTCATTCAAGTCAGCTAAGCCATTCGAGTTCTTCACATCCAAGCAAGATCCCGAAGAGTTGCTCTGATGAGAAGCATCCCCTCTTCCAGATATTGAACGTCTGTATGGAGGGAAGATTGTAACCTCATCGGTATCACCAGTTTCATCCGTATCAAGATACTCATCGGCAGGGAGTTGAAGATCAATCATTTTTCTCCTAGCCTTCACAGGTTTACCCTCGTCCCCACCCTTTGAGCTAAACCCATTTCGCAAACGGCCATCGCAACAAGCTTGAGAGCTGTTTCCTTCTCCATACGTCGAGTTTGCCAAGAGAAACCCAGGGAGCTGCCTTCTACTTGCATTTTCGGATGTATGATCACTCAAATTCATATCTTCATTCAAGTTCTTTCCTTTTACTTCATCAACCAAATTCCTCTGTATTCTGTACAAACGGTGAAGCTCATGCACCTGCGATCAAAAATCAAAGTCAGTAACACACGTAAAAATGATCCATTTGAAGGAAATGAGAGAGATTCAAGAGCGTAAGTAGATACCTGGTTCTTAAATACAGCCTCGTGTTCAAGCATTGTCTGTTTCATGAAATCTCTCTCGTTCCCAGAGTACGAATCCGCCGCAGCATTCATCGAGAAACCATGATTTGCGTCTTCCCGATACACTGACAAACTGCAACTATTAAAATCTTCACTGAGATCTCTCATTGAGGAATGTCTGTGGAAAAAGCTTTTCACACTTGACTCTTGCTCTCCCATTCCTCTAATAATAACATAACTCGTGCAGCTTTAATTGATATTGTAAAAACTTTAATGTTATGCAACCACAATCACATAATTCGCAAACAAGATATAGATACACGTGAAACAGCAATACTCATTTTTTTTATAAAAAAAACACAAAATAGTATATTATGAAATGATCTCTAATGTAAAGCCAGATTCTGCATATTAGAGAGCTGAGTTCATCTTTTAAAATTCGAGAATCGTCACTGAAAACCCAGATTACACGCAAACTGATCCAAATACCAAAAACAGATACGAGAATAACAAAGCAAAAACATAAAAGTGTAAAAAGAATCGGATAAATTCACTGTACAAAATGAACATTATAATCAGAAACAGAAGTTGGATTCTGGATCGATTTGACTTTAAATGACTAACCTAATTCATCAAACGATAAGCAAATGAGAAAAAAAAAATACAGAAATGGCAAATCAACTAGAAGAATTAAAAAAAAAAAAATTTAAATAAAATATTAAAATCGGTGGTGATAGAGATTTTACCTCAGACCCACATCATCTGATCGCACTTTGAACTGAGAAAATCTTTAATCGTTGATAATTGGAAACACTCACTCCCAAATCAGCGACAAATTATCGAGAAATGAACAATTAAAAAAAAAAGGGGGAATAAAAGTCCTTCCGAGATTCACTATAAAAATTATTAATACCGAATTTTAATCAGGAGATAGAAAATCTAAATAACGACAGTTTAGTTTAAATAAGAGAAGAGAGACTGCCAAATAATCAAAACTCCATTGAAGAAGAGAAAAGCTCAAGCCGTCTTCTTCGATCCGCTGGGCCAACTCTCTCTCTCTCTCTCTCTCTCTCTCTCTCTCTCCCCTTCTCTCTGGCTTTCTATCTCTCAGATTCTTTAGCGAAGGCAGCAAATAAAAGAATAAGAGCTTTTATATTCTTTTTTTATTAATTTCTCGGATTTGGTGTTTTCTTAAAATAAAATAAAAATAAATACAAAAAAACGTAGGAGGCTTCTAATAACAGTGACATGATATTTTGTCAACACTCGGTCTTCCCTGCTTTTTTTTGTTTCATGATCTAATCATTTTTACATTTTCTGGTTTCTTACGCCTGCATTAAAGTGTTACCTTATGATTTTAATTTGCAGTGGATAAAAAATAATAACAAAAAATGTGAATGGTTAACATGAGACATAGAGTGTTGTCTTATGATTTTAATTTGCGATGGATAAAAAATAAAAAACAAAAATTGTGAATGGTTAACATAAGACATAAAAAAATTATATTCTACTCATTTTCTGAATAGTAGATGGATATTTTTTTCATATTTTCAGCGTATATAGTTTTGCTGGTGATTATTATTTTGTTATTTAATTATGAATAACTTTTTTTAACTTTTGATGATTTTTTTTTTCAAAATAACTTTTTCATATTTTCAGCGTAAATATTTTTTTAACGGAAAGTTTCTCAAATTACAAATTCTTTTACAAATGAATGTTTTATATTATGTGGGTAATAAATAATTAAAGTTCGTATCAAACAGCTAAATTTCGAAGTCCAATATACGATTTTACTCTAGATTCTCTCTGTGTCTTTAAATGCGGATATTAATTTAGCACGGAAATAAGGTAAGAACCAGAAATGTTTATTTTATTCATCAGTTACTTTTGACAAAAAGGAAAACAACATTAACTTTGACGGAGTACTATTTTTCTCCGTTATGTTAATTATTTATTTAAACTTATCTTTTTTATGTGAATATGATTAATTGTAAAATCGTGCGATGTTGTGCATATATATCAGTAATTTACATCCATAACCTCACCTGATATACCCTAACTTTATATACGGAAAAATGCACCAACTAACAATTAATAATTCATGTAAATAAAATACTGGTCCAAATCTATCTATAGTTTATAAAACAATTTATTTAGAATTTTAGAATTCAGAAGCTTCTGTTTTTTTGGACTAGACAAAAAAAAAAAAAAGCTGAAAAGCATGCTAATTTTAAAGACTTCTTCTTTAAAACTAGTAGAAGAACTTTTTTTTTTTGAACGAACACTAAATTACAATTTTGATAATATCATAAATGTCTCTAAACGGAGCATCAAATGTTAATTAAGTTAGTTAGACCAAAAGACAGTGGGTCCTACTTGTGAGCCAACTTTGAGGTTTATAGTTAATAGGTTTGGGGTGGGAGTATGAATTGAATACCCCTGCCTTTGTAGATAATTACGAGTTCGGGATTATTGTTAGAGAAATTTTTGTTTACTGGTCGTTCCCGATTGGTTAATTATCTCTCCTCTCTTACTCAATAAAATATTCAATCAAAGAGGCTGTTTTATTACATTAACTGCCACTATTCCAGAAAGGCATTCTTTTTAGTCCTGACACGTGACAGGTTTAAGTGGACGCATCATAATACTACTAGTACTATTCATTTATATACGAATCTAAAGAATTTTTGTTTGATTTTGTATTGAGATGAAACCAAAAAAATATGTGTATGATCATGAAATGGATCTTGCTTTGCTTTTTTAAATGGTTTGTATATATTGATTAGCAAAAAATTAAACAATCTACAAAAATGATTTCATGTGGAGGACAATATACGAGATAACAGGAAAAAAAGAAAGTATAGGGTAGTAAATTTATTGGCATAGTGATGTACTGATGTTCTTGGCATGATCCATGTTAAGAGATCCAGTCTTCACTCATTTGGTTCATTGTTTTACATCAGAAGAACAACAATATTTAAAATTATTTTTATAATTGCAAAGGTCTAATTTTTATTCGGCCATATGATATATGACTAAAAGGTTATACGGAAGTTTAATGGTCAATCCACTTGTACACTGATACAAGCTTCGGTTATTTTCAAGATTATTGATCTCTGCTTTTGTGTAACAAAGCTCAACTTTGAGGAGAAGAGGTTACGTTATTAAATGGATACTGAAGATAATTGAAGCTTGTTTCGAGCGTAGACTGAGGTATAAACTTTGCAGATGTTCATCTTTTTTTATGCTTTGATAAAAGTAGGAGTAAAACATTAAGAAACATAATGGGCCGTATATGATAAGGTCCATTAAGCCCATTTCCTAATGATAAACCACGCAAGTACGCAAACTCCATGAACAAAATCTCCTTCCAAGTTCCAAGATGTTCGTCGATGTTTTCGAATTTTGTAAGCGGGACGCGTCATTAGTTATCATCACAAAAGCTCTAATTACAGGATTCATCTTTCCCAACAATGTTTTGGTTTTCGTCAAATGATTGTGCCCAGAGTGACTTGAGCTGCTCCAAAATCGCCTCAGTGAAGTGGCCACTGGGTCTGAGTTGAAACGTGAGCGGTCAAAGTCGAAGCTCCAGAATCCATTCGACGACGCGATTTTAAGGCTCAGGTTCTCCCCCGGAGTCAAATAGCCTCTTTATTGTTTATCTATTCTCGTTGCTCCGTTCCCAAATCGACACCCCCGATTTGTGTTTACTCTGGGTTTTGCTTGATTATGTGCAGTATCTGAGATTGTGATCTTCGCTTAGTCTAGAATATTGATACGATTTTGGACATGGGTTTCGTTTGGGTTTGATAATCAATCCCTCATTATTGATTTTTTAGTGAAAAGCTATGATTTTTTTTAAAGCATCCTAGGCACGATGATGATTCAATGCTTGAATTGTATACTAGGTACGATTTGAATGTTGGAACTGTTGATACGATCGGAAGACATGGTGGTGTTTCAACATGCGTTGTGTACTCTCATGAAAGAGATATCCCAACTAGCTCAGCTCAAGAGCTTGAACTGAAGAAAAATTAAACAATCTGATTCTGAGTTGTTTGAAAAGGTTGTGTGGTTTTTGGCGTTCAATTACTGGATTTCCACTGGTTTTAAGTGCTTAGTGCCTCAATTTACGTTTTTCAAAGAGTAACCACCTTATAACCTATGGATACACAAACATCATTAAGCGTTTTCATGCCCGTATAGGCAACCATAACACTGCTATGTATGTATGTAGTGTGATGAAAAATAATTATGATTTAGATCAGATATAGCAGCTGGCTAAGTTCATTAGGATTGGGATATATTTGCAGTTTTCAAACTGAAGGCTTTCGTTGCATTTTAGTAAATTTTGTGTATACTTATTATCAGCAAATTGAGTTAGAGAACACAGAATGTATAATGAGACTACAATCTTAACTCCATCAATGAACTAAAGTGTTAGTTACCCATATCTTCTTTGTTTTTTACATCAATTAGTGTGATAGAGGAGATTCTTTTCATGTTGAGGTAACATCGATCTGATTGTTGATATCTTTTGTCCTTGAGAACATCTGAAAGACTTTTTCTTTTTATTAGTAGCTTTGGGTTCTTATCATGGTTAATATTTCATGTCTAAACCTTATGTTAATGCCACAGAAAAGCAAGTCAATAACATTATAGGTCATCTTTGCTGGTTTATTTTTTCAGATTTACTATGTGTTATCCGAGCTGCTCGGTTTCTAAATTAACATATTTAAATGGATACTGGTCAGGTGATGTTATCTCTGGTGGTTTGGATGAGAAGATCAGAGTCTAGGAACAGTTGGATGCATTGCAGTATCCGGGGTTTGAACTACAAGTTTGCAACGAATCAGCAATGCGTATATGTAATGTGCGTTACTGAGACAATCACAAGTGGGAAGGTAAATGCAATGCGTATATGTAATGTGCATTTCGATCTTACGCATCACAAGTGGATGTGCCAATCAGATGTATCACTTCCATTCCTTATTCCAAAGGTAATGTGGCATTGAAAGAAACTTGATTCACTTTTCAGTTTCGACTTAATACCTGATGATGTGTAATGCTACTGCTCTTGAGCAGGATATGCAGTTGGATCTGTAGTGACATTAAGCAATTTGATAAGTTATAAGTTGTAGGGAAAGAAAATGATATATTTGGTGAATTCTCACCTTTTCACTCATCCTTGGCAAATACACACATTCAGTTGTCTTCCAAAGTACAGACACAGAAGACTTTACCATGCATCTGTAAACAGCATCGGTTATATGTGTTTAGCCTCAACTCATAATCTATGTTAGGAATCCGGATTCATGACTTTGTGCTCTTGCCACACAGTGCCAATGGAGCTTTTTGTCAGTGATGACAACAACGAAAGCTTTGTTATATAGTATGGGATGCTCAAAGTAGAAAAAGGCCTCTCTGAGGTAACTAAGAAAACACACTTGTCCTCTTGTGTTTTCCCCTTTGCTTCGACTACTTCTTGATAACTCTTTGATCTATGGTCCGTGTCTGTGTTTCTTCATTCAGCTTTCAATATACCCAATTAGCATCGCGTCTTTGGCATTTAATCAATCTGAAGATCTCTTGAATGTTGCACCAAGCTACAAATATTATGAGGAGTGAGTTTTTCTTTTTCCTCACTGCTCTATTTTTTTCATTTCATCTCACTCACAAGCACTCTGACAAACACTTGTGATTGTATCACGCAGGGAACAATCTCCTCAGCTGTTCATACAAAGGTTTAAATGATAAGCGAGCAGAAGAATATCTCCAGACTTTTGGTTAACTCACACGTTAAGCTTATCAAGTACACCAAATGTTACACTCACAATAAAATGATGTTGTATAATGAAAAGTCCAACCTTGTGTTAAATCTGGCCTTTTGATTCTACAAAAGTTCCATTTTAATAAAATAAAATTAAAATAAATAAAAAAGAAAAAGAAAAAGGAATTTGTATGAGCAATAAGACGCCGCAAGCTAGTGTGGGGCCGCGTGGTTTGCACGCGATGATGCAACAGAGGAGATAATTTTAGGTAAATCTGGACGGTCGAGAGATTCTAATCGGACGGCTGAGAAAGAGATAATAATACAGCAACCCTAGAAAGGCCTCTCCTGCCTCTTCCGTATAAAAATTGACATCACTCGCTGACTTCTCTCCCTTAGGTTTTCATTCTCAAATCTCTCTTCCTTCAAAACTCTCTCGCTTCCCAAATCGTTGAAACATGTCGGACGAAGAGCACCACTTCGAGTCCAGTGACGCCGGAGCTTCCAAGACCTACCCTCAGCAGGCCGGTAACATCCGTAAGGGTGGTCACATCGTCATCAAGGACCGTCCCTGCAAGGTCTGATTTCGATTTCCTCATCTCTCTCGCCACCTCTTGTATTATCTCGATTGTTTTCGTTCCCGATCTCGACATCCTGATTCTAGATCTCCCTGTTGTGTATAGCTCCTTGATTTGGATTGGGTTTTCTGGGAATTCTTAGTTTGAAATGATTGTATATAGCAGTGGCTCGTTACCCCCGATTGTTTTGATTCTGTGATTTGTCTCTAGGTTACAGTAATCAGATCGTATATCTATTGATCTCTTTCGTTTCTGATTCCCTGGATTGTTTATGCTCTTTGATGGTGATTGCTCTTTAATTTCGAGGAATTTGTTAAATGAAAAGAAACATAGGTAGATATCAGGAAACATCATCTGCCTTTTCTGCTTTTGAATCTGAGAAATCTCTTTTGTGATTTGATCTGTTGTACATATCTCTATTGAGTTGATTTGATATTAATTTCGTGTGCCTTTTCTACTATCGGTAGGTTGTTGAGGTTTCGACTTCAAAGACTGGCAAGCACGGTCACGCCAAATGTCACTTTGTCGCCATTGATATCTTCACTGCCAAGAAGCTCGAGGATATCGTTCCCTCTTCCCACAATTGTGATGTAAGCCAATAAACTAATGAACCTAGATTTAGTATATATCCCATGAGATTTGTGATCTGATTCAGGTTTTTGTTTTGTTTATCAGGTTCCCCATGTGAACCGTGTTGACTACCAGTTGATTGATATCTCTGAGGATGGCTTTGTATGTCTTTCATACCCACTTTCTTCATCACTGCCGCTTTGTTTTTTCTCTCAGAACATGTTTGAAAGTCATTAATTTTTGATTTGTTCGCATTGCAGGTTAGCCTTTTGACCGATAATGGCGGCACCAAGGATGATCTCCAGCTTCCCACCGATGAGAAACTCGCCGCTCTGGTTATTTTCTTCATTCACTCACACATTACACATTAGTTGTTCATCTCGGTGAGACATTGTAAAACTAATGTGGTGGTGTTTTGTTTGTAATTGCAGATGAAGAGTGGGTTCGAGGAGGGCAAGGATGTTGTTGTGTCTGTCATGTCTTCAATGGGGGATGAGCAGATCTGTGCCGTGAAGGAAGTTGGTGGTGGCAAGTAAACAAGCGTATCGTTCTCTTTTCGCAGAGGATTATATTATTACCAGTTTGACGACAGTGGTCCATGTTATAAGAACAAGATATGTTTTTTCCTTTTTTTTCTTTCTAATTTAGACCATTTGTGTGTGTTTCTTGTTGCAAGACATCCATATCTATTGGTTTTGGATATTCGAAAAGTTTGGTGTTGAAAGTTTCTCTATCAGATCTGCTATTCAATCCCTTCGCTTATTATCTTTTTGTTATGCTATTCATTAAGTTCGTGTTTTAGCAAATATAGTATCATTTACTCTGTATCGTCTGTAATCGTGTAGATGCCTCAATGTGAATAACGTGGAGAAGCTTTTCCGATGCGATCGTTGTTGGTTTATTATCTAATAGATTAGAAGAGTTGGGAAAAAAAAAAAAACAACCGATCCATCTTTCTAATATCATAACACGATCTTGTCCATGCATAAAGTCTGGTAATAAACACGAACAACATTAGCAAGAAGATGTCAATGTTGTTCTCTCTTAAAAAACTGGAATTAGTGTGTCATAGATGATTCTACTTTGAGTATCTGATGATAGTACCGAGCCAATCTTGAGGAACACTATCTCTCAATTCGCCGTTGAGGGCTCTCTGTGAATGAGTAGTCGCAGCCTATTTAGGAGATACACAACACAATGTTTTAAAAGGGTTCATGTTGATCGAAAGAGTTCAAAAGCAAAAGATGTATCTATCTACCTTTACAATGTAGACATCGATTCCAAGTTTTGCAATCATAGCAGCTTCTGATATCTTCGTTTCCATTCCCCCGGTTGTGTCGTGAGCCGCAACAGAGGTTTGAACTGTTTGATTCCACAAGCAAACAGATTGTTTTAAACTAATCCGTACTCTTATTGCATAGTTTTACAGTATTGGTTCTTTTCTCTTACCTCTCTTGTCCGTGTGCTCCAACACTGGATTCACAACCTCCCAGCTTCCATCTTCTCCAACAGCTGCATGAGCGGTTAGAGTTAAGCCAAGACTTGCAAAAGGATTTTTAAAAAGAAACAGTAAAGTTTTGTGCTAACCAATCTCTTTCAAGAGCACAGCATCAGGCTCCGAAGGTGGCCGATCGTAGACACCTAGTACATCTGTCTTTGTAACGAGTTACTCAGATAACAACGAAGAGGAAGAGGGAGAGACGCACAATTTTAAAGAAGCAAATTTGGATTATTTTTTTACTATTATCAAAAGGATACGAGGAAGACAACATATTCTGGCTTCAAATGATCTGCAAGATGACGGATGATAACATCACCACTTAATATGGTGCAGCCCTGTGCAAGACAAGATTTTTCAACATTTCAAAAAAATTCAAGACGGACAAGAATCTAGAGAGGTTTGGTATTCATGGAGAGCACATTACCAGTATATTGTCAAGCACTGCATCTCCATGGAGAACCTAAGCCAGGACAAAGGTAACAGTCAGAGAGAATTCTGGAAACATTTACTTAGTGCCATTGATGGGATCATAAACTTACAGGGACAAATCCTGAGTCTATTGTTTTTGCTACTGTTGATAGATCCGCAGAAGCCACCTAATGCAAAATACTAGTCTCATATTAGATCAGGAAATATGTAAACGGAATAAATAAACAAGTTTTCAGTTGGCTCTTACATCTCTTTTGGAGGTTAACCAACCGCATGAAAATGGAGACATGCCGATCGTTGGAATGCCCTCTGCAAGAAAGTATAATTTTATTTCATCGTTTCCTCTCAGCAAAACATAGTTTCAGAGGAGAGAAAACTGAAGAGGTACCTCGGGCAAGTGCTCGTACAATTTCAAGATTAAGATTTGTGACCTGCAAAGGAGTGGTATGAACTATCAAGAACAGATCAAAACTAGCTCTAGTAAGAGTATTAGCTGTGTAGTAGAGAGTCGAGTCTCACTGATATACGAGTAGCGACGAAACCAGCTTTGACAATAGGTTTCTCAAGTCCCCCTTTATGAACACCTGATCTGCTGGCCTGAAAGTGGCCAAAGGAACCTAATGACACAGATCACAACAAGAAGCACAATGAAACCCATAATGTTTAAGTACAAAGTGATCCTTTGTTCTTGAGAGTTAAGAAGAGATGAATTCAAATGTCCAAAGAGGAAACAGCTAACCTGCGCCATGAACCACGACAAATTTGCTAAACTCAGCAGAGTCCTGATCTCCCAATTCATCCACATCACGAGAAATCTCAGAGCTTCCAAGTCTCTTGCTCCAATCCATTCCGATCACCTTGCTCGGCGCTGCACCTTCCGTCATAGCCTGCCGTAACTGGCACGCCACGATCTCCAGATTCTCATCGTGAATCTTCTCCAGCTCGTTCTTGCAAGTAATCGCCGCACCTCCTGTCACAGGTTATTGCTGTTACAGAGTTTGATGGGTCTGGAAAAAAAAAACCGTATCTTTGGAGTCCTTCCTCGTTGTCCGGATTAAAAAAATCAAATCAGAATCAAACCCATTTCGATTCGATAAGACAGAAAAACCAATATGCGATCTAGCAATGGTGTGAAGAGACGGGAAACTGAGGATCAAAAAGACAAACCAAGTTTCACAATGCAACGAATCGATCTGCTCTGACTCTCAGGGAGATTTAGCTCCATTGTGTCACTATAGTTCTCGTCTTTAGCGGTCAACGGCGTCTCACTCCCGCTTTAACTCAACTTCATCGTACTCGGTCCCTTCTTGCCATTTCCTTCCACCGGAAAGATTCTCTCTCAAAAAAAAACAAGACCATCGTTATTGGACCTGGTCCAATTTCTCAATTGATCACGATTTCCGAACCGGGTTAAACGGTTCAGTTAAATTTACGGTTTAGCTTCAAGTTCGTGATCACCTTCGTTTATGCGTGAGTGAGGGGACAGATGCACGCTGGTTCTTCTGTCTTCACCTGTGAGCCACCGACAAATTGTCTTTTGAAAAATCGTTTTCTAAAGAAAACTTGTTTGCTTTTGATTATTCCGCTTATAGGAACATAGACAACATCGCCGAGATCTCGTCCAAGATTCGTCTTTTAAAAAAAATATCGAGCTAATGAGGTAGGATCCGAACCCGGCTCCGATATCCAATCTCATCGCTTTTTTTGTGCGTACCCTTTTGTTTCAATCACTTCTACAGCTGAAATTCCATCGCTTACATGCTCCAATTTGATTTCTTTCTTGATATGTAGGCAATCTGCTAACCTGGGTTATCTGAAAAATCTCCAATTCGCTTCGATTGTATGTAATCTTGTACTCAACTGAATCCCACTTCACTCGGAAAAGAAAAATGGAGACGGAAACGAATCTCGGAGGAAGTCAAGGATCCGTACGGAAACCGGAGCTGAAATCATACAGCCACAAGCAGTTTCACTCCACGAATGCGTTAGAGATCCTGAGGGAATCCGTTCGAATCATGCGGTACAATCTCGGTGCTTTCATGTTAACCGCTGCCGTTTTGATCTGTCCTGTCTCTGCTGTTCTCTTGCCAAACTTTTTAGTCGATCAGTCGCTAGTGAGCAAACTCACAGTGAAGCTGCTCTTGGTGGCGAAGTCGAGTGGTCTCCCTTTGCAGCCTTTCGTGAAACACTCTTGTCAGAAATTCGCTGAAACCGCTGTTTCGTCGGCAATGTGTTTCCCTCTGTTCATCACCGTGTCTCTCTTGTCTAAAACAGCCGTGGTTTACTCGGTGGACGCCACTTACTCAAGGGAGAAAGTCGAAACAAGCAAGTTCTTGGTTGCACTGCAGAAGCTATGGAAGCGAGTTGTGTTCACTTACATTTGGATTTGCGTCCTGATTGTTGGCTGCTTCACTTTCTTCTGCGTCCTCCTCGTGGCGATATGCAGCTCCTTCTATGCTCTTGGCTTCTCTCCGGATATCAATGTCTACGGAGCCATCTTAGTCGGTCTAGCATTCTCCGTAGTCTTCGCCAACGCCATTATAGTCTGCAACACAGCGATAGTGATCTCTGTTCTTGAAGACGTTTCAGGGGTAGGAGCGTTGGTGAGAGCTAGCGATCTGATCAAAGGGCAGATTCAGGTTGGTTTGTTGATATTCCTCGGGTCGACGTTAGGTTTGGCGTTTGTGGAAGGATTGTTTGATCACAGAGTGAAGAAGGTGAGCTATGGAGACGGGTCTTCGAGGCTATGGGAAGGACCACTTCTGGTGTTGATGTATTCGTTTGTGACGCTTATAGATTCGATGATGAGTGCAGTGTTCTACTTTAGCTGCAGAGTTTATTATAGCATGGAAGCTTCTTCGAGAGGCGGCGAAATTCAGCCGATCATGGAAACCGTCGCGGTTGTGGATGCTCGGTGATGGAAGCGTATTAGTTGAAGAAGATGTGTTGTGTGTGTAAATCAATGAGTTTTATATTTCAACATTATTTTTGTTTCACGTGAAAAAACTTGATGCATTTTTTTATAAAGTTTTTCCTTATATATTGCTATTGTTTACATGATTTGAAGATCATAGCACAGCTCAAGGCCGTTCATAGTTCTTATTATTTGGAGTTTCTGATATGTTTGTATTTCCGGAGAACCTTATAGTGTTAAATAATTAGTTTAGAAAGTAGGTGGGCTTTTGTGCGAATTAAATATTTCTCGAAGGACTTGAAGTTAAACGAATCGAAAACCGGAATGGTTCAAATAATCAGACCGACAAAAATCGGTTTATCTCCCTCTACCATTCAAATTGGAAAAGAATATCCTGATGAAATTGTGCGAATTAAATATTTCTCAAAGGACTTGAAGTTAAACCGATCGGAAACCGGAATGGTTCATCAAATAATCAGACCGACAAAAATCGGTTTATCTCCCTCGACCATTCAAATTGGAAAAGTATTATCATAATAAAATTGTAAAACCAGGGAAATACCAAAATTTTCCTTTTGTCTCCCTCACCGTCGCTCGCCGTCTCGGTCCGTTCACCATCACCGTGGTTTTTAACATATCTGTGACCACAGCGTCACCGTCGCGCGGTCTTTTCGGTCTAGACCTTTGTCATCACCACCTTGCTCGTGAGTCAAATCCTCTTGAACCTTTTGCTGTTCTGATTATGTCTAATATTATTTTCCCCTGATCGACCAGTTATTGTTTATTCGACTTGGAATTCTATGGAGTTGAATGTTTTCTTGATATTTTTGTGTGTTTAGAGGCCAGGTTGATCCTCGTATTTGAGGTAGAACTGCGTAATTGTGTTTCTCTACTTGGAGTGTTCACCACTTGTTCGACGTAATGCTTCCAAAGCTCCTCTCTTGGCCAGTATTTAGATATTGATTGTTTGGTGACTTTCTAATTTGAAACGAACAACTCAAGAGTCTACACACTTATTCTAGACAGAGTCTATCAAGCAAACAAGTTACTAAACGTAATTGACTTATAGACGAATCCACTCTTCTATTATCACTGTCTCACTGTTTTGCAATCGACTCCATCACTCTGCTGAATCTCTAGTAATTACAGAGCAGAGACGCCAAAAAATTTAAACTTTACTTTTTCTGCTAATTTAACCTCGGCTAGAGCCTCAAGCTTGATATGTTTTGGTCATGTTGCAGTAATGGACGAGGGACGTCAAAAGGACTTGCAGTTGCTGGAGGAAATCATCGATAAAGGTTTAAAACAGAAGCTTGTACACACGATTGCATCACGGTATTCGAATTTACCTCCTTTTCAGATCCATATTTTTCAAATTCTATGTATGATGTTAAATGTAGAGTATTTCTTGTAGGGTTAGATTAGCTCGTCTTCTTTGGATGATATTCACTTGTAGTCTCTTTTTGAATAATGTTTTTTTTCATTGTGTCTCTTCATTTTGTTGTTGGTTCTGCAGGGACAAGATCTTTGAAGAACAAAAAGTACTGTATCCTTTTGTGTAGGAAAGACTCTTGCTTCTCGGAACGTGCATCTGATTAACATTTTTGTAGATTTTGCTCCTTGTCTTGGCCCCAGTAAGAGATGATACTTTGTTACCATTCAGTTCTCCACTTGGTTTTTGAGTTTCTTGTGATCTAGAGATATTGTTGTTGGTGTAGTCGTCCACAATACGTTGCTGTGCTAGTGAGCTCTAATTTGGTTTGAGTATTCTTGTTTCCTTAACGGTTGTTCCCACTCCAGCTCTGACTTGCGGAAAAACCTAGTGACTCTGGAGAAAAATGGTGTAAATAGTCTCAAAACAATGGTCAACCTCGGTTCAGAAGTTTACATGCAAGCTGAAGTGTACGTCACTTATAGTAGCTCTGATTCTTTCGTTTGATCTTAGTTAAGTCATTATATAATGCTGTCTCCATGCTCAGCTTAATGCATCTTCACAATTGCACGAACTCTTCTGCGTTTAAAACACTTTGTTAAGTAGTGTAGTTTCACTGTGTCTGTGTGTTAGATGCTAGTTATGTATCATTGAGCAGAAAACGTTCGTAACTGCGGATGGAAATTTGGAGATTATATCTAAAAAGCTTGCGTCTGATTTCGTTTACACTTGATTTTTTGAGTTCAGGCCAGACACAAGGCACGTATTCATGGATGTAGGGCTCGGCTTTTATGTAGAGTTTACCCGGCAAGAAGCTCTTGATTATATTTCACAAAGGGAGGAACGAATAAAAGAGTATGATATCTCTTTTGCTTTTTTATTTTTCTCCACATGCTGCTTTTCTCAAAGTTTTTCAAAGTTCTGTTGTCGCCTTCTTCAAGCCCTCATGTCATCAGTGAAGCCTGTTGTAACACGACTTTGTTGCATTGCTGTTTGCTTCTGGGTAAATAAATTGGTGGTTTTTGTTCTTGACAGACAAATAGAAGAGGTAACTCTTGTTATCACGCAGATCAAAGGGCGTATTAAACTGGTAAGATGGAGTAGTATCTAATTCATTTTTTTGGTTTGATAACAACTGATAAGAGCATAACCGGAGTAAACCAAGCACAACCAAAAGTATACCAAGATATGGGATATGGCATCGTGTTATGCTCCTATTTTAATGGGATTTTCTTCCGCTAGTTACGTGTTATAGTTGTTATAGTTGTAGTAATCGGCAGCTAGTTTATTTCTTCTATTGCGTATATATGGAATCGATAGGAATAGAAAATTGCAGTAATTTGTTCTTGTCTTTAGAACCATCGTGTTCTTGTCTTTGTTCTTGATCAACATTGATTGATTCCATAACTGGGACCTATCAACAACTCAGCATCATCTGTAGTATTTGAGTAGTTAAAATGGTTGTCTGAACATTGAAACGACCTTTTTTTTCGCAGGCTCATTACCAGATTCAGCAAATACTCAATCTTCCTGAACAGAATCCATCATCATCCCGAAGACGTGCGTTTAGTGACTAGTGGATAACTGGTGATTAGAAAAATATGCACTAATGAGAGGATTTTCTCTGATTTTGTGATTTTTTAAAGCTTAGGCGTGGAGGAGGAGAAACAGCTTAGTGTAATAATCATTATAAACGGAATTGTTCTTGTGTTAGACAAACAAAATCGATATAATAGTCTTGAGTGAACCATGGTTCGAGTTCGATTAGTTGATTCCCTGCGAGCATGAAAAATCCGTATTAACCATTTATGAAAAGTTTCTGAAATATTCTATATTTTTTGATTTTTTTTTTTAAAGAGGGTGAAAATATAAAGTTCGTAATTAAATATCAAAAAGAGTTTAAATAGAAAAAGAAAATACAAAATAAGATGAGAAAGGGTCTTGACATAGGACTTAAATTGCTGTAGAATCTGTAATTCTGTACATAGCTATAATTTTGTTAAAGCATTAATTTTTTTCCAATCATACTTTACACAGATTTTTAAAGCTATAGATTTTTTTTTCTTTTTTAAATTTATTTAGTTGTATAAAGCAAAATATGTAAAGGAAAAATTAATAATTCTACAGCATTAAAATCTATAGAACTAAAAGTTACAGCCACAACAAAAAATTTATAGCTTTATTTCTACAGCAAAAAAATTAAAGCAGCCAATCAAACCCATAATTTATTTTGTACTTGTAGTAGTTTGTTGTACTTGTACGAAAGAGGAAAAGAGAAAAACCTAATCCGATGAGCGTTGCCGATGATATGGTGGAAGACATACTCCTTAGGCTGCCGTTGAAGTCAATCTTCAGATTCAAAACCGTCTCAAAACAATGGAAAGCAACGGTGGAGTCGAGGTGGTTCGCGGAGAGGCGTGCGAGCGTTAAAAAAGGGCGGAAACTATTCCTGGCTGTCGGAGATGAGTCCGAGTCGCGGTTCGAAGGAGACGCAGAGACTGAGATGGTCTACTTACGATGCGAGGACGCCACACGACCTTCGCTGACGTGTAACGGTTTGGTTTGCATCCCCCTACCAGGTTGGGTCAAGGTTTTGAACCCTCTGACCGGAGAATTCCTTAGGTTCCCTTCGGGGCAGGAAGTCGCAAAGCAATGGTGGCACAACGTGTTCCCTGGATATTGGGCGATGGGATTCGGTAAGGACCAAGTTAACGGGAGCTATAAAATAGTGAGGATGTTGTCTGATCCTAACCATTGCCTGATTCTTGATATTAGCATCGGGGAATGGCGGGAACTGAGCCCGCCTCCTTGCGAGATTGAATCGGACAGGAAGTCGGCTTGTGTGAACGGGTCCGTTTACTGGTTAAACATGTTTCCTAAACACAAGTTACTGGCTTTGGATCTCCACACAGAAGAGTTCCGGGTTGTCTCCGCAGATCCCCCGCCTAGGCGCCGACCTGCAGCTCAGATAGTGAACCTTGAAGGCCGTCTAGCCATAGGCGAGACCAATACTACAGGTGAATGGAAGCTAGAGGTATGGTGCATGGATGCACAAGAAGAAACATGGACTATGACTTACAACATACTTTTATCATCCATTACAACTTTATGGTGCCGATGGCACAAAACCTACTTCACACCACTGGCTGTTTCTGAGGGAGGGAGTCTTTTCTTCACTGACAATAACAAGACGCTGTTCAAGTATTATCCAGACACGGACTCCCTCCGTTGTCCCTCTCCGGGCATTTGTGTTGTATCTCCATTGGTCGAAAATTTGGTCCGGTTCACTCCTCCAACAGGAGGAGGATATGTTTTCAAAATCACCAGATCAGGACAGGTTATATCCAGTTTTGTTAGACGGGTCCAATTCGGGATCCCCAATGTTTTGCTTACCCTCTAATTTGCTTTTTTTTAAGTCTCTCTCAATCTTTGAAACCTTTCCTCAAGCTTTTGTGTGTGTGACACACTCGCAATGACAATGCATTTTATACTTGAATGCTTCTCTCGTGACGTGCGTTTTAGATGCACTAATGAGATGATTTTCTCTTTATACGCTTGATTGGTTTTGCAAGGCCCTTGCCAGTTTTAAAGCTTAAGCGTGAGGGGAAAGAGAAACAAGCTTTTTACATATGGACCGAATTGTTCTTGTGTTAAGACAGACAAATGTACTCTTTGTCGTAGAGTGGGCCATACTTATGTTAGATTAGGCATATCTACTCGAAACATGTAATGAGGATAATAGTTAGACTCATCGAGCAAAATGACAATTCCCTAAATATTTTATGGTGTTATTTTTTTTTAACACTGAACCATTCATTTAGTAGCTGAAAGTTTCGAACTGGAAACTACAAAAACCGCAGCCAAAAGCCAATAGGCATTGCATGTCGAAAACAAAGCAAGAACCCTGAGGATTGAAGGAGGTTAAAGATTGCTTGTATGAGGTGTGATTGTTGAGGATTGAATGAGGTTAAAGATTGCTTGTATGAGGTGTGATTGTTGAGGGAAATTGGCTGGATTTAAGAGGGCTTCACGAAAGATTCAAAGAGGAAGATTCAAAGATTACTCGTTGTTGATGCAGGCTACTCATGCGTTCTATGGCCCATATCAAACTTAGCAGATCTGAGTGAAGCTTGGACGTCACGTTAGCGAAAGATCGCCAACTGTGAAAAAAGGACATCTCCTGTATAAGAGCGGAGGAGCCAGGAAACTCCACCATTCTCTTCTAGAGGCGACCATGACGATCCCACATTGCATTTTAGCTTATCAGAACACAAGCGCAGATATTGGCGGCAGCAACGGTACGATGAGACCTCAAACCAGTGATGCCACTGCAACTGCGTCTGACGAATCAAAGGAGAAGCTGAACCAAGTCATAAACTCGATTCACAAGACTTTAGGACTCCTTCATCAGTTACACCTCACCGTCTCTTTTTTCACACCCGCTTCCCAGCTGCATCTTCTTCAGCGCATGTAACTCCTCTCTTCCACTCCCAACGGCCTAAGATTGTTTTGGGGTATTTTGTTCTGATGAGTGTGTGTGTGTGTGTGTGTCTATTTTTGCAGCAACTCCCTTGTGATGGAGCTGGATAGCATGGCTAAGTTGTCCGAGAAATGCAACATTCAAGTCCCCATGGAGGTTCTTAGGTGAGAGCAAGCCCTTCTTCATTTTTTTCCCTTGGAATGATGCACTTGGGAGATAGGTTTTGCTTGCTCTCTTCTGATTTTGCATCTTCGTCTAGCTTGATTGATGATGGGAAGAACCCGGACGAGTTTACAAGGGATGTTCTTAATAGCTGCATAGCCAGAAACCAAGTTACAAAGGGCAAGACTGATGCTTTTAAGGTGCCCTCTTGACTCTTGTTTTTCAATAATTTTGTGTATGGTCTCTCTCTTTTAACCCATGTTTTAAAGTCCACATTTTTTATATATATATATATAGGATTTGAGAAAACATATTCTGGAGGAGCTTGAACAGACTTTTCCTGATGAAGTTGATAAGTACAGAAAACTCCGTGCTAGCTCCGCAGCTGTAAGCTGTTAACATTGCTTCCTTTTTTTCTTTCTCTCTGTACATCTTCATTAGTATGCGACCAGTAAGTGAAGGTGACAATTGAGTTCTCACAAAATTCAGGAAGCAAAACGGCTGGCACAATCGCAAAGTGTGTTACCAAATGGAGATGCTAAGGTCAAGAATGAGCTATAAGACACCTTTTAGAATAAAGTTTCTCTCCTTAGATGAAATGTGGATGTAAACGAACAAGCCTACTTGGAACTTCTATAATATCTGTTGGTTCTTTTAACTTGGCTGATGTAGTTTTGAGAATCTCTTCTTGTTGCCCAATCTTCGATGCTAAATTGTGAAGAAGAAGGTCGAGAAAAAAAGGGGGTCGAGTCGCTTACATAGACAGATTTTTTTCTGGAGTTTAAGGGATTGTTCTTTGACGGTAAATCATTGTTCTGGTTTTTATTTGTCTTTAACGATTTTGTATTTGGGTACCAATATTTACAAATTCTATTTATATAGTGACATCTATAAGCTTCGTTTGTTAGAAATTTAGATTGTTTACATTTTACTACATTGTTGGTTCATTAACATGTTACAATCGTCACTCTGGTGTAGATGATGATTTCTGGTTTTTTTACTTAATAATGCATTAATAAATATAATAAAACATGAAGCAATTGTAAAATAGTCGCTGTAGTCCCGCCAATTTAGACGTAAGTTCAATTCTTTGTAGGTCACTATAATCTTGCTTTTTTTAATGGGGGAATTGCTGAATATGACTAAAAACTTGAGTTGAAATTCAAAACTAGACCCTCTATTGCATGTTTGACAAAAATAACTCATAGGGATGGTGAAATTACAACTTTAACCCTTATGATCAAACAAAAAAACGTCAACCTCAATTACTATTTTATCCCAGAGAAGTCTACTCGAGAAGTCTATTACTTCTCGAGTAGACTTCTCCAAGAAGTCTACTCTTTAATAATATATTTACAATTAATTTTAAAAATCATAAAAGATAATTTGATAAAAAAAAATTAGATACATAACAACAAATATATATTTTTTTACACCTATTAAAAATAAAATTTGACAGAAAATAATCAATTTAAATCATCATAGATAAATGATGATAAAAATCAATACTAAGAAACTTCTCGAGTAGACTTCTCGGTCTCTCTGTAAGTCTACTTACACGAATTTTTTTTCTACATATATAAGGAGAGTTTAACCTAATTGTATTAACAATAAAGTCTCTCTCTATCTAAAAAACCGCCTATCTCTCTTCTCCCTTCTCTCTGGCCATGAATTTCTTCTCCTTCCTCTCTTGCTATCAATATCCTCTCCATCCTCTCTATTTTGCATTCAACCTCCTCTCACTTGCAGGTTATGGTAGTGGTACGCAAATCTGAGCTTTTGTGTTCCTCTTTTTGTTTGCTTTGTGTTCATATTGCAAATCTGAGCTTATTATTATAGATTTAAGCTTATTGTTGTAGATCTAAGTTTATTTTTGTAGATATGAGTTTATTGTTGTATAAATTTTGTAGATTTTGTTAATTTTTTGTTATTATTGCAAAGCTGAATTTTGTTGATTTTTGTACAGATCTGAATGTTATAAATATAGTAGATTATTATTATAGATCCAAGCTTATTAGTTTAGATTTGAGCTTATTGTTGTAGATCTAAGTTTATATTTGTAGATCTGAGTTTATTGTTGTATAAATTTATTAGATTTTGTTCTAGATCTAAATTTTTCGTTATTGTTACAGAGCTGAATTTTGTTGATTTTTTCTGCAGTTCTGAATGTAGACTTTTCGAGTAGACTTCTCGATCTCGAGCAGACTTCTCGAGTAGACTTCTCGAGTAGACTTCTCGATCTTGAGCAGACTTCTCAAGCAGACTTCAGTTGCATACATAATATTCAGAGATTTTAGTTTACTAGTAATTTCTTATGCTAGTTTTAAGATTTATAACTAGTGATTCTTAAATGTTTGTTTGTTTATAGGGTTATTTTCTATGTAATGTTGAATTGCATTGAATGTTTTGTATCAAATTCCTAAATTATCTATGTTTATCTATTCTACAAAATAGACTTCTCCTGTCTCGAGTAGAGTTCTTAAAGACATTAACTTTACATAACTTATAAGTGATTCAGAGAAACATTTCTCCTATTTATATCATATAACTTGTCAACCGAGTAGACTTCTCTTGTCTCGAGTAGACTTCTCCTGTCTCGAGTAGACTTCTCATGTCTCGAGTAGACTTCTAAAAGACATTAATTTTACATAACTTAAAAGTGATTCAAAGGGACATTTCTCTCATTTATATCATATAACTTGTCAACCGAGTAGACTTCTCTTGTCTCGAGTATACTTCTGAAGTAGCCTTCTCATTGTCTCGAGTAGACTTCTTAAAGACATTAATTTTACATAACTTAAAGGTGACAACATTCGCCCTCCTTTGCTATTCGCCCTCTTTTGCCAACATTCACCAAGAAGCTCACATGTGTGCAACCATCTCTTAAGAACAACATTTGCCCTCCTTTGCTATTATCCACCTCGAACTGCCACACTGATTCACTCTTAACCCATTCTCCATAAACAGCGGGTATGTGAGCCATTCTCTCTGAAAAAGAACAAAATCCAAACCACATTAGACATCAAAATTGCATAAGTAGACTTCTCTGAAAGTCGGATGAAGTCTACTCTTAATAAGCTAAGTATCATATAAAATATGAAAACTCATTCGACTATACCTATAAAATATAAACATGCAAAACTTATACATAAGCAAGAAAACTTAATAACAGAAGTTTAGGATCGCGAAAATCTTAAAAATTCGTTATATATTGTATAAAATGATTTTTTTTATAAAACAAGAAAAGTAGACTTCTTGGATAAAAGTATACTTCTCGCAGGTTAATTTTGCAATTGCCAAAATATTAGTAGACTTCTCTATGAAAAGTAGACTTCTCCGAGAAGTCTACTTCTGTAAGTAGACTTCTCGCAGGTCATTTTTGCAATTGACCAAAAAGTCAAATATTTTTCAATTGCAAAAATGACCTGCGAGAAGTCTACTTACGAAAGTAGACTTCTCGGAGAAGTCTACTTTGCATAGAGAAGTCTACTCTACAAAGTCAAAGGTTGGCCAATTGCAAAAATGACCTGCTTCTAAAGAAGTCTACTCGAGAAGTCTACTCTATTTTTTTTTTTTATCAAAGGAAATGGAGTAGACTTCATTCGGACCAAAAGAAGTCTACTTTTTCATGCGGTCAATTGCAAAACTAACATGGGCGTTGACTAGTAGACTTCATTCGGACCAAGAAAAGTCTACTTTCGGAGCATTTTCGTAAATAAGTGAGGAAGATGAGGATTAGTTGGTCATTTGGATTTCCGAAAATAAAAGAAATTAATTAAAAATAATAGCAATTTCGTGAATAACTGAAACTATGAAGTATTGTTTGGACACAAAATGGCAAATATTGGGAAGGTGATTTTTGAAGGTTAGATTTGCAATTCAAATCAAATTTTAGGTCATTTTTGCAAGAATCCTTTTTTTAATTGGGTTTACTTTCTGAATCGGGCTCGGTTAATATTTGGTTTACTTGAATCGGTTCGGTTTAGGATCTGAATCGTGATTTTGAAATCAAAACGCAATTTTTATCATTGATGATGTAAGACTTTGGAATTAGCGTTCAAACTTTTAAAATGGTGGAGCTTTGTACAAAGATCCAAACTTTGTGTAAATTTAGTACTAAATGATAATTCTGAAAGGTATATATAGATAGTCAATCCTTCATTTTACGATGAAATATCTGAAACAGTTCATTCAACAATGCTTAATATTCCCCATTATTAAAATAAGTACAAATTATACCATTCATTCAACAATGCTTAATATCCCCCATTAATTAAATAAATACAAATTATAGCAGTTGAACATAATGATTTGGACATAAATTTTTTATATATGATGAAGTGATTACATCAATCTGTTCTTTCCTTTCGTTGTGCACTATGATTGGAACATTGATGTCATTGCTGCTGATTTTGCAAAAATGAGCAAACTCCAGTCTATTATCCATCTTGACCAGTTGAAGAACACAACCTAATGAATTTAAGTCAATAACATTTTTATTTATGAAAATTATGTTCTCTGACCACTTTTTCATGTAACTCTGTTCTCTTTTCAGGTTTACGCATGTGAAAACATAATTATTAAAAATAATTTTAATTTATATAAGATCTAAATATAATTGTAATTTTATAATGATCAAATTTGAATTTTAATCATGAAATAAGAACATATTTCAAAATAAAGAAACAATCAAACTTTTCAAAATCAATAACTAAAAAATAATAAATAAATATAAATTAAAATTAAGCACCTAAAAATTAGAACTAGAAGAATTAGATGTTACAAACCAAAAAAACATTAAAGTTTACAATTTTTTATTATTTATATATAGATATATTTATAAATATTATATTTTAAATATATGAGTTAAGTTAATAAATTGTAAAGGTAATGAAGTCTAATAATAAAATATAGACCTAAACTAATTTAAGAACAAAAATATATTTGGAATTTAGTTAAACCAAAAAAACTTTTTGATTTGACGGTTTTAACCAAACTAAACCTAAATCAAAATTATAAAAAAATTATAACCAAATAGATTTTTAAGATTAATCATAATCAAACTATATCACTTTTTTGGTTTGATATGATTTGATAGTTTCGATTATGGTTTTTGTGCCCACCATTATCCCCATAAAATAAATGTTGAATCGTCCTATGACCCCATCAATAATATTATTTCATATTTTTTTGTCCTTGGTTTTAACTTCTTACATTAGTTATTATATTATGACATCAGTAAAAAATATTTATAGATTAGCCACTGCTCACTAAACCTTTCCTCAAGCTTTTGTGTGTGTGACACACTCGCAATGACAATGTATTTACTTGAATGCTTCTCTCGTGACGTGCGTTTTAGATGCACTAATGAAATGATTTTCTCTTAACCTGTCGATTTGGTTTTGCAAGGCCCTTGCCAGTTTTAAAGCTTTAGCGTGAGGGGAAAAAGAAACAAGCGTTTACATATGGACCGAATTGCTCTTGTGTTCGGACAGACAAATGGATCTAAGATTTAATAATTGACTGTTCCTTAAATAGTGTATCGTTTTTAAATATGTAAATAGTGTATCATTTTTCTAAGTGATGTTAGTTCAAATTTGTAATTATATCAACTAAGGAACTGATGTAATTTGTTTTTTTTTTTAAAGTGATGTAAACAAATGTAAAATTGTATCAGTTATATGGAATTGATGTTAACAAGTCAAAAATCGTATCAATCATTATGTGATGTTAAGCTAAATATTTTACATCATTTGTTAATAAGTAATTCAATTTAGTATCACTTGATTTTGTGATACTATTTAAGTGATTTAATACACCTCTCTTTTTTTTTTTGTAGTGATCAAAGAGTTATCAATAACAAAAGTATTACGAAAAGGAAATGTTTCGGTTCAGTTCGGTTCGGTTCGGTTCGGTTCAACTTATATACATTTGCATCAAATGTGAGGCATGTGTATACACTATACACAGTGGCTGACACGTGCCACCTTAACCGCACCGTTTTGGTTGTTCCTTCCTGTACCCAAAATTATCAGAGGAATTGGAGCTTCCGAGGAATTGTGACTTGTGAGGAAGACGAACAGTTGTTCGATTTCGTAAGCAAGGAGGAACTTTCTTTTGTACTGCTTCGAGATCCGATCCAATCTTCTAACAAAGGATCCGATTTTACGGAATCTCCACAAAAGTTCCTGAATCAGTCTTGAGTTTTTGCCGATTCGAGATCGAAACCTTTTGCTGAAGGAAGAAGATGAGCGACGTGTTTGAAGGGTACGAACGCCAGTACTGCGAGCTCTCAACCAATCTCTCCAGAAAATGTCACTCTGCGTCGCTTCTTTCCGATGAAGGTATCATTCGGATCCTGAGTTGGATAATCGCATTGCTTGAATTGGATACATAGTTTTGCTGAGGGATCAAGTAATTGTTTAGACCCTTACTGGCTCAAAGATAATTGTGTTGCTGCTTTGGTTTGATCACTTGGTTCTTCGCTTTCTCCACCAGTCTATGTCGATCACTGTCTTTCTTGGAGTAATATATTGCATCGACATGTTCAAATTCGTTACATTTTGTGGTGCCATATAACCATATAGTAGAGGTTTAATTGATTGGCACGTGCTTTTTCAGAAGAGAAGAAGGAGAAGATTGTTGAGATCAAGTCTGGGATAGACGAAGCTGATGTCTTGGTATTACCATTTTTTATGTTTCTTTCCTGTTTTTTTCTCTTTCTGGCTTTCTCTCAAATCAATTTGTGTTCTGTTTTTCTTTTTGTAGATCCGGAAAATGGATCTTGAGGCAAGAAGTCTGCAGCCGAGTGCTAAAGCTGTGTGTCTTTCTAAGCTAAGAGAGTATAAATCTGACCTGAACCAATTGAAGAAGGAATCCAAACGAGTCTCTTCCGCAGATGCTAAGCAATCTACACGTGAAGAACTCATGGAATCCGGAATGGCGGATCCGCTTGCGGTAAACTTCTCATATAAACTCTTCATTTTCTGTTCTTAAAGTCTGGAATCACATTTTCTAGTTGTCTTGATTTATTCGTACCATCTTTGCTTTTGTTCCCTTTAGTGCTATTTGGTCTAAACTTAATCTGAGATGTTTATATTGTCTTGTTGGTTCCCAAGGTATCAGCTGATCAAAGAGAGAGATTGGCGATGTCAGTGGAGAGGCTTGACCAATCCAGCGACAGAATCAGGGAGAGTAGAAGAATAATGCTCGAGACAGAAGAGGTTGGCATCTCGATTGTTCAAGATCTGAGTCAGCAACGCCAAACACTCCTTCATGCTCACACCAAGGTAGGCGTTACCAGTAATGATCTCTATCACCGCCAAGAATTTTCTTGAACAGGATCATATATTGAGAAAACCTAAACTTCTGTGATTTGTGTAAAAACAGCTTCACGGTGTGGATGACGCCATTGACAAGAGCAAGAAAGTGTTGACGGCTATGTCAAGAAGAATGACAAGGAACAAGTGGATCGTTGGTTCGGTGATCGTGGCTCTTATTCTCGCCATTATCTTGATCATTTCATATAAGCTTTCACATTAATATACTCAAAACATCATTCATCGTAATTGTGTGTGTGTGTATATATCTGGTCGATTCCTCTGTTTTACTTACTTATTTGCTTGTATTCCAAGTATATTTTACTTACTTGTATTGCAAGTTAGTTATGTGTATTGAAATGGCAATACTTTAAACATTCATTAGGTTTTCCCAAAGTCTTCACATACTCGTAGCCAAAGATACTTAGTATATATAATTGAACGGTTGTAACTTGTAAGATTGAGAACACTAACGCACTAATTAGTAATAGATGCATTCAACTTGTGTTTAATTTGTTTGTAAAGAGGTTTGTGAGCTCAAATGGTCTTGACTCTTGCTTGAAGCCTTGAATAAAGGATTCATTGAGCTAATGAATGAATGGAGATGAACATACACTTTAATGTTGCAAGAGTATTGAAACAAAGGGGAACATGTATATTAGATCGATTCATCTCCAAGGCATAACCCAATTGTGACAGTAACTCGTTTTTACTATTTTAGAAGAAAAAAAGCTGCATTGTTAATCACTAAATTTATGACCTCTCAATATTAATGGTGTAGTAGGCTGAATGGTATCATATATACTCTTGAAAATGCCGAGTTTGCATATATTAAAACATTCACTTTTATAATTGATAACATTGTTAATATTGATTTTCAAATAAATGACATATTCTATAAATAAATTAAATTAAAAAGAGTGTCTAATCCGAAAAAACTAAAATGAAAATCTCTACACTTTTTTACTCAATAAAACTGTCTATTTCTACTTAACTTAATTCCAGTTCTTTCTTTGTGCAAAAAGATCATCATGACGTTAGCTCACTCTCCTCAAATTATATGTGGTCTTGCCAACATAAGAGATTTGATTGTTAATCTCAAATAGTTAGGTGTTGAAACGAGCACAACAATCATTTTGCCCAAAAGAGAGCTTATGGCTTGAAATTGGATAATGAACATGATGATAATATGATCAGATCTAGCAATCTTGTAATAGTTTGCTAATGTAGTCATATATTTCCCTTTTTAGTTTCTTAAACCCTCAGCCCTTTTTCATCAAAAAGTTGTGAAGACATATGACATTCTTGATAAAGATATGAGCATTGCAATCATAATGTACACTATGATTGGAACATTGACGCCATTGCTGCTGATTTTGCAGCAATGAGCAAAATGAATCTCATTCTTACTCGAGTTGGAGCTGTGTAAATGTAAGTTTGTCTATCAAAAACACTTTTTTTCATGAATATTTTGTTCTCTTTCTAGGTCTGCTCATGTGGAGACTTTGATTTGGCTTAATTGATACAGTTGAGTTGTGGCCATAACGTTTGCGTCACTTGTCTTAAAGGTGACTCACAAATAATTCTTTCAATCGCTTTTGTTAATGGATGTACACTCTAGTTTGTTTTAAGTATAACACAAATCTTTTTATGTTTTCAGCGATAGTTAATGGTCAACTTTTGACTGCTAATATTCTTCCTCTTTGCCCTTCGCATGAAAACCTAACATACTTGGACCACCATGATTGCCATTTTATGAGGGTAGCCAGCTTCACATGAACTCTGCGCAACTATAAACGGGCAAGTCACAAGATTCGGTTTAGTAATAAATGCATAATAATTCGTTTGCTCAAATGGTCTTTGACTCTTGCTTAGATAAAGGATTCAGTGAGACCGTTGTACTAATGAATGAATGTAGATGAACGTGGCCTAGAGTGTATGTATACAATTGATAGCTTCATCTCCAAGGATAACTCATTTGTGACAATAACTCGTTTTAACTAATTTAGAAGAAAAAAAAGCTCCAAACCGTAATTGTAGGCCCGGAAATAAGAATATTCGGTCTCGTGTTGTCTTGTCATTTTGATATCTTGTCATTGGCTAGATTCCTGTGCCGATTCTTCACTAAGACCAACGGCTCTGTAAAAAGCAGAGGAAGATAGAATAATTCTATTGGATAGAAATGGTTTTGGAGAGGTCGAAAACTCTTGAAATGTGGAAAAAGAAAATATTCACAGTCGATGTCCAACTTGACTCGAGAGTTTCAAGACGAAGAAGACAAATGTCTTTTATATTATGAACCTCTCTCTCTCTCATAAAGTTATCGCCTTTATAAAAACACGAATCCACCATAAGATTTTCTGTTACTATTCTCTCTGCTCACTCAGGATATATAATTTCAGTGATTTATCTGAGATTTTTTTCTTTCTCTTAAGGTGTTGTTTCAACAATGGCGGATCAATCTCTTCACTCACCGATCAACCCACATTTCTTCAAGCCTCTTCTTCCAGGCTTCCACAGTCACCTCGTAACTCTGTTCTTTTCTTTCGTTTCAAGAGAAGATTCTTCTATAAGAAAAAAATGTTTCATTTCTAATTTTGTTGCATGTTGTTGTTGCAGAACATCCCTGTAGCTTTCTTCTCGAAGCACGTCCAAGGAAGAAACGACCACATCAAGACTGCAAAACTGAGATCAGATGCGTCCGATAAAACCTGGACAGTGAAGATGGACGGCTTGAAACTCACTGATGGCTGGGAAGATTTCGCAGTCGCGCATGATCTCCGAATTGGTGACATCATCGTTTTCAGACATGAAGGAGAAATGTTGTTTCATGTCACAGCTTTCGGACCAAGTTGCTGCGAGATTCAATATACTTCATCATCATCATCATCTCACAACATCAATGATGATAGTCGTGATCAGACCAACAACATTGGTAAACTTTTTGTTCTATGAAATGTACTAAAATCCTGTAGAAAAAGATGCAAAACTAAGATTTGTTTATATTGTTATTTAGTTACAGGAAACAATTCAAGAAAGAAGAGGAAGAGAGTGAAGAAAAGTCCAAGAAACAGAGTAGAGACTTCATCTGACCATTCTCATTTTCTGGCAAATGTCACAGCTTCGAGCCTACGTTTTGATCAACTGGTTAGATTATATTTTTCTTCAAAAAATCTGTTAGTATAAAAGACATTAATCCAACTCTGTGACGGTATTTTGCAGTATATACCACGGGGTTTTGCGAGCACAAACGGTCTGCAAGAAATGAGCGGTGAGAAAATCGTTGTTCTTAACGAAGAAGGAAGAGCATGGAATGCAAATCTGATTTACAACCAAGCAGGCATGCATACTTTAGTCAGGCCTGGTTGGAGAAGATTCTGCGCTGAAAATGGGATGAGCCAAGGTCACCAGTATACATTCAAACTGGTTCGAAAATCTGAACCACCTGTCATCCGTTTGTGCCATGCAGAATCTTCACTGCACCATTCTTGTTACGAGGGATCTGTCAGTGCTTATAGCCTGAAAACTAATAAATTGGTAAATACAAAGCTTTGGTTTATTCCACTATCTTAATTAAACCCACACGTTACTCACAGAACGATCATTTGTGTGTTGATGTGCATGTTGCAGTATCTTCCAAGGAACTTTGTGACTGAGAATGGTCTGGACAAAGGATGCCGTGAGATAGTTTTAACGGATGAACGGGGAAGAAGATGGAGTTTAGCCTTGAAACACTACGAATCACGCAACCAGATTTATATCGGACCAGGCTGGGAAACTTTTTGCCAAGGGAACGGGATCAAAGCTGGAGATTCCTTCAAGTTGGAACTGGTCGGAACCGGGGAAAAGCCTGTTCTTTCTTTGTGCTCTTCCAACGGTGACAAAACGCCATTAGGCTCCTTGAATACTAGCAGCGGAGATGATAGTAGAAAATCCCAAAAAAGTGAGAAGGAGAGTCTCGGAGAGAAAAGCATCTCACAGGAATGCTTGTTGATGGAGGAGGAGGAGAAGAAGAAGACTTTCTCGAGATGCAGAGCTTCATCTTCATATAGTCAAGACCAATTTGTGAGGATAACTCTTACACGACGCGCTGTTAAAAACTATAAACTGGTAAGTTCATAAACAACTCTGCCTCAAGATTGTCCCTTGGTCTATTATTGTTTTTTAACATTTGAATCTTTGCACAGATGCTTCCGGTGGATTACACTCGGGGGAATGGCATCAACAAGCCAGGTAAGATAACTTTGTTGAGTAAAGATGGAGTAAGACAGGTGGTGGATCTTTTGCAGAACAAAAGAACAGGAGTAATGCGAATTGGAAAAGGCTGGAGAGAGTTCTGTGACGCTCATGGCGTAAAGATAGGAGTGCCTTTTGTGTTGGAACTCATTCGGGAGGAAGAAGCAAGTCCCGTGCTTAAGTTCTGCACCAAAGTAGACTCTGTTTGAGACTGTTTCCAGAGAAGAATCATATGCTGTCTCTACTTATCGGAGTCTTGTTATGAATTCTGACTAGATGTCTCTACTTATCGGAGTCTAGATGTCTCTACTTATCTGAGTCTTGTTATGAATTCCAAAAAAAATTAGAACTTTACTGCAACAAGTTTTTTCGATCTTACCTCTAATGTGTAGAGACATGCATCGATCCTCTGTTGGTTTGTGAACCCTTTGAGAAGTACTGAAAGGCCATCACTTTGTGCTTCATAATCTCGTTAAAAACATTCTTCTCGACGAGATTTTTCTTTCTCCCGGGAGAGAATGTGAAAACAGAGCAATTAAGTGAGTTATTAACTTGTTGACAAAAAAAAAAAAAAAGTGAGTTATTAACTCAGAGAGAATTTGTTTAACTATAGTTTGATGCATTTGATCAACTATTCGGTGGACACTTTCAAGAGCTTCGAAAAGTAACAGTGAACCTTTTATTTTTTAGCCTGAAACTTCAACTCAGTTTCTTGCTTCAATCAAACATTTATACTCTTAAAACTTTTTTACAATGTTTGCTCTTATCCAAAAATGAAAAAATTAATACAATATAGTGAGTGAGTGCCTAAATCTGTCACGTTTTCCCAAGTTTAACCTATAAAAACATGCTTGCTTCTCTTTCGGCTGACAAAAAGGGCAACACTTTCACATTCATTTGATTTCCAGGTCTCTCACAGTAAATGCTCTCAAGCCAAAGATCTATACAGAACCCAGGGAATAGAAGATTCCTTATGAGTTGGGAAAAAGAAAGAGAATGGGAATTGTTCCATCTAACCATCTTTAGATGACTTTCTTCTTCTCCAAAAACGACTTCAAATGCAGAAACTGCATCCCTGCGACTCCTAAGCATACGAAAAGAGACAGGAAACTCAACCACGCCATTTTCGAGTTTGTAGCCCGGTTCAGATCTTGCATCTCTTCCTCCCTGACGATCATCACGTTATAACCACAAGTTGAGATTCAAAAACATTGCAACGATTACAAAAGTTTGGATATTGGAGAGTCTATTGTATACAACCGGAAGCATAAACAAGAGAAACTTTCTTTTTTTACCTGTCTCTGAGATAAAACATTTCTTCATGAATAGAGTTGACGATTTCAATTAGCTGCTTTACGTCAAACTCCATCACCTTTGGTACAAACGAACATCAACACAGAAGCATAAGAATCTAGCATTGTTCAATCCCAAACATTTGGATTCTGAGGCTCAACAATTTAAGCTTTTTGTACAATAAATCACACAGAACTTTCCAATTCAGTAACAGTTTCACACTGAACTACCAAATCAGTATATATACCAAACAATATGATGAATCAAAGGAAAAGCATTTTAAAAAAAAACTCACTTCGACTTGGCTCTTCTTGGCTACACTAGGCCAGCTCTTAGAATGAATACCTGCTTTCCAATCCAAATCAACACTCAATGTCACTTCAGGTTTATGGTCGATGGCAGTGAAACAAGCCATGTAATCTCCAGCTTCAACCGCCGTGAACGCGAATTGTCCCGATTCCACATCTTCCGCGTGATGGTAAGTGTTCCCGTAGCTCGATGACACCTGTGAATACGTTCAATCGATCAGAGAGAACAATCAAACAAATTCCACAAAAAATTCAAGAAATTGGGAAAAAAAGGAACGAATTTTCGAGTACCCTTATGGAGATCTTGTGAGACGGAGGAGAAGGGTGAGCTTCGTTTGGGTTAACGACGCTGTATTTCCCGACGGACATTGAGTTGCTCTTGATGTCCTCCGATACACATTTTGTTCGGCCCGATTGCAATTCGAAGTGGAGAGATTGGGAAACGCGCGAATAAATCCCCAGGAGTAACAGCGTCGTAAAGAGATTTACTGATCGGAGAACCATGGCGAAAACTTCAGAGAGAGAGATCCTTCTTTTGTTCTTGCTCCTCAATCGTTGCAGAGTTGGTGAGAGAGAGATTGAATACGAAGAACTCAAAACTCAACGAGAACGACGTAGAATGGTGGAAAGAGCTTTTGACACGTGTATGATAGTAATTGGCGAAGGCACGTCGAAGAAGATTTCGAACCTTCTCTTTCAGCTGGAGGCTGGAGCTTCGTTTTTCCCTGACTTTTTGGAAAATCACGAAAGTAAAAAGAGTTTCTTCCTAATTTTAAACTGGATAGTCGTCTTAGGCCCATCAGGACTTGATGTACTTTGACTAGTAGTATGTCAGGATTTGGATTTTGCAGCTGTCTGATTTAAAAATCACTATGTTTTGTAAATATGATTGTAACTTGTAGTTCTCCAAATATAAATGTTGAGAGAGTGAGAGATTAAAGAGAATTGAGTTGATTATTAAAGTGGTATTACTTTGCCGGAATTTATATTATTAAGATAACTAGGAATAGGATCCCCGCTTCGCATGGTCAATATACGGTATATTAAAGATTAACAGAAATTTATTTAAAATAATTATAAGTAAAATATATATAATAAAAATGCAACCATTCAAAACAACTTATAATTATTAAAATAAAAAAAAATATTTCTCAATTTTTTTAATTATTAACAATAAGTTCTAAATAGAAATGTACAAACTAATTATGATAAAAATATATAAATTTTCATATGATTGTTATTACTAATTATTAATAGAACAAATAAAAAAATTGAAAAGTAATAAGATACACAACTTTTTAAGTATTTTAAAAAGTTATATATGAAAATATACAATATAGATATATCATATAAATATGCGATTTCTATTTGTATAATTATTGAAAATTTATATTCACATAAAAGTGTAAAGTAAAAAATAAATAAGGCAATCTTTCAAAAATAGTTTATAAAACTATACATTTAGTATTAAAAAGCTAGAAACAAATAATTATGATAAAACTTTGATATCTAAAAAAAAATACCACAGGAAATATACATAATAAAATGATGTAATGAGATTTTATAATACATTTTCTAAGACTACCATAGTTTCTAAAAATATTCTCAATATTAAGAAGGTATATTACAAATATATTAGTTAAAATATATAAAAAAACTTTGATACCTTAAAAATACATATATAAAATATATGTGAATTTGTTATACATAAATATATTTCTATGAAATTAGAAAAAAGAATCGAAATATTAGGTACTTTAAATTTATAAACAACTAACAAAGAATATTAAAACTTGAAAATAACACAATTAACTACAAATATATAGATGTTAACAAAAAGATTTAAATAACATAATATATTAGTAAACAAAATACATATAATTTTTTTATAATAAAAATAACATTAGATTTTGGTTGAATAAATTTTATTTTTCTGATATAATACATATAAAACAATCTTGTAATGAAATTTATCATATTTTAGCCACAATTAGACTCTCAAATGGAATTTTTTACTCAAATTCAATATCTGAACCTCCATGATTTTTAAACACTTTGTATCTCGATAATATGTTATGATAAATAAATAAGTTTACGACAAAAAAAGCTCACTATAGTAAGAAATTAAAAATTAGAACCAAATAATTTTTTTCTGTGGTTTTGAGCAATATAAGTAATTTTGAAAAAAAACACAAATAAAAGTTCTGATAAAAAAATGCAACCATTTATAATGAAAAGATGCAATCATTTATAATAAAAAGACACAACCACAAATTTTGAAATGACACAATTTTTTAAAGTATAAGTAGCATTTATTCGGATTGTTTACGACAAAAAAAAACCCACCATAGTAAAAAAGTAAAAGTTAGACCCAAATAATTTTATTCTGTAATTTTGAGCAATTTAAATAGTTTTGAAAAGACATAAATAGCAGTTGTAATGAAAAAACGCAATCATTTATAATGAAAAGATGCAACCATTCATAATGAAAAGACGCAACCACAAATTTTGAAACAACACAACTTTTTAAAGTGTAAATGACATTTATTCGGATTGTTAACAAAAAATTAAATAACATAATATATATTAGTAAGTAAAACAATTATAGTTTTTTTATAATAAAAATATCATTAAATTTTAGTTGAAGATTTTATTTTTCTGATGTAATGAATGTAAAACAATTTTGTAATAAAACTGCTCACATTTAGCTAAAATTGGACCCCTAAATTAATTTTTTTACTCAAATTTAATATCTGAACTTCCAAGTTTTTTTAAACACTTTGTATCTTGATAATATGTTATGATAAATAAACAAGTTTACGATAAAAAAAAAATCATTATGATAAAAAAATAAAAGTTAGATCCAAATGATTTTTCTTGTGGTTTTGAGCAATATAAATAGTTTTGAAAAGACACAAATTATAGTTGGTGAAAAAATGCAACAATTTATTGTAAAAATATGCAACTATTTATAATGAAAAGACACAATCATAAATTCTAAAAGGACACAATTTTTCAAAATGCAATTGGTATTTTTTCAGTTTGTTATTATATGTAGATAACTCTACAAGTGTGTTTGATCTAAAACAATTTAAAGATTAGTGATTTAGTGAGAGTTGATTCACATTATTGTGCAAGCTAAGTGACAAGTTCATCAGTGGAAATATGTTTTTGTTGAAGTGATCATTTGCATGACTATAGAACTGTTCCATAAGACAAAAGTCCACTAGTGATAAAAAGGACAAAAATGTGAGAATCCTCATGTCTTAAAAAAACGATATTACGTGTAAGAATTAAACACAGTAAGTAGAATTTAACTTGCATATGGACAAAAATATCATTATAATTTGTATTAAAATAGTTTTTTGGTTTTTAAGAAAAACTATTAGAGTTGTTTTTTTTGTTTCACATGCAAAGCCAAATTCTACTTACGTGTGTCTGTTGGACTCAAAAAGAAGACAAGCATTTATTTTAATTATGTCTGGTTCGCAATTATTAAACAGCTTAGCAGGATGGTTTAATTAGTGTCGATATCTTTTATATTTCACATGGCCTAATTTATTTTCAATTGGTGAACAATATGGACTATAATAGGCAACATGCAAGCAATATTTGCTTGAATTTTTATTTTTGTTAACGGGAGCTCACATGCATGTACAATCTTCGCAGTGTGGATTCTAACATGTAATATATATATAAAATGCTGCAAAACTAAAGAAATGCTAGGTATAATTGGAAATCTATTGAAATTTGGAAGATTCTATCACAATATGTTAGGACTTAGGACGAACACCAGGAGGAGATATACGAGTTATTGCCTGACAATTTACTAATTGGATAAATGTTGGTTAAAAACTCGTACGAGTTATTCGACCAATATTTACATATATCTATAACTTGAAACGATTATAATATCTGTCAAAAAACATATTTAAGAAATTACCAAATACGGTATGTAGTTACGTTGTTCTATAAATGTACACAGTTTTTAGGTACAATGCACGAACGAAACAAGTAGCCCAGCCCGAGTATATCATTGTGTCTCTATTTTAACAAGTTAAAACACGTTAACATAATTACAATTGTTGTTAACTCTATGTAATTAGATTTTGATGGTTTTTTCCGGCTTTTTTGTTGAACGGAAAAAAGTATATAATTACAACAATTTTCGGCTTTTTACCAAACACGTTAACATAATTACAATTATTAAAGAACTCAAACAGTATTATTTTGTGCACATAGAATTCAATTCAAACAGTACAAAAGTACAAAATCGCTTCCTTCGGCTTTGTGTTGACTTGTCGGGGTTGACTTTAAAAATAAAGCGAAATTTACTCCACAATGTTCTCGGTTTGCATTTTTGCCTTTATCAAACTATATATGAGTGATAAGTCAATCCAACCAGATTATCATTTGCAGATCACCTAGTGGCACATATATTTCCTCATATAATTCCACATGACATTATCATATGCTTCTTCATATAAGACAGTGATCATTAATTCATTATCATATGCTTCTTCATATAAGACAGTGATCATTAATTCATTATCATATGCATCGGTATAACAGTATACTGATTAACATCAAGTTAACAGAAAAATAAATAAATAAATGTTGTGGTCCGGTTTGCAACGTCTTATAAACAGTGTAATAGATATATATACGTGCCAGTTGGCCACTATGAAAAACAATCTAACAATTGAAAGGCGCAACGATGACCTAATTGAAGCAAATATATATATATATATTGTCCACACACCAAAATTTTATGATGAATTATGTACTTGATTACACCAAGCCACTTAAAGTGTCGGTTGAAAAATTATCTTTAGGAAACGATATTCAAGTACAAAAATAAATGATACAGAGTAGCTCATCTTTATTGAGACTTTGGGAGAACTCTCTATACTTTTTGCCACTATGAATTTTTAATATAATTAAATGAAATTCGATAAACTAAGTTTCTTATTCTTTTCCTCCGCCTTACAAGATACGACTTTATTTTTAAAAATAATACTAATCGTTTGTTTTTTATTACTACAGTAATTGTTGTTCTTCATTCACTCTCTTACCAAAAAAAATTGTTATTCTTCATTTATTAATAACAGTTGTTCTGTCTTTTACTTTTAAAAATTGTGGTAATTACGGGAATCAAGATCCACACATGCATTTGATGAGTTGGGTAGTTTCCAATTAGATTCCTCAAGATCCTATAACTGTGCTGTCGATCCACATTTTAAAAAAAAAAATTATTTTAACCAAATCTTCATTATTGGCTCAATTAATTTATTTGGGTATACAATCTTTGCGAGAATAGACCGAAATGTTTGTTTTCCTATATCAAAGTTTTTTTGGCCTTCACTAAACCTTTGCTTTAAAAAGCCTTTCCCTTCTCACTTTATGTGTCGTTTCTTCGCCAATCTCTTTAATTTTCTTCTTTGCAAACAAGACTCGCGTGTTTCTCTTCGTAGTTTATTATTATCTGTTTTTGTTTACATCTTCCCCGTTAAGTTCTAACTCTTCAACAGAATTGATTATTTTAAATACAGGATTATGAATCTATGATCTATCTGGATTTTCCAATTTAAACTTCTTGCACAGAAGAATATTGTGAGAATTCAATTGGAAATCAAATACAACGCAAAGGCGCAGAAGAAATGAGAGAAGAAAATGATTATGAAGCAGCACCAAGCGAGAGGACGTTAGGTTTAACACCAACTTGGTCTGTTGCTACAGTTTTGACTGTCTTTGTAGTTGTTTCTTTGATCGTTGAGCGTTCCATTCATCGGCTTAGTAACGTAAGTAGCTCAAAATAGTATTTGTTTATATGTTTTTTGCTTCTTTTTTTTTCATCATTCTTTAACTAGAATGTTTGCCTATAAACTTATTGAATTGATAAACCCACATAAATTATGAAAGATTTTGGAATTCCTATAACTCATGTAAAATTAAATTATTGGAACTTTTAAAACTATGGTCGACTTCCCTTTTTGTATAATATCATGAGTCAAGTGTTAAAAGGTTTGAAACTTTTCTTTGTATTTATCGTTTTGTTATAACTTTTTGAGTTTTCTTCTGTCAATAGTGGCTACAGAAAACAAAGAGAAAACCTTTGTTTGCTGCATTGGAGAAAATGAAAGAAGGTTGGTGGATAAATATGTTTTAGCAATTCTAATGGTATGTTTTGTAATATTTTCTCATAATAATTTAATTGAATTTTTATAATGTTTTCTTCTTCAGAATTGATGCTGCTCGGATTCATATCGTTATTTCTTACCGCTATCTCTAGCACAATAGCTAACATATGCGTATCTTCAAGTTTCTACAACGACAGATTTGTTCCATGTTCCCGGTCTGAGATTAATGATGAACTTCACAGTACCATTTCATCTGTCAAACGGACTCCGTTAACGAGATCTCTCTATTTCCACATCTTGAGGAGAAGATTGGTTGGCATTAGCGAGACTACTTGCAGCGAGGTTTTCTATTAAAAATCATTTTTATAATAATGTATACATCATGGTTGATTACAAAATACCAAAACATCTTTTATTAGAATCAAAAAGACAGATGATATTATCTACTTAACAGGGACATGAACCATTTGTTTCTTATGAAGGCATGGAACAATTGCATCGTTTCATATTTATAATGGCAGTCACACACGTAACTTACAGCTGCTTGACAATGCTCCTTGCAATCGTGAAGGTTAGTCTTATCAAACATGTAGTGTCTTTTTCCTACTGAGCCTCTTGTCCACGGCCCAAAGATATTAGGGCTTCGGCCCAAACTCCCTGAATAAAAAAAATGATTTAATAGTTTTGCTTCTCCTTTTTTTTTCTGATGAAATTACATTAAAAGTTTAGAAACAGAGTACAAGAAAGCCTCACAAAAATAGAGGCCATTAAAAACAATAATACTACAAAGCAACATCAACTAGTTAGAAATTTATGATATTTACCCAAAATCCTATTACAACATTCTACCCATCCAAAAAACCAAATCATTGGATAAATGTGCGAATATTTTTAGAGCCACAAATTTCATTCAACCATTGAGGAAAACCTCGAGAAACATAAGATTGAAGAAAACCTCTAAAAACTGCACTATGAGCAATAAGATATGCACCTCTATTCAAAACATGATCTTCAAACATAATCTTTCATTCGCCAATCTTAGTTAAAACTAACAAGATTTCAGAACTGTGATAACTAAAGGAAGGCCAAGCTCTCGGTCTTTTAGTTGCTCCGACCAATTCCAAAGCTTCTAGAGCAAAGATCACTCTATTACACCTATGTGAACTCATACTTTCAATAGACCATATGAGACACTTAAGCTTGGCATCTAACAAACTTCTCACCTCAGTAAAAGCATGGCGGCTATGCAATAAAACCACTTCTTTATCATCTCTAAGAATCCAAGACCCACCAGCAATTTTATTTCGTTTATTCCAAGAGATTCCGATGTTGCATTTAAACCAATTTTTAGGAGGAGGAGACCAACCTTTTTTCGTTGGTACTGAGTAGCCTTGTTGAGTGACTGGACCTTGCTCAACACTGTTTTGCGCTACAAACCACAGATCCAAGTCTTCCTTACTTTTTCGAGAAATCTCCAAAGTCGATAAAGACGATCCTTCAAAAAGCTTTTTATTTCTATTCTTCCAAATATTCCATAAAACTCAGGGATAAGATCTTCTAATAGTAGGAGGGATTTGATTGTTCTGAGCTGAAAATAGAAGATAGTTGAAATTTGAGAAGATTGAACCTGAGGCAAAAGTGTCTTTAGGAGAAGGGAAATTCGTTGAAGCCCATACTTGACGAGCCAATGTACAAAGAAAAAGTACATGGTTTACCGATTCACCTTCCAAACCTCATATTTGACATCTTGAATCCACTTTCATACTTCTTTCAACAAGTTGATCAGCTACTGAAATTGCTCCGTTGAGAGCTTTCCACATGAATGTCTTGATCTTGGGAGCAGTTTTGAGAGACCAAATAGCGTTTTTAAGATAATTTGTTGATGGCTGCAATTCCACTTGTTGAATTACCTCTGCATTCTTCTCTCTATTAGCCAACCAATACCCAGATTTCATCGAATAATCGCCACGCTTATTATGATTCTAAACCCAAAAATCATCCCTTGACACCACTGGATTGCGCTTTAATATGAGAAGCACATCTCGCGGAGAGAAAAGATCATTGATTTTATTTCTATCCCATGATCTTTTACGGAAGTCAATGAGATCATGCGCCATTAAGTTGATATTAAAAGGGAAATGCATAATACAAGGCCTTCTCATTCCTATCTCATCATCTTGCACCCACGGATCCATCCACACCTTAACAGTAGCACCATTACCCACCATTAAGCTTAAACCCTTAACCAAAAGTTCACGTCCAAATAGAATACTTCTCCAGGCGTACGAATGCCTTGTTGGTAAAACAGCAGAGAGAAAAGTATCATGATCATAATACCTGCTTTTGATCACTCTTGCAAACAAACTATCTGGAAATTGGAGAAGTCTCCATGCTTGTTTTGCAAGAAGGGCTTGGTTAAAAGCTTCGATATCTTTGAACCCTAAACCACCATCAGCTTTAGTCAAACATATTTTTTCCCAACTGATCCAATGTACTTTCCGCTTATTTTCAAGTGAACTCCACCAAAAATCAGCTATAGCATTAGACAAAGATGAACAGGTAGTTTTTGGTAGTTTGAAACAAGTCATCGCATAAACAGGCGTTGCTAAGGCCACTGCTTTTATCAGAATTTCTTTGCCTCCTTGAGAAAGAAGCTCAGCAAACCATCCAGATAATCTATTCTTTAGCTTTTTGTGAATATAAGCCAGCATTTCAACCTTGGATCCAGAGAAGCATTCCGGCAGACCAAGATAGGTTCCAGCACCACCCTCATTATAAATCCCCAACTTTTCTTGAATGAGAGTTTTCATGTGATCGTCAACTTTAGATCCAAATGTAATGGATGACTTATCAACATTAATAGTTTGACCTGTAGCTTCCTCGTATGTCTGCATTATTTGTTTGAAAGCTTCACCTTCTTCTTTTGAAGCTTTACACAGAAACAAACTATCATCTGCAAACAATAGATGATGAACTGAAGGACCATTCTCAGAGAATTGAATACTTGAAATTTTACCTTCAGCTTCAGCTCGATTAAGCAAATGAGTAATACCTTCGGTACAGAGGATGAAGAGAAAAGGAGAAAGTGGATCTCCTTGTCTCAACCCCCTATGAGGAACAATTAACCCATACAGATGATCATTTATCAGAACTGTAAAAGTGACAGTTGAAACACAAAACATCACCCATTCTATCCACTTATGATGAAACCCCATAGCAGAAAACAGAGATATTAGATAACTCCACTACACTCTGTCATAAGCCTTTGACATGTCAGATTTAATCGCCATAAAATCCTTAGATATTCTGGGATGAGCTTTCAAGCTATGAACTAACTCATGAGCCACTGTTATATTATCTGAGATATGTCTTTCAGCTACAAAAGCTGATTGAGTTGGCGAGACAAGCTGTTGAAGTAAAGGTTGAAGCCGCAATACCAAAATCTTAGAAACGATCTTATAAAGAACGGAACATAAACTGATCGGCCTCAAATCCATAATGAGAGAAGAGTTTACTTTTTTTGGCAACAAGCATAAGTGAGTGTAATTCCATTCAGATGGAAAAGAACCAGAGGAAAAGAACTGTCTAACCTTTGCAGTTACTTGCGGTCCAACTATATCCTTATGTATGTTTCTTTATTAGATTTTTTTTATGTATATTCTATTTCTATTTGATAGTGTATATCCAATTTGACATTTTTGCCAGATTCATAGTTGGAGGATCTGGGAAGACGAGGCTCGAATGGATCGAAATGATTGCTTAACTGGTGAGCATAGATGGTTTGTTTCTCCTTTCATATTATACACACCCAAAGATTCCTTGTATGTCTATTAAAATAAAAAGTAGTCATGATTGACCTTTTATTACTTGTTCACATTTTACCAAGGGTGGAATTAATTATTTACAAGTTTAGTTCATGATATAGCTCAGATTATGACATAGATTACATTTGATTAGTGTTGTGATCTAAAGCTTTGAATTCCTTAACATGGAAAACTTTTTATGATACTTTGTTTTTGGCAGTGGTCGCGCGTGAAAAGATATTACGAAGGCAAACAACATTTGTCCAGTATCATACATCTGCTCCTCTTGTCAAGAACAAATTACTAATATGGGTGGTAGGGTTTTTACTCTCTTAAAACAAAAGTTAAACATGTTACATATAATTTATAAATATCTTTTACATATCCTATACTTAAAGATGCTGAACATTCATAATTTTATATGTTGAACTCGAATTTATATGTGCAAGGTTGCATCTTGTGTTTCCAGTTGCTAAGCTATTAAAAGTTATTCCTACAGATATGTTTCTTCCGACAGTTTGGACACACTGTTGTTCGTCCTGACTATCTTACACTCCGGAAAGGATTCATCTTGGTGCGTGACACTCTTATGTCATTTATACTTTTTTACCTTTTTTATATATACTCTTTTTCTTGTTATACATGTTCTCAATTTACATTTTCGATGTGGTTGAAAAATGAAAATGATGATTTTTCCTATTACACTTGAATATCGATTCAAAACTTTTGTTGAGACATCAAATACAATCGGTTGGATTTTACTGCCATTACCTTTAGGACTTGCTCTATATTTTTGACGGTCGTATAATTAACTTTATCTCCAAGAAAGTGAAACAAAGTCTTGATTAAATCATTTTTTATATACACATCCGGACAAGCTAACTTTCTAAAAAGAAAATAGTTAATATATAACTTTTAGATCTGAAAGAAAAACAAATCTCATATCCATGTTTAAGTTTGTAATGTTTTGGTCCATGAAGCTAAAATTTTGCCAATCATTTTTCATAACCTTTTGAACTTTTCTTCCACCTTCATATAAATTGTGGTTTATTTCCATTCATACAGTTTTTTCAAGAAACTATAATATGTTATTATAATCATTTGTATTTTTCTTTAAACAGAACCATCACCTAACATTGACCTACGATTTTCATAGCTATATGATCCGTTCTATGGAGGAAGAGTTTCAAAAGATTGTTGGTGTCAGGTGGGTTACATATTATTTATTCAACAGATGAGCTGATTTTATATCATAAATTTTGTTGAGTAGAGAGTAAATGATGCATTATTTCCACTGAATATTCTTTTTGATGATCACTTGCAGTGGCCCACTTTGGGGATTTGTAGTTGCTTTCATGCTTTTTAACATAAAAGGTATGCGTATTATACAACGAAAAGTACCCTCTTTTTTTGGCGTTAGAAAACCTAAATTCATAAATGGTCGTCATGCATGCATGCATGATTAATAGGTCTTGTACTAGTACATGTTGTTTGTTACTGTTTTTCTCTTACTTGAATATAATGAGTAGTCTTCTACTACAATTGATTTCTACTCTTTTTGTGTTTTTAAGAGTTTTTTTTTTTGACATGATAATGTAGGATCAAATCTTTATTTCTGGATAGCGATAATTCCAATCACTGTAAGACCTATTTTCCTCTTTAGGTTTATCTTTTTTTCTTTGGAAAATGAGTCTCATATCATTTCTCTGTTGCTCTTTGGTTTTGCATCATTTTTTTTATCAACAGCTTGTTCTTTTCGTTGGTGCAAAGTTGCAACATGTAATCGCAACTTTAGTATTGGAAAACGCTGGGATAACGGAATATGCTTCCGGTGTAAAGCTGAGACCTCGTGATGAACTTTTTTGGTTCAAGAAGCCAGAATTACTGTTATCCCTTATCCACTTCATTCAGTTTCAGGTGTGCAAAATCTTAGGAACTTCTATTAGGCACAACAGATTATTAATTTTTTGATTTCGTAAATAAACTTATCTATGTGCATTCTATTTTTTTTTCAGAATGCTTTCGAGTTGGCTTCTTTCTTCTGGTTTTGGGTAAGTTTTTTCCCGTCTATCATCTTGTGGCTCGATAACGACGAGATTATGATGCGTATACTATAATCACGACTAGCTCAACAGTAGCAAAACAAATGATATAGACCATGTTCAATATTTGATATATGAAGTTCAAAAAAAAAAAAAAACTGATATATGGACCCTAATTACATACCAAAGTTTATCGCGGGTCCTGTTGAAAAACACACTTCACACATGCTTAGGTACGATCTTGATTGTATTTAATACGCATTGAAAGTATGTTTTCTATTGACATTGATCTATTCTTGATTCTTCAGTGGCAATTTGGATACGACTCTTGCTTCCTCAGGAATCATTTACTTGTTTATTTGCGACTTATTCTAGGGTAATCAAATTATCTCGACTAAGCCATGCATGAGACTGTTGTATGTTTTTCTTATAGTTTTAGACGGTTCTTTCCATGTTTTCTAGGTTCTCTGGACAATTCCTATGTAGCTACAGCACATTACCACTCTATGCACTTGTCACTCAGGTAACATAACCTTAATGTGGAGATTCTTCTAACGATAGTGATCAAAAACTCACAACCTAGATGATATATGTTATTCTAGATGGGGACGAACTACAAGGCAGCATTGTTACCTCAGAGGGTAAGAGAGACAATTAACGGTTGGGGAAAAGCAACCAGAAGAAAAAGAAGGCATGGGTTATATGGCGATGATTCGACTATTCGAACAGAAACAAGCACAATTGCATCTGTTGAAGAATACGATCATCATCAAGTGCTTGATGTTCCTGAAACCTCTCCAGATCAAGGTACTGAGAATGAGATGCAGATTATAGAAAATTGGGAAGCTTCTATCTCAGTAGCTTGTGAAAATTCTAGTCGAGTCGGAACACCGCTCTTGCGACCTTGTGCTTCAATAACCTTAACGAGTTTGTCAAGGTTAGAGACAGAAACCACAGAATCACTTTCAAGATCGTCCTCGTTGCCAGCCAAAAGAGAATGTTAAGCTAGAAATATGGCTAGCGGAAAGAAAATTCAAATTCTTTGGTTGTAAAACTTTCTTTTTCAACTCTGACATAACTCAGGTTAAAAATTAAGTGGATGAGTATTTTTACTATAAATGATAGGTTTTTAAGCACAGAGATGTCGTTGGACATATGTCACAACATAGCAAATAGTTGTAAGAAAGGGTACTCAATGTTTATTGTATAACAAATAACTAGAAAAATCTTTAATCGGCCGATTACTCTGGTGATTAAATTAAAAAAAAAAAACAGTTGACTTTTTGTTGACCAATATTAGAACAAAGTATTCACATACTGTATATGTCACATATATATATATATCCTTTTGTCATTCTTCAGTCAAACTTTTTTTGGGAAGGTTTTTGTTAAAGATCACTACATATTTTGTTTATATTTATTGATCTACAACAACTTATTTAATTTGACTCAAAAACCATAATTAACTTACTTTTATCCAATGCATCAGATCTTCATATGCCATTTAGTGTAACTCAAATCTCCAACGTAACCATCAGAAAAGTGGCAAGGCCTTCAATATTGGGTACTCAGGACTGGTTTTTGCAGGGAAAGACCAAATTCATGATGAGTATTCGTTGGAGTAATGACAATGCCTTCAAGCTTATCTTCATTGAGTTTGTTTATGGTGGCCACCGTAGAAACTTTATCTGAAAAAGGAATTTTGATGAAAGGAAATGAGAATGTGATTGAAACGGTACCCCTTATAGTCTTCGATAGGCGCTCATAGTTTAAACTGTCTTGTTTATTTCGGAGACTCGAATCTGGATCAGTTCCTATGTGAATGTGATGCATCTCTTCACTTATAACCTCTCCCAAACCAATACTACTTAAAATGTCTTTAGGTCCGGAATTTGTAACTGGAGCGGTTACTTCGACATGCTTGGGTGTATACTGAGTGGCACCGAGCTTGTCTTGTAGGTTGCGACCAAAGCCAGAGCTGAAACATTGTAAGAATATGAGTCCTATGCATAATAGATGATTATATGTTGGTGTTGTCATTTTTTCCTCCACCTTCAAATCGAGAGTTTATTGCAATTTATGTAATATATAAGAGGCAACCAATGAGTTGAAAAGGAAAAGAGAAAAAAGTTTAAATTTGATGGTAAAAACAAAAAAGAAAGAGGAGGATTCCAAATTATTCAATTTGCAAAATTCTCATGTTTCTGAATTCATGCAGTGAATTAAGGCTCATATCATTTGAATGATCATTTAAGATTTATGCTCTAACTGGTGACACATTAAAATAACAAACGGAATAAAAGGAATAAAAGAATCGGAATTATTGTTCCTTCCTAAATTTGATAGGTAATATTTTAACTCTATCAATATTATTAAAAGAGGAATACTTCAATGTTTAAACACATTTCATGTGTTATATTACATGAAATGTCATTGCATTTTTATTTTTTCCTTAGAATTTCATTAATGATAGTTTAGTCATTTTTTAATACAACCAATTAATATTCATTTTATTTTTTTATTTAATTCTTATATTCTTATTATCAAACACATTAATTTTCAAATATTATTTGGATTAGTTCAACTTTAATTACCAAACACATTTAAATAATTTAAATATTTCCATAAATAGTTATTTCGAAAATTCTAAATAATCTTAGAATTAATTAAATTCAAGTTTATATAAACGAAATTATAATAATAATTACTATATATGTATCAGATTAAATTATAAACAATTATACAATTTTAAAAATTTTGCAAAAAATAATAAATAATATTTTTCAAATATTTATTACTATGTAACAATATAATAAAATAAAAATTATAATTAATATAATTAAATTATATACATTTACACAATATAAAAGAAAAATCGCAAAAAAATTATTTGAAAAACAAAAATCATATTCTTATTATTATGCAATAATATAACCAAACACATATGTTTATAGGAAAATAAACTAAAACCTAATTTTCATGGATAGTTATATATTATTTGTTATATGTTTAGCTCAATCTAATATTAAATTAAATTTTGATTAAATTAATTTCAAATTTAAAAGCATCATGATCAAATTTAAAAAACAAACATGATTAATTAACAGTAAATGATAAAACCATATAATTTTATTTAAATTATATTTAGTTCTATAAAATATTTAATGAATCGATTTTGTAATATTTTATTAATATTCAATTACTAAAATTATGGAACAAGCTTCCCAAATAAAAATCAAAATATTTTTTAATTAAGAAACAGTAACTGTATAAATTTAAAGCATATTCTAAAAATATGAATTTTAGCATATTTTCAAAAGTATTACAAACAATATTGATAATTTTTTTATTGTAGATGTAATAACATATTAATAATAGGAAAAATCAGTAAATTAATACTATTTATTTTCATAATTTACAATTAACAAAATAAAACTATTTATGATAATAGTATTTCAATAAAATATAAGAGAAATAAAAGCAGTAACTCACATTATCTCATTTTCTCTAAATTGTTTTGGCTAATTTTTTTTCCTATTTAGATTTTCAAAAAATATATATCTTTGCAAACATCAATATTTTTTAGACGAAATTAATTTTTTATATGTTAAATATTTTGTTTCAGTTTGTTTACTATGTATATGGTTGTTATTTTAATCTTTTTAGTTTTAATTTATTATTTTTTGTTTGACAAAGAAGAAAAAGAACAAATATGAAGGAGAAGAAGAAGAAGGAGAATAAAGAGAAGGGATGGATGAGAAAAAGAGTACATGAAAAAGAATAACAACAGAGAAGAAGAAAGAGAAAAGAAAAAAACATGAGAAGAAGGGGAATAAGTGATAAAGTAGAAGAAGGAAAAGAAAGGATATTAAAAAGGGATGGAAAAGAAGAAAAGTGAATGAGAAAAAGGAGAAGTGATGACGAATAAGACTAATAGAGAAGATGAAAAAAACGGAAAAGGAGAACGGAAAAGAAAGAGAATGGATGAAGAAGAAGAAGGCATGAAGGAGGAAGAGAAGAAGAAGAAGGAGGAAGAGAAGAAGATGAAGGATAATAAGGAGGAGGAAGAGTTGTTAACTCGACTGGTAAAAGATCTAGGCAAAGCTTAGAGATCACATGATCGAGTGACGCTTAGGATTAAACTAATATTATATGATGTGATTTCGGGTCTGTAGAAACTAAATACAATATTATGTGATTTCGGGTCTGTAGAAACTAAATACAATATTAAAAATCATAAATTTCATATAAAATCAATAACATATTATCATATTTTACAATAACAACTTGTGTGTCTATAATATTGAATTAGTTACACGTAACTTATATTATCTTATTTTTAATTTTATATTTTGTATTTACATAATTTAATTTTAATCATCATAATACATAAATAAATAATATACATTGTCTCCTGGTTTTATTTAAAGCATAAAAACCAGCTACACACAAACTCTTATTGGGCGCGCCGATCATATTGTAACTGAAAATCGAAACTAAACTAGGTGGAACCGAAACTAAAAACTGGACACCTAGAGAAAGGAAAAAAGCAGAGTTAGCTAATCCATCAGCAAAACAATTATCTTTATGTTAGCAAAAACAATTAGCTTTTCTATACACATATGAAAAACGGATTATTTATTTTTTCGAAATAAAACTATGATACATATATACCAGAAAACAGACTATCTTATAACATAATATATAAATCTATTTATACTACAAAATTTAAATATTTATAAATTTACTTCAAGAATCATATAAATGCGCGGACGCGCAGGTCCAATATCTAATAGTTCTTTAAATTATAAAGAATGATAGGGAATCATAGGTACAATATATTACTTATAAATAGTGTAAATTTTAAGAAATGAGAAGAAAAATTAAAATCTTAAACGCACTCGTATTTTATGGAATATTATCTTTCTCCTTTTATTTTTTTCCATATAGCATATTAGCATTTCATATTAACGTTTTCTGATATAAAGAGCCAACCTTTTCATTTCATATGGAATATTATCTTCTGATAGATAGAACCAAACTTTTCTTTTTTCAACCAAATCGTCTTCTCTTTTGCCGCCAAATTTTATTGTTTTTAACCAAAGTTCTTGATTTTCCAGATACTGTTGATATGATGGAAATAAATCGGATCTTAAAAGTTTGGGTTTCTAAATTTGAACTGAAAAAACTTTCGACGGCCTTATAAAACCTTTTCTTCAGGCCCAAAAGAAGTCTTGAAATGATAATGCGACATTGCGACCGACATATCTATATAATGCGACCGACATATCTAAAATTTTCAATTGCGTAAGTCACTTTTAGCAGTTGCTGTTCCCAAGCTGTATTTTAATTAAAATATATGATATCATCTCTAAATTATTCAATTCAACAAAAAAAAAGGCGACTTTTAAATCCATTTAAAAAGCGATCTTTTAAACCTTTTCTAGATTAACGAAAAAGTTGTTTTCAACGCATTTGAAACACATGGTCGCACAAAACCTAAACCAAAATGGTACTAGTATTAATGTAACTGATCGCATTGGTAGAACGTCCTGAGTTTTATACTTCTATTGAGAAGAGAATCTTAGTCCAAATTGTTAATAACTATAGTATATACTCTTATTTCGGGCAGAGTAATATACTATATATAGTATATACTTATTACTTATAGTATAATTGAAGGCATACGCAGATTTTTTGGCTAAAATACGAAAATGGCAAGGACAGAAGATATCATTTTTTTCCCAACGTTTAAAGTTAAAGAGCAACTATCATCTCTTATATACTAAGTATATAATTCGCGCTATGCGCGAGTCTGTATTAATATTTTAGTTTATTTTTTTGAGTTACTATTTTTAAAATTGTTAAAAATTATATATATATTTATAGAAATTTTCATTTATATTAGAAAATTTAATATATAATGTGTAATTTATCCTATTTTTATTTATAAATTTTAAAAAACTATTAGATAAAATAATAACAATGACACCTATCGAATTATCCAAATTTGAGGTACATATACATTTGATTTAGAGAAATATAATCTTGCTAAGATTTTGGTATTATTTTCTGTTTTCCATAAAAATTTTATAGTTCTTTGTTTTTTGAAGGTTTATGTGTTCAAATATTTAGTTTTTTTTTTATTGAAAGTCTTATTGATGTTGTGTACCACTGTATATAGAATACATGATTCATGTTGATTCACATTTAATTTTGTTAGGAAACTGTAATGATCATGCAAAACCATTTTTTCCTTCTTCATCATGTCTTTCAAGAGTTTTATGTTATATTTTTATTCAGTTTTTATTGTTTTAATTGTTAAATCGAGTTGTTGTAGATTTTTATAAATTGATAATTGATAATGGTTACTTTTTTTATACATGTATTGTTAATTGTTAATTTTTTATTTAAATTTTAAATTTTTAAACCATATTAACATTTTCTGATTTAATAAATATATCGATTTGGATCAATCATATTGAATTTACTTTTTTGTTGTACATAATTTGTTAAATTAACTTTTAATATTTTAATTATACTTAATAAATTTTTGGTTTGATTTAAAAGCTGATGTGGACCAATTAAATCAAGTTTTTCCGTCATAATCATATTTAACATTTTTTTATTTAATAAATATGTTGATGTTAACCAATCAAATCGAGTTTTTAAATCTTATGTGGACGTCCTCAATGCACTATGCCATCAACTTTTATATATTATATGATGTTTAGTTTGTTGGAAAAAGTTTACTGTTTATATTCGTATTTTCATATATCTATTCGTAAATCCAGGCTATCCAGCATATGAAAACGTAAATGCATAAACAAATGCAAATTCAATTATAAACGTAAATAAAGCAATACCAATTAAAACAATCGACACCTTGTTCAACTACGTGTAACGTAATTAACGTAGAAGATGATGCTTAGAAGCTTCGGTTTTATGAGAAATAACGAGATTATATGGACGCGTACAGCCATGTACGTTGCTGTTAAAATAAAACAAAAATTGAGTCAAAGATTGAGATCAAAATAGATTTGTAGCCACTAGCTACAGATGCTAAGCTGTATTTTAATTAAACATTTGAGAACATCTCTGAATTATTCAATTCTGTTTTTATTATAAAACAAGTTTACCAGCCAAATCTTGGACTTTCGCTTTCAACGACAGATATGATATAGCAAATGTTCAAAGCAAAAAAACGACAAATATGATATGTACGGAACACCGCAGACCTTTGGAAGACCCGTTTATATATACATATATATATATTTCAACCTTGTTTAACAATATTTTCCACAGTATATTATTGTAAAACAAGATTCTATAATGGCATATAAGTTAATGGACAAAACTTAATTTTGGTATAATTTTGTTTTAACATTATATCTTTTTATAAGCTACTCAAATTTCACAACTTTAAGCTATAGTTAAATTCCGTAGTTTTGGTGTCAAAACCAAATTATAGACTTTTATAATTTACATTGAAGATTAGATTTTTCATACTCCACTTTAATTCCGAGGCTGAGATAGAAGGCAACAGGCGTTGGAATCGATAAATTACTTTGGTGGTGGTTGATGCATGTTTTTTTATGTGGAAGACTTATTTATCAAAATAAATGATATTTTGATTTCTAATTTAATACCAGTTTCAATTTCAGTTTCAATTTATTCGTGATAAAGCTATCTATTCTCTAAAAAACATGTATGATGTTTTAAGATTTTTATTTATTTTTTAAAGTTTGATGTTTAAGGTTTTAAATAATATATTTTATATTAAATATTATTTTTACTTTTATGCTCTTGGTACAATTGTATTGAAAAATAAAAAAAATTATGAAAAAGTAAAAGAAAAAATCTATGCAATAACTAAAACATCATAGAGTAATTATTTTTAAATTAATGTTTAACAATGAAAAAATTAGAAACTGTGATAATGATGAAAATATTGATTGTTTGTCAAAAGAAAACAAAAGAGATAAAGTGGGGATAATACACCTAAACGCGTCCGACTCCATCAAAAATGATAACCCGTCTTTCTAGGTAGCATTTAAATAATGTAATACTGTATTCATATACTAATCATCATCATCATTGACCCTCTATGACCCTCAAAACAAGTGGTTTGAATGTCATTTATATATAATAAAATCATTTGTTCTAAACTTCGTGTTATTGGTTTTTTTTTATGGAGAATACAATGAACATCTATTTTTTGAACCTTACAAATGAACATCTTTTAAACTATAGAATCAATTTAGTCCTTACATATGATGATATTAAACTACAAAAAGACATTAACTCCATTACCTGGTAGGATAAAGAAAAGACAAGACACACTATGAACTCCATTATTTGGTAATTGGTATGACAAAGAAAAGACGACTCACACTACTGGTCATAAAGTTGTTGAATCCACTTTTTTGTTTTTTACTGATATTATAGGAGTAGAGATACCACTAACAAATAACTCGTTTACTGTCCAAGCAAACAAACAAAAACAAGACTTTAATTTACTATTTTTCTCCTATTAGAGGAATCCTTTTTGTGCATGCGTTATTCAATAAGCAACTATTGATGTTCGGCGTCACACAAAACAAGAGATTTTCTTTAGTAAAACAATCTGTGTCCAGCGAATAGCCCACCACACCAAATGTCTTTTTCCCAGTTGTAGTTCAATTTTCTTGAATTTTCTAACTTGGAATTAAATCCACTTGCAAAGCTGTATAGAAACAATCTTATCCTCTGTTTCTATAAATGTTGTAAAAAATAATACTAATTAAATATAAATGTTCGAGACTCGTTGAATAAATTCCGAATTTTTTTCATGATTGGGCTAATTCCTCTTTTTCTGGTTTCAATGGTTGGCTAATTCCTTATTTCCATTTTTACGAAGATTGCTACTTTCTCTTTCCAGATCTGTTCCTACTTTCAAGATCTCTTCTTTCATTTTTCTTTTATTGTCTGTCTTCTCTGTTAGTGTTCATAATCCTGTTCGTTACTCAGCAGCCAGCATTTTAGTGAAGCACAGAGAGAGAGAGAGTTTAAATAGATCTCTGGATTCTTGAGTTTTACAGAGAAATCCAGAGAAATCAAGAAGAAGAAAAAGATGAAGTTTGGGAAAGAGTTTGTTGGGCAGATGATTCCAGAATGGCAACAAGCTTACATGGATTATGCTTCTCTCAAATCCATTCTTCAAGAAATCCAAAACTCACGGAAAAGATCAGACACATCAGGTACCTTAAGACGCAAGCAACCTGTCCACCGCAACTTTAGCGGTCTCACCAAGCGGTACAGCCGGGCCGCTTCGTCGCTGGAACTCGAAAACCAGGACATTCTAGTGACCGCAAGGATTGGTGACGATGGGTTCGAGAGACACGAGACGACCATCATGAGAGTTGCGGAAACAGGGAGAGAGTCAGAGCTTGTGTTCTTTAAAACCCTAGATTTCGAATTCGACAAAGTGAACCATTTTTACCAGTCTAAAGTGGAGGAAATGGTGAAGGAGGCAGTGGTTTTGAACAAACAAATGGATGTTTTGATTGCTTTCAGAATCAAGGTCGAACAACCTTCTTCTTCTTTGAGCTGCAGTGAAACAGTTTCAGTCGATATGAATGCCTTGGATTCTAAGAAACAGAGTAAGTTCTCAAAGATTGTTTGTTTGAAACTCGTTTTTAGTATGAAAGGACAAAAATATTTAAATCTTTTTGTTTTGTGTCTCTTTTTGATTACGAAGGGAACACATTAGCTGATGAGATGGGAATCGAAGTAGAGCAAAATGGATCCAACGGTGGAGGTTCAACCAGCGAGAGCGTACCGGAGGCTTTAAGTGTTCTTGAACGTATCAGATTAAACAAAATTGAAGAAACTCCTATGTCCACAATTAGAAACGTCCTCAAGCTATCTCACCATGAAGAGCTCAAATTCACAAGAGAGAATCTCAAGAAAATAGAGGAACGACTTAAGATTGTATTCATCGAGTTTTATCGCAAGCTTCGACATCTCAAGAATTACAGGTACGCATGTTGTTTCTTAACCATTCTTAAGAAAGAATAATAAACACAACTCATAAAAGATTGTTTGATTTAATCCATGCTCTGTTCATGTTTAATTCAGCTTCTTAAACACCTTGGCGTTTTCAAAGATCATGAAGAAGTATGATAAGGTAACACTTGATTTAATTAGAAACATACCTAAGTTTCTTGGTATTTATTATTTATATGTTTTTTTTTTTGGCATGTCTTCTTTACTAGATAGCTTCAAGAAGTGCAGCAAAACCATACATGGAGATGGTAGATAAGTCCTACCTTACTAAATCTGATGAGGTTAATACAAAATATTTTCTTTCAATAATACATGAGACTTATTTATTTTCTTTCAATAATACTAAAAGCTTTAAACCGGAGATTTACTTACATTTAACAGATAAACAAGCTTATGGCGAGAGTTGAGTCTATCTTCGTGGAGCATTTCGCCAGCTCGAATCGAAGCAAAGCAATGAATCTCTTAAGACCAAAAGTAAATAGAGAAACACATCGGATAACGTTTTCCACCGGTAACTACAACAATTTTCCAAATCTAAATACCGTTTTATAACAGTTATTAGTTCATGAAAAATTAATAAATAAATAAAAAAACTCTCTGTCATGTTCTTCTTCATTCTCAGGGTTTTTTGTTGGCTGCTCAGTCTCTCTAGTGGTTGCTCTTGGCTTGTTCATACATGCTCGTAAGCTACTGGACGCTGACGGACTTAAACTCTACATGGAAACAATGTTCCCTCTTTACAGGTTCAAACCAAAACATCTATAGATTCTCTAACTGAAATCAACTGTCTTCTTTCTGACAAGAATGCTTCTTAAAACCTTATTTTTTTTCAGTTTGTTTGGATTTGTTGTCCTGCACATGATCATGTATGCTTCAAATATATACTTCTGGAAGAGATATCGAGTTAACTACCCGTTTATATTCGGATTTAAAGAAGGAACAGAGCTTGGTTATAGACAAGTTCTGCTTGTAAGCTTTGGTCTAGGCACGCTTGCTCTAGCTGCTGTTCTTATAAACCTTGACATGGAGATGGATCCCAATACCAACGACTACAAGACAGTCACTGAACTTCTTCCCCTTTTCATTGTAGTTGTAAGTTGTTCATTATTATATTAACCACTCTAATCATTATATGTTATTAAAAAAAAATGGTAACACATTTTCTTTCTCTATACAACTTTTTTTTTCCAGCTAGTGATAGCTATTTCTTTATGTCCCTTCAACATTTTTTATCGGTCAAGCCGCTTCTTTTTCCTCATGGTTGTATTTCGTTGCATTGCTGCACCGCTCTACAAGGTAATTACTCAAACACATCCTCTGTTTTTTTCGTTGACGTAAAAACTTTAAATTATGTTTCAAATCTAAATTGCAGGTTAGTCTTCCGGATTTTTTCTTGGCGGACCAAATAACAAGCCAGGTTTGTATGTTTATAACATTCTTTTTGGCTTTCATGATCTTGTTTTCGAAATGTTTCTAGCTTTATAAACTAACCGTGTTCTTTTTAGGTTCAAGCATTGAGGAGTTTGGAGTTTTACGTCTGTTACTATGGTTGGGGAGACTTCAGGCTCAGAAAAAACACTTGCAGATCAAGCGGTGTATACCGTACGTTCTACTTCATCGTTGCTGTGATTCCTTACTGGTCACGTTTCCTTCAGTGTGTTCGAAGATTAATCGAAGAGAAAGATTCAAGCCAAGGGTACAATGCTCTCAAGTATTTGTTGACCATTGTCGCTGTTTGCTTGAGAACAGCTTATAGTCTTAACAAAGGAAACGTCTGGAAAATCGCTGCCTGGGTTTTCTCTGCCTTGGCAACTTTATACGGCACATATTGGGACATTGTGTTTGACTGGGGACTGCTTCACAAACCATCTAAAACCTGGTTGAGAGAGAAGCTTCTTGTTCCTAACAAGGCCGTCTACTACGTTGCAATGGTGAGAACTAAAGAATACAGAGAACGCAAGTCTTCGTTTAGGGTTTCTTTTTAATATTGCTAATGTGTCTTTATCTTCTTTGTAGGTCGTAAACGTTGTGTTGAGATTGGCGTGGTTGCAGACTGTTCTGGATTTCAATTTCTCGTTCTTGCATAGAGAAACTATGGTTGCTCTTCTTGCTATCCTCGAGATCATACGCCGTGGTATCTGGAATTTCTTCAGGTAGCGTCTTGGCCAAGAAACAATCGATAAATGCTCCTCAAACTCGTTTCTTTTACTTAATATTGTGTGGCTTTGTTGGGTTATCAAACACAGGTTAGAGAACGAGCATCTGAACAACGTGGGGAAGTTCAGAGCATTCAAATCAGTTCCGTTACCATTCAACTACAACGAAGGAGAAGACTCGAGATAGATTGAATTTACTCAAAAGGTTTTTACAAAGAGTGCAAGTTTCAGTTTTGTTATACGGGTTATCTTTGTGCTCTCTGTTGTGACATTAGAGGAAACCAAAAGCAACTTAAAATAGCATGTTTCTAGTCACAATGTGCCCAAATCAGATTCAAAACAAGACTGTCCACAGACCTACCAGAGAACTGTGATCATGCCTGCGAACATTAGAGCATCCATTGTGAGTCAGACGGAAAACCTACGACCGAAAAACGTCTCAAACTTGCATGATGGTTTCAGGAGAAGATTTTTCTTCATATTAAAACAGACGTAGTTATTGATTTTAAGCCAAAGAGCACATTATATAAATGAGCTGTTCTCGATTTTGCAACAAGCAATGACAATAACATAATTTGTCAAAAGAAGCATAAGCATATTGATCTTGCAGCAGAAACCCCAAATAATTTGGCAAAACAGAGTCAACTATGTCTAACGTTATCACTCGACTAAGAAAGCCAAGATTTTTCCCTCTAGACATCCAACTAGGGTTGTTCTAACTGCCTTGCTCACTAGGGTTTCCCCGCTCACCGCTGCAACAGAAGAAATGTGGCAGCTTGACTCTCCCGCAACTCCTGTAAACACAAGAGAGTGTGCACTTATAAACCGCTGGTGTATATATAAAACTTCTGATACTCACATTGAGATCAAAAAGAACGAAACAAGTGTTATTTAAGGCCAAACAAGTCGACTCGTGTTTTGCAGCTCAATGAACACACCAGGTCTTTTTATCAAACTCGTTAAAGATTCACCGTTCTAGACTTCAAGTTTTCTAGTTACTTGGAATGCAGTTTCTTCCAAGAGTTGGTAAGGATAGGGGATTAAATCAGAAAGCATATACGTATATGTTTCAGCGATTGTGCAGCGTCAGCCTAGAGAAACTAACAGAACAGAATCCTTCACGACCTCAAAACTATATCTCATACAAAACTCAACCTATGGGACCATCAAACAGATAAAGCAACAAGAGAAGCCAATCTCTTACCTGCAACGGATGATCAAAGGAGCAGGCTTAAGAGCCTTTGGCCCATTTCTTATCCCTCTCTTGTGTTTAGAAACCTGCATGTTTCACAAAGAACAGCTTCCATTAACACTGTCATTCTCCAAGAGGATACGGCCACTAAAAGAAATACAACTTTTTCATATGATACAAGCTAACTGCTAAGTCCCCAGATGATACAAACTACATGTGAACCACTGAACCTGAAGGAAGCCAAGGAGCCAACTCAGTTGAGGTGTGAGCTTAAACCCAAAGATACACAGGAAAATAGAAATGGACACTCAGCAAAAAAAAAAAAGATAACCTTTTTCCGTTGGTTCTATGAAGGTGCAAGCTAACACTGTGTATCTCAATCTCAAACTTTTACCAGAAACAATTAACTAATAAGTCCAATAGTGCGCCTCCCTAAAACCCTAGAGAAAACCTGAATTCAAGCTGATCCCAGATGCCACAATAATTCAAAACCCTAAAAAATTTTAAGATTTAGCAGTGGCAAACAACGGGAGAAAACCAATTAAGAGTCTGGGAAAATTTCAGACCTTCTTCTTAGGTACAGCCATTAGCTCCATGGATCCACTGAAAGCGAAATTAGGCAGCCCAAATCCGAAGCTCTTCTCATCGATCGAACCCGGTTGATTCTGATCAAACTCAGGTGAAATAAGCGGCGGCATAGCGATGGGTCGATCGATGGCGCTGTTAAAAGGCGGAGGCATTGCCGCCATGTGGCTCAAACTTCGGGTTTCCAAGATGCGGCATGACCCAACCGCGGCGCGTTTTAGCGATGTCAGTCTCAACGCCATTGATGCAGTTCTCCAAAGCTAATAGCTGACGGAAGTGAAGACTACTCACTCGAGAGACCAAAAGAGGGCTAAATTATGAAGGCAAATGAACGCAAACGGCGTCGTCTTCTCGTGCGGTGGCTGAAATTAAGGAACGAACCGAATCAAACCGTAAGAGTTTCTCTCCTTGTGTCTAGATAACCGACTATAAACCGAAATTATTAGGTGATGTACCCGGTTTGATTTATAAACCATGAGATTTTAACCGATACGAATCATTTCTAAACCCTCGTCGTCACTCGTCGCTCGTCGTCGAGGTAAAAATTGCAGATCAAGCGAAGAAGCAAAGTTAAGAAAGCGAGCTCTGGTCAGCAACCATGTCGTGGATGAAAGGAGATTTACTTTCCAAAAGCAGGAGGCTTGTTGGTGGCTTAGCTACACGAGAGCCTGTTTGGCTCAAAGCCATGGAAGCGTAACTCTCTCTCTCTCTCTCGCTTGTAATTTTCCAAATTGTCTAGAAAATGATTCAGCTTGATCGATCTGTTTCTCCAATTAGATGTTTCCTTACTGACATCTCCTGATAGGGTTTGTAGTTGGGCTGAAAATTGAATACTAGCTGCATAAAAAGTTGAGATTTTTGTTGCGTCTGTGATACTTGGATTTGGGATTTAGGATTTTAGGATTCGGTTTCTTACTGTTGTTGGTTTAATGGCAGATCACCTCCTCCTGTCTTTCCTCGCTCTAATGGGAAAATCCAGAAGATTGTTCTCCCTGAGGATCCCTACGTTCGTAAATTCTCCCGTAAGCATCCTGAAGCAAAACTCGTCGACCCCATCAAGTAAAGTCTCCATCTTTATACATCTGCATTTCTATTATATCGCACATGGTGATTGGCACTATGAGTGTTGTTCTTCATAAGTTAATCCTTGCTCTGATATAAACTACCCCGGCGAAATAATTCGATTCCAAACAATTTTGGCTTAATCTTGTGTCTTGAACTAGTACTGTCCATGGAGATGATTTATATAATGCATTTCCATCTTCACTCCCTTAGGGTCTCGGCGTTTATTCCTGATCCAGCACGCGTATATGGTTCTCGGGTTCTTGAACTGACGCAGCATGGCATCAGCGAGGATGACGCATTGTCTGTGGCTAGTGTACGTATCTTCTTTTCCCAGTCTATGATTAGCACTTGAATAGATAGAATGGTGATACTGTTGCTGATGATGCCACCGGAGATGTTTTTCTTCTTCTTGCTGATTTATATATTTCGCTGTTTTTTTTCTTCAGATGGAATATGTTGCAGATAGAAAGGAAAAGAAGAAAGCATACAAACGCCTAAAGGAGCTTGCAGTACTGCAAGACAAGGATGCTCCTCCTAAACCGTATCTTAGTGCGAAAAAAGATTTGCAAACTCAAGTGAAGAAAACGCCTACGGAGACTCCTAGCGTTCGCAGGCTAGTTAACCAGTTGAAACAGCAGAAAGATGTGTTTCTGCAGGACAAACCTGGAGGAAATGCTAATCAGGAGCACTGGATCGACGAATAAACTCTCTTATCATCTTTTCCTTTTTATGCAAACTTCTCATCCAATCTTATCTCACTGTAGAACAGTCTTTTTTCCATATATGAATACATTCTTTGCCTACGAAAGATTTCCATCGAAAAAAGTGTTGTTTTCCATTTTGACATTTATAATAAGATCATTGGATGATATCTTTTCTTCCATGAGACAAGGAACTACAGGAAAAAAGCAAAATGTTCCTAGAAACGATCAGCTTTCTAGGCCAAGAAGAGTCTTCATTGCCTTCTTTTTCGATACAGCTTTGCCATAAACACCCTTTCCGAGTTTCAGAATTCTCTCCATCTCTGCAATGTTACTACAACCTCCTCCACTCTTCTTCTTCATCCCTTCAACCACCATCTTCAGCAACCTCTCATCACTTCCAATGACATCAGAGACACTGTCCACCACAACCTCCATTGTTGGAACCTTCCTTCCCCATCTCCTCATAAGTCTCTCCGAGCTATAAATCTCATCATAAACTCCCCAATAAGAAGCTCTCAACAACCCTTTATCTTTTCCTTTCACCTTCCATCTCTTCATCCCTTCCTCGACCATGTAAACAGCGTTTCCTGCGTCTACGCCTCTCTCTAAACCCATCTCGAGCTCTAAAATCTCTTGGTTTGTAACAGACAAGACACTCTCATACTTACATCTACTGCATCCGCAGCGAAACCCCCATGACTCAGCCATCTCCTTCCGCTTTTCCAACGGAGAAGAAAGAACGTCGAAGTAAGCAGAAGTGATCTCTTCCCCGGCCTTGATGTCTCTTGAGGCATGAACAATCGCGTAGTCCCCAACGTGGAGGCGTCTTGCGTTTGGTATACACGAGTGGTTGATAAACGAAGCTAGTATCCATAGCCCCACGCCGTAATACTCTTTGTTCTTCCCCATAACTTTCGCTGAAGTCGCATCTTCCACCAGAGAATTCACATCCAAAATGCTTAGTAGCTTCTCAGTATCCAAATTCTTCGAGTTACGGAAGATTTCAAATGCTTCACCGTCATCAGGCCTAAAGAGAGACATCTCTGGAATCTCCAGTTTATCTTCGTCTTGTCCAGTGGATAAAGTGGAGACAAGTCGACATGTTCTGTCACATTTCCTCACGGATTCAGTAACATCTTCGACGAAGTTCTTCCACATGATCAGCTGTGCTTTCTCGCCAGACTCTCCACTTCCCAGAATCCCTCTCTCAATTGCTACAGCCTTGGTGACTAAGACCGAAGTTCCTGCAACGATGTTCTTCGCAGCGAACAGTCCACGCCCACTGACCTCAGACTTCTTAATCTCGATCGTTCCGATGAACTCAGCGAGCTCCGGCGATCTCCCACGAAACCCACTTAGGATCCAATCAGAGAGATCGAGAGCTCCAGTTTTGCCCTGAGACTCGAGCTTTCTGCATTTCTCCATGTACCCAGTAACAGTCTCCAAGTTATCACTCGCTTGCGGGTCGAGCAGAGCCGTTCTAAAGCATTCCAAGGCCGATGAGTATTTGCTCAAGCCGAATAAAACTTTACCTTTACAAATAAGAGTCTTGAAATGGGTGCTCTCGAGCTCGAGCGCTTGATCACAATCACGCATCGCTTCGGAGAAATCTCGGAGCCTTGCTCGCGCCTCAGCGCGATTGCAGAGAGCCAAGCAGAGCGATTTCCGGAGCTTATGGATCGAATCGGGTTCCGGGTCCGGGTTGGATCCACAGAGCTTTGAGATTTGGCTCCGGGAGAGATCGATGAACTTGGTGTAAACCTTTATAGACTCTTCCCATTCTTCCCGGAGAAGAAGCTCCGTCGCTTTGGATCTCAGGCTCTGCAACAGCTCCGATGGTCCTTGTGAATCTTCCTGTTTCTCAGATTCCTCTCCTCCCATTTGATGATTTGCTGTGAGATTGATTAATTAAAATTACTAAAAAAAAGTGTTGGATTTTTAGCTATGATTTTTCGGAATCGTGTTCGTTCCCCTAGAAACCTTTAATAAGGTTCTGTAACGGTCGGAATTTTTTTGTTTACAAGATTCCTTTTTTACACTCTCAATTTTTGTCCCCACATGATGCCTGTAACGGCCATGAGCTACTTAAACAATTATTTACATCACAGTATCTTTAGTCATTTTAAATCAGTAGAAAATTCAGAATCCTTGCAAATTGGAATTTAGCATTATTTATTAGTCCTCTGAGCTTTTATGCAATTTCTGTAAGAGACTCAGCATCTGTTTAAGTAACTTTAGGTTTTAACCGATTAAACAAAATGTTTTATTACCAATCCAAAGCAAAAGAGATTTGTCAGTCTCACAAGTGAATCCCTGTCTGTTTTGTAAACTTAGTAGTGATCTCACTTCCCTCAGAAACAGCAAGACCAATCCCTGTTCTTCCTCCTTGACCAACGCCTCTATAATACAATCTCCAATGATGATCAGAGTCTCCATCCATCTCAACCAAATACGGACAACCAACTCCTCCGTTATCCCACGCGCCGCCTTCACCAACCGCAAGGACCGCTTCCTCGTCTATCACCCGTTCCCAATCCTTAATCCCGTCTCTCGAAACCGCCAAGCCAATGCTCATCTTCCCGTTTCTATCCACACCTTCATAGGCCATCACATAACTCCCATCTCTCTTGTTCCTTGTCACGCAAGGATACCTTCCTCCGAGCTCGTCGAAGAAACCCGTTCCACCATCCTTTTCGGATCTTCTCCCTCCTAAGATCTTTCCCAGTTTCACCCACTTGATCCCTTCCCTGGATCTCGCCATCCCGATGCAGAACTCGCCGGTTTCCTCATCGAACGAATGGTAATACATCCTAAGATCTCCACTTCCGTGGAAGACAACATGTGGCGATGCAATGTAGAGAAAGTCCCAATCTTTCTCAGACCCAACATCAAACAACGCCCCACTATGATGCTCGCCTTCGATTCTAGCCCAGTGCCTACCATCTTGACTAATCGCTAACCCAGGGAGCGACCTATAAACCACAGATTTCGCAACGTTCTCATCACAAAGGTTAAACCTTTCTGGATTTCCCAGCTCAAAAGTGAAACCTTGGGACTGAAACTCAACAGTCTCGGTCGTGTAGCCTGTGTAATACATCCAGTAAACAGAGCTATTAGCTCTGACTTTAGAGCTCGACATTATCACGACTTCACCAGGTCGAACACTCGCCTTATCAAACGCCCACCAATCTTCACAACAGCTCATAACCAAACCCACATCGTCGGTCGACTCGACTCTGCCTTTCCCTCTTTCCCAGTGAATCCCATTGTTTGAAACCGCTAATCCAATAGAATCGGAAACTGGTTTTTGCTTTGAGCTTCCGTGGTACCACATGTACCATCTCTCTCCGTTATCGCTTAGAAACCTCTTCACGACGGGAGATCCAATCTCCTCGCTGTCCCACGGATCAGTAGAGAGAAGGCCCAGATCGAGAACCAGCCCTCTCGTTGAAGACGACAGAGAAGAGGTCGGTGAGCAATCGGATGGTGGTGATTCGAAGGTGGAAGCTTGACCCGTTTCGCTACTTTTGGTGGTGGAACATCTTGTTATTGTAGGAGAGAAAGGGAAGAAGAGTTTGTTCTTCCGGTAAGTAAGGTTTTGAAGCGAGAGATTGGTTGATCGGTGACGTTGAACTGTTCTGGAGACGGTGACAATGTAAGGATTTCCATGGAATCTGACGGCATTAGCTTCCATGGCTTTGAAGAGAATCAGAAAGCAAGTTGCTCTGACTGAAGTGAAATGCAACGGGCCACAGATTTTGTTTGGATGACTTTGTCAGTGGCTACTTCAAACGTGACACGTGTCTTTTGTTCAATGGTGAGCTAAATGGAAACAAAAAAAATCATCGTGTAATTGGATAAGTCAAGAAAATCGTATTAGGCTTACGAAATCGGCCCAACTGAGACCCAAGTATAAACCGGCTTCTATTGAAAAACTTATAATCAGAATCTAAAATGTTCACTTTTTCAATCTTCTTCAAAATAAACTTTGTAATTTTGTAAACGTCAAAAGTAATGATATGTTTGTCTTTATGTTTCTAACAAAAATTGAATCCAAAATTGGAACGACCACAAACTAAAATTTTATATTACATTCAAAGGAAAACGAGAAACTAAATAACTCCTAGCAAAAAAAAAAAAACTTAGATAACTTTTTTTAAGTAATGGTTTTAATTGCTTTTGTTGGTTGGTGAACTTAGTTGAGGATTGGTTAGCTACCCAAAACTACCATAACTCGCATATGTGTTCTTACGAGACTGGTCCCGGCTTAGATACGGTCATATATTAGTTTACTCTATTTTATATCACTATGATTAATTCTGGATTATATATAGCAAACTCCAATGATTGATATAGCGATGACTAGGCTATGGGTTTACTGGAAATTAAGAAAAGAAGAAACAAAATTAGCAAAATTTAGTGTAAAGTAATTCTAATGAAATCCTTCCGACATCACTAAGGATTCAATTACTTTGACAACAACTTGCAAATAAGAGAACAAGATAAGGAAGCAACAAACTATCAAATTTACAATAAATGGCACGTTGAAGGAGGGTTGTCTTCCAAGAGGAAAGATGCGGACTGGCATATTAATCTTGTCCGGCTATAAAGGAATTTGAGAGGATAAGCTATTTTCCTTGTCAATATACATTTTAGTTTAGAGAAATTAAAAACAATCTTTGATATGATATCAAGCTGTGTAAATGTTGGCTCGTTATCTAGTTTGTTTGTCGACAAATTATAACTTATATGGTATCAACTACATGTATCATTTCTATTGATGACCAGAATCATATATCAGTTTTTTTTATTGAACACATGTTTCATGGCTACAAATACAGCATGGTAATTGGTAATGTGGCTAATTAGTGATCCAAAAGTCCGATTGTAAAGAATAATGATCGTTGATATTGGTTTAACAGATAGTGAAGTTTACAAAAGGAGAACATGTTAAGCTTTTCTTATGTGAGGCCATGAGAACATGTCACTCTATCTGTGAAGAGACAAAATTGTTCACCGTAGTATTTACAAGATGACAAACAAAATATTGGGGGGTGCAATTGGAACGAGCCATTTGGAGTATTTCAGTAAGAGAACAATGGTTACATAAAAAAAAGAGTAACTTAATTTAGTAATAAAGAGTCGTAACCAAATTATGTAAATATGATTTAAGAACGTGATGGGGACTTTGAAAATGACACAAATCGGAGATCCTTTCGTATCTAGTGATTATCATCAGTACGTCACCCACGTTCTGATAGTAAAATGATTTTGTATGTAAGTCAATAAGAACCCAAAAAATTATAGACGTGCCGTTATAATATATAGCATTTCAATTGCACCCGATGCGATATCATATACTTTGCATCTGTATGGGCTAGGAATTGATTCACATATCTTGACTAAAAGTAATTTATTTGAATAAAAAAACAGAGCATCACTCTAGACACTAGAGCATTAGAGAAATATATGAAAGAAAATGGTTACGTTGATGAATCGTTTCTGATTTTTGAAAGGACGAAACCAAATTAGAAGACGGAAGAGACATGCTTGGCGTTCAGTGAGACAACGATTGTGCCATCAAATTTGTTGTTGTTGTCCTCTTTTGTCCTCGTGTATATTTATTGCTTTTGTTCGAACCATTTTTAGGGTGTAAATGTAATTGTAATTTTTGGAATTACGGTTAGAAACTCTCATTGGTAATTCAACATACAGTCATTTATTTTGCTAATAATATCTATCTTTATGAGTACGTTTCGTTTAACAAAGTTTGAAACATTGATATGCAAGCTTCAAAAAGCGAGGGAAGCCTCGTTGCAACGTCAAGTTTCAAACTCAAAAACGTTTTTTTTTTACATAAAATTCATTCTAAATAAAAGCAGTCTTTCATTTTTATTTTTTTTGCACGACCAAATTTTACTGTTAACGGGTTTACTTATTTTAATCGTAAAATTCTCCTGAGTGCTAAAGTAACTTTATCTCACTTAACTTTGATAATAAATCCTTTAACGAATAAAAATTTTGATGACAATTAAAAACCCATGAAGTGATATTCGATGAAAATGATTCTCCTAGGTAAACGAACAGAAACCTTATCTACAGCTTCCAATATCCACCAGTTAAAAGAAAGAAAAGGTTTAAAAAGAAAAGGGGAAAAAGTATCGTAGATAAACCCATCGTTTGTGCTAGTCCACTTGCTGACTTGTGACGCTATCTTCGGGGCTAAGTCGTAAGTCGTAAGATAATCCACCTCGAACATACAACTCGTTCAGCAGCAAATGTCCATTATTCACTTGGCCTATGTGTTTTAAGTACATGAACTAGATCTCGTAGTTTAAGTCTCTCGAGTTGTATGAGAGGCTGAGAGCGATACTACAATGATTATTTCATTTGAACACTTTTAGTATAAATTAATTAGATTATTTGATATAAAGAGTATAGTCAAATGGTTTATATTAATATTGCATCTAATTCTTAGATAACTACGATGGTTTATACTTTAGATCATTATAAGACGATGACAGCCCAAATGACACTGGAAAAGCATGCGCATAACCTTAATTGATAGCATATACCAAATCTCGGTCAGGTTTTCTAAATAATTACTAGAATTTTTTAGGTATTAACTGAACATTAATTGTATTTCATATTCTATCTTAAATCATATTTTGTTAGCGATGTAAGATTATAATATGCTCCTTTGGAATAAGAAAAAGAAAATATATAGTTTTTCTGAGACCTAAACATTAGAACGAGGAAAAAAAGTTATCTAAGAAATTACATATAATTTTCAAAAGTATATTAAAGTAAGTTTGTGTTTGTCAACTACTAAAGTTTATGTATATAAGAAAAAGGACCAAAAAGAACCACTTACCAAGTGGTTCATCAGAGAATCGTCAGCAACAGAACAGAAAGTGAGCATTAGGATGAGACGAGGATAATAAAGATGTTCGAAGCCATGGAATCTTTGTTTCTCGAGATAGGAAATCTAAGTGTAAAGCCAATATATTTGTTTGACCCCAAAGAATTAATTTCCAGAAATTCCATCGTGCGGTAGAGATTAAAAGGTACTACTAGGAGAAATACCTCGAGATTAACATCTTCACGATAAAAAAGTTGGGCCTCAGAATCAGAGTAACAGATTTGGTTAACGGTCGTTAAAATCGGCTACGAACATATGCTTTTTTGCTGTCAGTTAATTTTACCTTTTCTGTACTAATCTGCCCCTTACGCCTACTCACGCTATCGGTTGTTAATTATTACGTAAATATAGTAATATACTAGCATGCATACAAACATGCATGAGGATTGGGAAAGTGGCTGTCTGATTTGCATATTACGATGAAGAATTCACATGACCCGTGACAGTGGGAAAAATAAATATACAGAAATACTGATTTTGGCCTTTAAAAAAATATATACAGAAATACTGATTTTACTGCTATATGGAGTAATATTTACACATTCGTAAAGCCACCAATCGGATGGTCGGAATACCGGGCGATTCAATAATGTATTGTTTTAATATTTTTTTATTATTCTAATCAAATTATGAAATCACATAACAGATTAAGAGATTCAATTTCATTAATTAAAACTATCACCGATTCACCATAATTAAATCGACACTAATTATAGGCACTACCTAGGCTTTCTAGGTCTAAATGTATGTCGTCTATGTCACCCAACTAAATTAAACAAATAGTTTAATAAAAATGTACACATGGTTAAGTATAAATCGTTATCATTAAATTTTCTATATAATTAAGGAGCTTTTAGTAAATATATTAAATTGTGTAACTAATCTACTTAGTCAATTAATATGTAGTTACAGACAAACAAACAAAACGAGAGAGAAGCAAAATCAAATTTGGAGACACGAACGAGTGAGAAAGACAAAAGGCAGGCATGAGCATGAATTGGCTACATTCTAGAGCTTGATAGAAATAGTTAAAAAACACGTCGCTTCGATTTCAAATTTCATCTCCTCTACACTATAATTACTAATTGATGGCTGGAGGAAAAATATTATATCTTATTTTTTGTCTTTTCTCAAACCCCCGGCTAATTATTTTATTTTGGGGTTTTTAAACACATAGAATCCTATGATATTGTCTTTTGTGTTAAGATTTCGATTTCTCCTATAATTGTTAAACTATATTTTGCGTTTACACGCATGCATGCTGGATTAATGGTTTAATTAAATAATTAATGTGTATTAGTTTTGTTCAATTCTATAATTTCTAAGGGTTGAATGCAGTTACATTTGTTTCAATCCTGAGAGTTAAACGCAGGTGATCTATACCTTCATAAATCGACGTATGCATTTTTATGTAGTGAGCACATGTGTAGATACGAAATATTTTAAGAGGATCCATAGATTTTTTTTCTTTGTTGTCAACAATCTAATCATTTACATAACAATTAAAGCGCTGTCAAAAAAAATATAACAATTAAGCGTTAAGATTACTTACTAAATAACACTTCAAATGATCATTTTTCTTCTTCTTTTGCTCTTTATGCTCTATATGCTTTTATTCTCTTTATTTCTTAATTTCTATTAATCTATTGAATTCTTGTATGTTGTTCGTCTAAGTTTAATAGAACTAATCGACGTTTTTGATAGGGAAGCGTATGTATTGTATTTTTCTTACAAGTATTGTTGTCGTTAAATCACCAAAATGAGAAATAAAAGTAGTAGCGGGGGCCCATGTTTAAAGCTGAGATTACGGGAGTTTGGCCGTAGATTTCTGCCAGTGCAGTTACCTTATTAAATACAATAGTCACAACTATTTTCTCGTTGATTCTTTGTACATTTGTAAATTAAATATCAAATGGTTACATAACAAACAGGTTGAGTGAGATACACAGGTTAGGGATAGAGTCATAGGCTTCGTGATACGTCTAACTCAAAACAGACCATTGTGACCCACTTAGATTTCAGTTTGATTTTTCTGTCACTTTCTTAACTATTTCAGCACCCAATTTCCGAATATGTAACCCACACAACACATACTGGTAAAGCAACACAGCACATTTTATTTTTTTACATTCTCTTATAGCAATAAGTTAGTTTTACTATAGAAGTACAAATCTCATAAATCAGTGGTTAACTAGGATTATATAGATTAATTTTAAAAGTATCCTTACCTTCAATACGACGGGTTCAACTGTTTATCGTTATTTTGTAATGAAAACCAAATCTGAATCTAAGATGATATAACCAAATCAACAATACACAATGTATATCATCTTGAAGACACATTTTTGTAAATCGATAGTTTAGTGAAAAGGTTGTGAATTCGAAATTTAAAGCTCGTTTTATTAAAAAAACTAATAGTGTCAATTTTATTTAAAAAGAAAACTAATATTGTGAATAGAAGAAACCTTCACACAACACATACTTAGAAATGTCTTTTTTACAATCATTTTATTTATTTACGCATTTTGTAAGGTGTCTGGGAGAAAAAGCAACGAGAGTCAGTCTATGAGGAGGACGCAGGAGCCGTTTTGTAGCACACATGTGCGTTTGTCTCTTTGCTTTTTCAGTTTTTCTTTCCCATATTTATAATGCCTTTATCGGTTTTGATAGTCCCAACAAAAAGAAAATCTGAAAACCAATTATATATTGTAAAAATATTACAAAACCATAACACACAACAAAATGTTCGTTGAACAAAAAAAAAGGTAATCAAGATTCGTTGCCCCTTGTTTATTAAAGAAGTCCAAGTTAGTTGCCACCATCAGTGGCAGAACGGTAAATTAACACTAACTTCCTCTCGCTAAAGCTTTCTATAAATTCAACCACTCGCTTCCCACTTCAAAACCCAACAACAGATTCTCACATATCTCTCTATTTCTCTGAAGGAAAGAAGAAAAGAAAGAAGAACTTTAAGTCCCAAGTAACTACTTTCTCTATCCACATTCAATTTTATCTTCTTATTTCCTCTAATACACATTCAGTTGAGCTAAAAGTCATCGACTTTATCACTCCACGTGCAGGTTAGCTAACACAAGAAGTAGCAAAACATGGGTCCTGTTTGGTTCTTAGTTATGGTTTTGATAGGAGTAAAGGCTTCTTCCGTGAGCGGCCAAGGTGGCGGTTGGATCAACGCTCACGCCACTTTCTACGGCGGTGGCGATGCTTCCGGCACAATGGGTAATTTCAATAAAAGAATTCACAAAACCATTTTTTTATGAATGATCAAGTTTTACTGATCTTGAAAGTTGCAATCTTTTAGGTGGTGCTTGTGGATACGGCAACCTATATAGCCAAGGTTATGGGACGAACACGGCGGCTTTGAGCACGGCTCTGTTCAATAACGGACTTAGCTGCGGTTCTTGCTTTGAGATAAGATGTGAGAACGATGGTAAATGGTGTCTACCTGGATCAATCGTCGTAACCGCTACAAACTTTTGCCCGCCAAATAACGCTTTACCTAACAACAATGGCGGTTGGTGTAACCCTCCTCTTCAACATTTTGATCTTGCTCAGCCTGTTTTTCAACGCATTGCTCAATACAGAGCCGGAATCGTCCCTGTTTCCTACAGGAGGTAATAGAAAAAAATTCATACTTTACTCTGTTTTGAAGCTTTCTTCATCTGCTCTGTTTTATTATAATACAGAGTATATCATAATTCGCAACTATTTTCTGGGAAAAGTCATTGATTTTTATCGCAGATTGAAATTATGATCAAACACGTTATTCGTTTTGTTCGATGAAATACTGAATTGTGGTGTTCTTGCAGGGTTCCGTGTAGGAGAAGGGGAGGAATTAGATTTACTATAAACGGTCACTCATACTTTAACCTCGTTCTGATCACAAACGTTGGCGGCGCCGGAGACGTTCACTCGGCGGCGATCAAGGGTTCAAGAACAGGTTGGCAAGCGATGTCAAGGAACTGGGGGCAAAATTGGCAAAGCAACTCTTACCTCAACGGTCAAGCACTTTCCTTCAAAGTAACCACCAGCGACGGTCGCACCGTCGTCTCCTACAACGCCGCTCCTTCCGGCTGGTCCTTCGGCCAGACCTTCGCCGGTGGACAGTTCCGCTAAAAGGGGCAATTTGGTCATTCTCTTCTCTATTCTTATACCTAAAGTAATTTTGTTTGTGTGGTGTGTTCGTAAAATTGGATTCTTGCGAACTCGATTGTTATTGTTCAGAGAGTGATGCGTCGAAGGCTCGGTTTTGCAGAAGGCCTTGATGACGTCTATGCCTTTTTGGACCTCTTTATTTTTTTTCCTTTTTCAAAAGTAGTTTTTTTTAACTATGAGAGGAAAAAATAAAAACATGGCAGCTATTGTATTATTATTACTGATGCAGAGGTGGAGTTTTAACTACCACCCGCTAGTAGTAATGAGTAACCCTCATTTTATTCTTGTTTCTTAAGGTGTGATAGATAAGATTATGAGGATCTTCAAATTGTATTTTTCTGATGTTTGTATGTTATGAGATCAAAAGAACTCATTATTATGTTTGTAATAATACAAGTCATTAATAAGTTATGAAAAATGGGGATTGGCCTTCATTATGTATTAGGTTAAGTGATCTAAAAGTTTTGAATAAATAGCTATATTTGCCGTTCTTGTGAATGCAAAAGAGAGTTTTGAAAAGTTTTTTTTTCTCTTATAATTGTGTGATTCTAACATAGTAACATGGTATCAAAGTTATAAAAGCTTAAAGTTTGATGTAGTTGTTGTTTTTCTTTCTCATTTTTGATTATGTAAGTGGAGCTCGATAAATGTAAACACGTTGGTTCGTTGGTGTCGCCAAAAATAAATCGATGACGTACACAACAAAGTGAGCCACAGCAGCCCAAACCCATGTGGTGGCTAGCGACTAAAGTAAATTTGGGTCCCACTCTGATGAATTTGGCTTCAACGTGACTCATGTGAACCGACGACATATTCAGCAACGGCTCTGGTTCTTCTTCGAAAGAAGATATATGGGCCAGTTTAAAAGCCCATTATAAATGAGCACGTTGACAAGTAAGGTGGTTTTAATGTTGGTTGATATTTATTATCACTATCACTGTAGTAATGGACTTCTACGAGAGTGCACCAAGTGGCTATCTGATAAATTTATATGGATTTGCAAAATCTCCATTGTACAAACTACAAAGACAAACACTACACCTTCAAAGTGCAGATAATTACATTTAACACCAAAGACACGTTCACGATCTGGTAGGCAACCTAATCAAAAGTTTCTCATAAATAGTAAACATTTCGGCACATGTAAAACATTCAAACGACTTCTCAGAAACCAAACACAGCTTCGGAAATCCATTCCTAGCAAAGACTCAAAGTTACTTGGGCCAAAGCCCATTATGAAGATGATACAAAAAACACATTGTGTGATACTGTCATCCTAGTCAACAGTCAAAATAGTCAATTATACTCTTGCCTCTTTGTGGGCTCTCTCGCACGTGCACAACACCTTTTCGTCATGTATGCTTTTCTTTCTTTCTATTTCTATAGTTCTTTTTCCTATCTTTATATTCAGTCTCTTCAAGAAATTAAGGTCAAATGTTTAAAATACAGCGTCTGATATTTTTTGCGTGAAAAGAAAGATTGGTTTTTGATTTATAATTTCTCACAAGTTTAAAACATACATGTACTGATGTATAATGTGTAAATCTCTTATTCTCAAAGAAAATTAGTATCCGAATTGAATTTTTGACTGAGGAGACTGAAGGAACATGATGAATCGATATTGATAAAGAGATCAAGAAGTTGAAAGCTTAAAGTGGGATATCTATTTGATAAAAAAAAAAAAAGTGGGATATCTATATTTTCTCAAGAGGGGAGTTATTACGAGTGAATGCCATGAACAGTTGTGAATAGTTCGTTTAGTTGTGCAGCTTCCCAATAAAATATAACCATTTGTATACATATTATACATATTTTTAAAAAATAGTATATGGAATTGATATACTATAGAAGTCACGAATAGTGTAGTACAGTGTGCACCATAAGCGAATAGTTTTGTGATTGTATTTTTTCTGTATCCAAAAAATCTAATAGTGTTGTGTGATTTGTGAAAACAATGAAAATTTCCTGAAGGGATGAATGTCTCAGACATGTACGTCAAAATCATTGTTCTTACATTTTGTGTATAATACAAAAAATGTTGAGAGTTTGTTTTTGAATTTGTGAATCGAATATTCACATTGTTAAGTCCACGTCTAGGTTATGAATATTCAAGATTCGCATTATTGCATTTTGTTTTTACAATAATATTTATCATGGATATTGCCATTTGGTGAAGATGATCAATTTAAACCCTATCAATAATAACAGCTTACCAAACCCGTCACATCCAGTCTCGTTTACCACTTGGACAAATCTGACTCTGACTTTGACTTTAAAATTTGAACATTACTTCTGTCTTGTTTATTTATAATATCTATATCCGAATAGGTTATTTAGGTCCATCATGAGCATTGGTGCATTAATTATTGGATTTTGCGAAAAAGGGCATTGAATTAGTCTTGATTCCATGACTAAGATCTGATGGGATTCACTGTTGGAAACTCTAATGTCATAGATGCTGTAGCATCACCTGTCCTTCAAATATACTGAATCATCCATACCCTCTGGATCCATCAGAGGGTCAGGTTAGCTACACCTAGACCTCTCCTTGCCTGTTGCCTCTCGATTTGGATCTGCAAATTTTGCTGCTGTGGTTCAGCTTGCTTATTGCGAGCGTTATAATTTCTGAGCTGTAACACACATCACCATATTACTCTCTCTCTCTCTCTGTCTCCACAACTATTGTTTTGTATCCAATTTTTCACTTTTTTAGATTCTTACTTAAAGCGACCCTCTCCATTTGCTTTGTTTTCTATTTTGGTTATAGAGTAAATGTCACATACGTCGTTTTGTTATGGACTTTTAACGCATACAACGACCATATATATTAAAATGTGAAATAATCAAACAATGACGTTAACCGCCTGCCAGTAGATTTATGTTTTCGGAGTGAGATGAAGCTACATACGATCACTTACAATTACAAATAGAGAGAGCTTTGGTAAAATAATATAATAGAAGAGTGTATTTATATTTGAAAAACCAGACACATCATATATGTGGCTCTATTAATCAATATTTGAACAAAATTCACTAACCAAACTTAAAAAAATCCTTAGAAAATGTGACTCTAGATAATGGTGTGGCTTCAAATCCAAATTGTCTTTGCTTGGACTCAAGGTGTACATATGATGGTTAGGTTATAGATTGGTATGGACGTTGGGTTATTTATTACAGACATATGATCATGTGAGCGTTAGCTAAGTCGTGTTAGATTATGTTTCCTTCCGTTGAACAGATGAAAGAAGGGAGCATTTAAACATGTGAGAGTGGGGCAGGTAAGTGTCCTTTAAACAATAAGAAGTGGGTCTTTGCATTAGGTTTCTGACATCTTACCCATACTTACACCCATATTATATTTTTCAAAGATTTTAACAAATATTATCATGTAAAGAGTACCTTTTTGTCCTTTTGTATTTACTTTAATTGCGACACTCTTAACGGACTTCGGTTAAGGCTCAGCCTGAATCCCCCATACGGCATCACCATACTTCCATTAAGTACTATTATGCATTATTATACATAATACATCACTACATTGCATTGTGATGATGATCTTGTTATCAATTGCCTAACCGGCAATCAAGATTTTCTAATGGTTTATTAAAGTTGCTTTAGTAGTTAGAAATAAATGACGTGTCATGGTTTGGTAAATTTTGTTTAACGGTTAAAACTAAATGTTTATCTTTAATTTCGTATATATTGTGTATTTTTATTTTATTGTTTAGTTATGTCATTGTATTTTATATTTTATATGAATGTCATTGATAATATTGTAGTTAGATTTTTTAATCTTTGGTTATCATAACAAATGGTTAGGGTAAATATAAAGAAAAATATAAAATTTGGAGAATCATGTATGTAAACTTTTTAACTCCAAACTAAAATGATAAACGGTATTAATCTTCCAAATTGTTCATCACCTTTATTTTGAAATGGAATATAAAGTGCCGTTAGAGAAGATTTTCCTTAGAGTAGAAAGTGGAGCTAGGTTGAAAAACAACCTTTGTCATGCAACTAAAACTCTAATCATCAATCAAATTCAAGACATATTTAGACGAACCCATAAGTTGGATGTCGTATTTAATTTGTAGGGTTATGAGTTTTAGATCAAAGGGAAGGATTCAAAATATGGTTCTGTCAAGGGGACACACCTAACAGAATCTCATGGATTAGCCTTTGTCTTCTGCTGCTCCCTTACGTCCCACTACTTGTCACATTCCTTCGTTTTTATTCTTTAATATTATTAATTATTTAATTTCTTATTTTATTTGAACCTCAGTTCTTTTTCTTCATTATTGTCCTTCCATATAATTTATATATATATATATATACACACAGAAAAATGTCGTACAAATTTCAACAGGGCCTTATATTATAGGCATTATCTCAGGTCGGGTCGTACCCTTTCTTCATATAAAAATGTTTAAAACCGACTGTTGACCAAAATATTAAATATTCACAGTTTCTGTTTTTCAAAATTTACAACATGTAAAACACACACTAAATCTGATTTTATATACTATATTTTTTTGTGTATGATAAGAGTAACCAGATCTTTGGTAGGGTTAAACCCCTAATGCCACACAAAACCCCCTGATTAGTTGAAGGTTGAGTTAAGGTTTTTGGAGAACTAAGTCCGGTTATGGAAACAAAAATGTAGTGTGATTGTAACCAAAAATACCAATGAGGTTAAGAAAGGAGGTAGAATTTAAGACAAACTTTATTGGTGGATGTGAAAATAGGTGGGTATAGAGAGATAGGGGCAAAGGGGGCTATGAGATTAGATGGGTCATTGATTCATTCATCTTTGAAAATTGAGAGAGATAGACTTTACTGTTTGGTTACCTTTCACGTCATCTCTTTTTGGAAACTCCAAAAACAGTATGAGTTTGTGTGTGTCTTCGTGATCTGTTCCCACCATTTATCCTCTCTGTCTCTCCACTTCCTTTCATTTTACTCTCACTTTCTTGTTCATTTCTGTTTCTTCACTAGTTTCCCCTCTTTTTAATCACCACCAATCCTCGCCATGTTGCATTAGTTACTACAAATACCTCTTGACAGCCAAACCAGACTGGACTTAATTAAACCGTATGAACATATATATGTTAATATTAGAACTTGCATTATCTTTAACTGTGGAGGAAGATAATCGTATTTAGTTTATGTAATGTATTAAGTTTTAGTTATATTATCTATAGTATGAAAGGGTTGCAAATTTCGACCAAAAAAAAAAAAAGGGTTGCAAAATTGAATTTGATTAAAGCGTTTGAAACTATGAAAGTAAAAGAATATTAAAAGTCTCTCAAAATATCTTCAACCATAAATAATGGATATCAAAAAAAGAGAGTATGATATACTTGAATAAGTTAGTTGATTACCGTTTGAGTTATTTGATTGACAAGCTAATATATATGACTAGACCAATATTTAAATTGAATCTCTCTTTTGATAGTCCATAATCTATGTTCCTAGAACTCACCTCTCTAATCATTAGAAAACAAATTAAATTTGTTGGACTTTTTTTCGTCTATAGTCTTCTCGTTTCTCCTTTTGCTCTAAACCGAAACCAAACCATGCATATTCCCTGAGTGTTTGGGATTGTTCTAAATTTATTGTGGTCGTGCGTGTCTGCTGCACAATAAGGAGAATACACGTGATGTTTGTGCGACGTCACACGGCAAAATCGGGCCATGGGGACGCATAACAGTTGAAGAGAAAGGACTTCTCCTTTGAATTGAATCTTTATTTTGATATGATCTTTTGAATTGAATTGGATCCTATGTTACTCGTAATGTGCACGTGTTCATTATTTTCACTTTAGGCCACCAATAGATCAATACTTATTTGAATTGAATCGGGTTTAAAATTTCTAAGAACTTGCAAGCACATGTTTAACTGCATTAACTACTATAATTTGATGCAATTTGTATTATTAGCATTTGATATTTTACGATGGGGCGTATTTAAAATAATATATTCATTGTTTTAGGGCAGTGAATTATAATTCTTTCCGAATTACGAGAATTATTTTTAAAAAGTATTTGTATGTTTATATGTTGACTTGACCAAACATAATTTTACCTGAGTACATTGTAACATTCGTGAATCAGATAGTTCACCCGAAAGAATTAAGCTTGCGAAAACAGTAAACTCACTGAAGAAGTTCTAGAAAATGAACATTTAAACCAAAAAAGATAACTAGAAAATGGCTTAGGTGAAATTTGACGGGAGGATTGGGTTGTGAAACCAAAGAACAATCTAGAAAATAAAAATTTGATTAATTCTGACAAATTAAACAGAAATTTTGATTAATTCCAACGGTTGATTTTTCATACACATCGATGTATTTTGTATTTTTGGTGACCGGCTAACTTATTCATCCGACATGGATTGACAATAAGATCACAGTCTACTTTATGTCCTCCAGTCAATATATGGATTATGGCTTTAATTAGATTGATAGTAATGGAAAGATATTGCAAAATACTGAAGTTATTAAACTATGGGCGAACATATTATTGGGGATCATTTCCAAATACAGCTCCCTCGAGGGTTAATGAAGTTGCAGATTCACTTGCTAAAAACAAGCCATAGTCAAGCGGAAACATCAAACTCCTCCTTTATCCTCCAAGTCATATTAACTCTTTGCTTATGAAGGATTATGTATACATTTGACATGGTTATTAAGAAATCCTTAACGTTAAAAAAAGAAGATATGATTTAATGATTTAAAATTGACACGAATGGATCAAAAATCTAGCTAGTTCTAGATTGTTAACAAGTAACAAAGGTGGATTCGCACAAAACAAAAGAAGAAGCAAGTGTGGAAGTCCCCACCCTGGATAGTGGCTTTTTGCCAAAAAAACATGTTAGTGTGATTATCCATATATTACTATTTCATTATATATATATATAATTGATTTATTTCATAATTATATTTTATTTACATCAAAATTAGACTGTTTGTTTTAAAATACAGTTTTAGATCATAAATATGTGCTGGTTCTGCCAGAGTGCCAGGTAAATAGTTACATAAAGCTTCATAACTTCTGTTTCAGATAATCTATATATTTCATATATACAATATAAATATGTATTTCAAAGTAATCGACCGATTAAAGAGAAAGAGAGAAGGGATAAAAGTGAGAACGTACTACGTAGAGCGTTCGGTTAATCTATGTGCAGCAGATCGTACGTACTGCTCTGCGACCCTTTTGAATCTGATATTAATAATTAATGGTTACGTCTGCCATTTGTAGTTTCTGGTCAAATACGAAAAGGTTTTAACAGATTATTTATGAAGGATTACTTTTTACTGTTCCTGCTCATGACTTATACACATCCACACGTCCACACACCTTATCTATATGTGGGATATTTAGAGTTGGGAACTTGGGGGTGGCTTTTTGTTGCTGTTGTTAAGAGAAATTAGAGTTTAAGAGCATCAGCAACGGTAGAGATCATATCAGTCTCTTCTAAAAAATATTTTAATAATATAATTAACTTTTACAATTAAATTATAAATAATTAAAAGAACAAACCAATCATTGCTTGCCATTTATATAGAGACGACTTCTAAAAACTCTTATATCAAAATCGCCTCTCATTCTCTCTCTATTTTTTTTCTTTTTTTATAATATTTTATTATTTAAAATATTTGTTAAATCTCCTCGTTGGAGATGATCTAACAAAATAAAGTTTTCATTTATTTATTAAGTTTCGTAATTTATCTTCATTTGTTCTAGATCTTGTAATATCTGGTTTATAAAATCTATGAGACTGCTACAGCAAGTGCAATAGAAAAAAATTACTTTATATGAAAAATTAGGATTGTTAGGTACACATGACATGGAGAAAAAGGGCATATTATATATGTATACAAATATTAATCTAAGCGATAATTATAAATAAATAAATCAAACTGAACAACAAGATGGGAGATTTATTATATAAATAGAGGGTTTCACAGAAATGGTAGTAAAGAAAGGATAAGAGAAGAGAGACAAGTGGAGATTAAGAGAGAAAGAGGTAATGTCTAAGGAAAATGAAAATGAAAAATAAAAGCGTCCGAGAATTGGTTGTGTTAAGAAGAGACACGACTCATACCCCAATGTTAAAATCTCTTTTGCCTTCATCCTTTTTTGGTAGTTAGTCCTGCTTCAGCTTTTCCTTTCTTTCATCACATTGTTTTTTTTTTGTACTCTTTTCATTTTGCACCTAATAGTACCTATAAAGCATGCTTTAATCAATAGAAAATTAAATTCACTTAATAGGGGGTAATGATTCATTTGAATTTCTCCAAGATACTCACCACATTTTGTTTTAGTCTACACTCACCACATAATATAGGGGATTTGACAATGTATATATTGAATTATTTTAATTTTTATGAAAAACAATTTCTTCATTATATGCATACTTTTTTTTTTTTGAAAAACATTATATGCATACTTGTATATTGAAATTATCTCTTTTTTACTTACACTATTGAAATTGTCTCTTTTTTACTTACACTTAATAAGATATAATATTTTGAACATTTAATCACAAGTACCTCTGAATTATTATCATCAATCTGTGGACATGTAGTATGATTAATTGTTTACAAATTTCAATTATGTGGAGAAATTAATATATGCTTCATTTTAGAAAATCTTTGGACCTTCTATAAATGTAGGTACACCTGAACACATTTGTATAACAGTCCACAGCAAAATCGAATATCGATAATACATATGTACTGACTTATTACAGTGGTATCAGATATAATAATGTAAAAATGCAAATAACTATGGCGTTTGATTCAGTCCGTGACAACGGTCCATAACCCTTTTTAACAGTCGTCAGAAAACACGGTCGCGACATGTACATACACGCACATCCCTAAAGCCATACGTAACACACACCATATTATATTAAAATATATATTTATATATATATATATGTTATTTATGACACACATTTACGTACGTACGTGTATATATAATACGCAAATGCACCGCATAGTCTTTCCACTCCTCTGATGGTCTAAAGCTGACGTGACATCTCTCTCAAATCTCAATTTCACACTTCTCTTCTTTCTTTTCCTCTCTCCCAAACAGAAACTCTATGTTTATGTCGGAAAATCAACGGTGGATGGATGAGCTCGCCGTCGCAAGGAGAGAAGCTTCTTCTTGGGACTTCCCTTTCACCGACATTAACATTCATCGTCACTGCAGCACGAGTCACAAATTTGACATCTTGAAGAGTCCTCTTGGAGATAACGAAGAGGAGAGTAATAATCACAACCCTAATTATAGTAACAGCGAGAGTGGTAAGAAGGAGACGACTGACAGTGGACAGTCTTGGTCTTCGTCTTCTTCAAAACCGTCGATCTTGGGGAGAGGACATTGGAGACCCGCTGAAGATGTTAAACTCAAAGAGCTTGTCGCCATTTACGGTCCACAAAACTGGAACCTCATAGCTGAAAAGCTCCAAGGAAGATCCGGTAATTTATTAAATCAAATATTTTTTTAATGGGTCCTCAAAATTTCATTAAAACCAATGTTTTGATGATTTGTTCCATCTGGGTCAGTCAGAGAAATGAGCTTTACCAAGATCTGGTAATAAGACCAAATCTTTTCAAGAAACAAAAAAAAAAACAATATTTTTTCTGGGTCTTCTTGGTCCAATGTGGGTCATAAAAAAGAAAGTCAAAGATGTGTGAGCTTTATTAACTAAATTTTGATTTTTGTTTAAAAAGGGAAGAGCTGTAGACTTCGTTGGTTCAACCAATTAGATCCGAGGATAAACCGAAGAGCTTTCACGGAGGAAGAAGAGGAGAGGCTGATGCAAGCACATAGGCTTTATGGTAACAAATGGGCAATGATTGCGAGGCTTTTCCCTGGTAGGACTGATAATTCTGTCAAGAACCATTGGCATGTTGTCATGGCTCGTAAGTATAGAGAACACTCCTCGGCTTACCGTAGGAGGAAGCTTATGATTGATAATCCACTTAAACCTCATCATCTTCCTAATCATCCTAACCCTAACCCTAATTACCAATCTTTTATCTCCACTAATCACTACTTCACTCAGCCTTTCCACGAGTTTAATTTGAGTCATCACCTGGCTAATAATGCGTCTATCACGACTGACCATAATCAGCTTGTGTTGCCTTTCCATTGCTTTCAAGGTGCTCTATTGCTCTTCTTATATCCGCTTTATTTTTCCCATTATTTTTCTCCCTTTCCATATTTTGATTGTGAATTGTACAACATTCAGGTTATGAGAGCAATGAGACGATGGTTGTGAGTATGTTTGGCAACCAAATGATGGTCGGCGATAATGTTAGTGCCACGTCAGAAACGTTATATCATTTTCCTTATATCGACTCTACGAGCCAAGAGAAACGAGTGCCAAATGAGCCAATGAATTGGATCGGAATGGAAGTGGTAGATGATGATCAAGTGGTGGAGAAGGCTAAGCAGCAACCACATTTTTTCGATTTTCTTGGCTTGGGGACGACATGAATCATAGTGATCAATATGGTTACAAAAAGAGAGCAGGAAGTTAGCCTTATAAGCTAGAAAGCATACAAACCAAGATCCAAGTCATTGTCCTTGGTTTGCATTTATTAGTAAATTGTAGATTGTTGTTGTTGGCGGTCTAGTGTAACATTTAATAAACTCTTAGTATTAGTAAATCTTTGATATATTTTTTAACTAAGGAGGTTAGTCTAATTAAGAAAAAGGCAATTCTTTGATATATTTTCAAGAAAAGGTAACTCTTTGATGTATTTTACAACTAAGGAGACGTGAAATATGCTAAAAATGTGATGAGAAACACAACGAGAGAGAGAGAGAGAAAGAGAAGGGAAATTAAAAGAGTGTAATTGTAAAGAGTTGGAGAAAGGGAAGAAGATGCGTAATTAAGAGATGAGGAACTGCCATAGATTGAGGCAGAGATTGTGCAACAGAAAGGCCAAACATGAAACATGCTCACCAAATCTCACACACACATCGCATTTGTTTCTTCCCTTCAAACCGTTTTTCCTACGCTTCAAGCTTCTTACCTATGTGTCTCTCTCATGTCACGCGGACCCACATGCTTCTTCTCTTATTATTTTTTTATAAGATATAAAATTATACTTGCATTTTGTTTTTTGGAGTAAAATTTTGTTTTGGTTTTGAATATGAGAAATTAGGTATGGTATTTCAAAAATATACAAACTAATTATAAAAAACAATGGCTATGATATTTTGTATATATTCTACAATATATACAAATTTATTCTTCTAATTTTTTTTTTCCTTCCTATTTTTTCTCCTTTTCCCTTTCACTTTTCCTTACCGTTTTCTTCTCTTCCTCCTCCTCCCTTTCCCCTCTTTTTCATCTCCCATCTTTTCCCCTCCCCACCTCCCCTCCCCTACTTCCCTCCCCCGTCCTCTCTCATCTTCTTCTTTTTCCTATACAATATATATGAAACAAACATTTTATAAATAGTATAGTATAGTAGTATAAATTGATATAGTATAGTATAATAATATGTTTATAAATTTGGTTTAAAGGGTAAAAAAGACAAATGTTAGGGTTTTTGATTATTAAATGAATTATGAAATTAGAATGATTATATTCTTTATTTTATGGTGTAATGTGGTTATATCACAAATTAACCCTTTGAATATTGGTGATTTAGTAAAATAAACATGGTGTGATCATTAACAAATTGGGCTTAATTAAGTGCAACACTGGTTATGCATTGCAGGAAAAAATGGAATGGTTTAGGGGTAAGAGCAATCCAACTTGAAGCTAATATTGATTTTAGCTTTCGTGTCATTCTCCTCCGTAAAAACAATGTATACATGCAGTTTTGCATGGCCCGGAAATAGCTACGTTTGATATTTTCGACAATATAAAATGGTAAAATGTGAAATATTCAAAGAAATTAATATGCAATGAATATATTTGGTACAAGGAGAACTCCAATACACACGCAAAGCCCAATACTGTATTATGATTCATGATCATGACAAGTCCAACCGCCCATGTGAGTATAATTTTTAGTAAGTACAGATTCATATATAGATGTGCGTAGTGAAAACCTAATAAGAAGTAATTTTGAGATTTGCCACTTTTATGCAACTCCCTTTGGTTCCCTTTTATGATATCAATAGAACTTTTTTTTTGGGTGTTTTTAAACTACTACTCTTGTTGCTTTTCTGTGTGGAAATATTAAGTTTACTAATAAATAAATAGCTTCACCATTAACAAATATTAAGTTTACTAATAAAAAAATAGCTACACTATTAACAACTATAGAAACTGAAAACAAATGAAATGAAATCGAATGGAAATAATATGAAAGTAAAGAATCGGTGGAGGTAGTTCTCTTTTATTTTTTTTCTTGCACCTAAATTAAATTCTAATGAGCTTATTTTCTATCTTACAATTCTATTTTACTGAACTCATAGTGACATTTGCTCACAGCTCGTTGTCATATTTTTTTTTTTTTGGTCAGGACTCCAAACTATTTAAGAAGGATTTTTTTCTTTATCAATTAAAATATAACTTGTTTTGCTTCCTTAATTTTATAATAGTATATAAATAAACATATTTGATGTTTGAATGTTTTTACTAAAAGAAACATATTTTGTTTCATGGGGCAAATGTTCGTAGGGTATAAATGATGTTGCTAGATATTTCGTTGTCCATGAGTATTCTTATTGTTGTCCGGTTTTAAATAAGTTTTCAAGTATGACCATTACAGATTCTATTATGTAGGATTTTTTTCTTCCGATTTCGAACTGTAGCTGTAAAGACTCGATCGATAATTGGTACTGAAAGCACCGGAGAGTAATTTATTTGTGATAATACCGGTAGGAATCGAAAACGGTACGCATGCTATTGTTCCCTCACTAAAACAGGACGGTTTCTTTCGATATACACGTTGGGCCCTGAAATTGCTTCATTGGGCCCAAATCCTTCAAGAATTTCCGAATACATTTTTTCTTTAATAACGAAGAGTGGAATGTTCATGCACTGAAAGTTAGGAAGTAATGGACATACAAAAAAAAGAGAAAGCAATGATGATGACATTAGAAAAGAAAAATGATTTAAAAAGTATTTTTCCTTTTTCCTTTTTCCTTTAGACGCAAATGAAGAGTCTTTTACTTTTCTCCAAGAAAGAGACTTTATGCTCTCCTTTAGCTTTTCTTCTGTGACAGTAGATGGATTCTATAACCAGAGCACTGAAAGTTTAAGGTGCTCTGCTTTTTTCCTTTACATAAAAGTCCTTACACATATTTTTTCAAATAAATTTATACACTACATCTATAATGTAATAAACAATATCTTAGAGCCACATTTACCAAAGAAAGACGTCATAACTTCAGCATATCTATTCGTTAGGATAAGCGCACAAAATAAAATTGATATTAAAAGTTATCTGCACTTTCACCACACAACGAAAATACTGTATCTACAATTTTTTTCTTTCTTCTACAAGGTAACAACTAAAAACCAATACGCTAAATCTCACTTCATGAATAAACACGCATACACCTATTCTATATTAGTATATGGTTTAACATTACATGCTCTCCCTGAAGCTCATAGATCTTGCCATGGCTGCTGGGTTTGCTTGCAGGTTAAGATACGTTTGAGGGACGAATCTCATGTTGCTGTTCTTTGTTTCAGATCCATCACTGAAAAAGTTGAATTGCTCTGTCTTCCCGCGTTTCGTCGGTACTGGATACCACACATGACTTGCTTCATTATTGATACTTTGAGATTCTGAATCCACTCTTTCTCTAACAGTTTGGTCTGAAGCTTGCTCTCTTGTCCTTTTCCCTAGACATGTGGAAGTCTCTAGGGTAGACCAAAACGGTACCGTGCAGCCCCAGTAGACGGGAATGTGGTAGAAAGTAAGGTTAGGAGGATATTGGTAAGGCCAAAGAGATGAAACAGGGGATGTTACTTGCGGAGGAAGAAATCCTTGGAAGTTGTTGAAATCTTTTGAAACAGAATTCTCGGTTGTTGTCGCATCGCTTGATTGATGGTTACCGTTATCAGTAACCAAAGAGTCTGAAGACTCAAAGCTGAGAATCTTCGTTGAGGAGCTATTGTAATCGTTAGTATTCTCGGAAGTGATGTGCATATAATGCTCTGAAGAAACCCATCCCTTGTTCTTGCGGCGGCCTGAGCCAACCGGAACAATCCTCATGGATCCACCGGAAGTCCAATACCTCTGGCATTTTCTGCAAAAGTGGCGCGGCTGATTAACGTTGTAGTTGTTGTAGTAGCAGAATTTGGTGTCTGCGCTGTTGCATCTCGGACATGGAAGAATCTTGTCTGGTTTCTTCAAGTCAGTTGTTTTCTCTTCCGATGTAGTAGCTGTTGTGATCTCGCTGTGTTGGTCATCGCTGTTCTCAGACGTTTCTTTTGACTCGTTGTTGAGATCAGATGATATCTGAATACTTGTATTGTCTTGCTCGGTGTTATCAGTATCATCAGATTGGTTGTTCATCTGAAAATTTGGATTAAAATTCAACATCATGAGCTACTTTCAAACTGATCATAAAGACTAGAGAAACAGATTCATTTTTTAGAGCATGTCTTAGCTTGAAAATGTAAGATTAACATGGTCTTAATCGGAAACATACCATGTGTGGTCGAACTGAGGGAGAAGAAGATGAGGAAGAGTTATTCTCCTTGTCAGAATCGGGAAGAACAGGGGACAAAGAAGATGCGATTGTCCACCCAAACAATTTTACGGTAACTTCAGACATATCAAATTTTGCAGAGGGAAAAGAAAATGAAGCAGAAATTAGATTTGATGGTATTTGTGTGTTTATTCTTTAAGAGAAGATGTGAGACAAGAGTATATATATATGTATTAAGAGTCTGAGGTTGGTATTAATGGATCGCACAGAGCCACACAGAGAGAGAAAGTGGGCAAGATGACACATCAGCAGAGAAAGGGACTTGTAGAGATGAGAGAGCCACATGCTTTTGCAATCAAAGTGTGCTTTTTGCAATCTTTTTGACGCTCTTTTTGATCTCTCTTTCTGTGCCACTAAAAAGATTTCCAAAAACTTTATTTTTGCCACGTCAAATTGTTTGGTTATTAAGAGAGTTATTAAAAATGTACAAGTGTTTTTCGGAATATTCGTATAGAAATACATACGACAATGCAATAACACCACGTGGTAATATGCCACTTTTGTCTGTCCACGTCGGCTGTACATGGACTGCGTGAACTCTTGAAGTATGTCTACCAGAACAATTAATGAATATCATAATCTTGTAGCGTATTGGTTTCTTATTTCCTTTTCTTGATACCAAGTAAGATTGTATTTTAACCAATTTCAAAAAGGAAAAGGAACTTAAAAAAGGTATATATATAAAAAGAGTCGAAAACTGGAGGAGACAAGAAAATAAAAAAGAAGAAGGGACTCTGAAAGAGAAAACCTGAAAACACAAGACTGAGAAGAGAGAGCTTACTAGGGTTTTGGTGTTCGGATAAACGAAACAGAGTAATATTTCAGGGTTGCAATCGGGGCATGGAAGGTGGCAGACGTGATCACAGTCGGTGTCTGGTTGGGAAATTCGTGAAGCGGAGCCGACCACTGACCATAGACGAGGAGCTAAACAAAGATCTTAAGAGAAGATGGAGCTTTTGTTCGAGAGGCTTCGATGTGTTCCCATTGAACAAAGGCATGATTTTGGTTGAGTTCTTGCTGAAAAGAGACATGAAGCAGGTTGCAAGCATAGGAATCTGGATAGCCAAAGGCACTCTTCTTTTGGTCAAGGAATGGCCGTCGGTAGGGTCGGTGGATGAGATGGACTTCTCCACGTTTACCTTGTGGGTTAGGGTAAAAGGCTTGCCCTTATCCCGATACACACAAGAAGAAGCTCGACGCATTGGGAGAAGGCTAAGTAGTAAGCCACTCAGGGAAATAACAATTCATCCCTCGAAAACACTGTTCCTTGTCCGTGCCGAGATTGATATCGGAAAGCCCTTAAATCCTGGCTATTTCGTGGACGAACAACGACGCGAGCCAGTCTTTATCCAGTTTAAATACAGATATGCTGGGACGTTCTGCAAATTTTGTGGTATGATTGACCATACGACATGTTCGGAACCTCTCAAAGAAAGTCCTCTAACTCATAACATCGAGAGACCCATGTATGGTACATGGATGCTTGACTTAATCTCCCAAGCGGCTGATGCGAAACTAGAAATCGAGTTCCCAGAGAAACTGGTGCAAGATTGGACGGAGCTGGAGGAGACCGTCCCTTACCCACAGTTCTTCATCAACCTTGAAGTTTCTTATGTTTGTAAAAGTGATCATGAGTGGCGCGGAGAGAAACTGTTTCGCCGTAGCGTAGAAGACGTTGTTGAACATCGTTTCCGGTTGAAAACAATGAGGACATAGTGTCGATGAGGTTGTGGAGGAGTTGCATTAAAGATGTGGTGGGGGAAGACCAGTTAATGCCTTTCAATCTTGAAAAGAGATGCATAGAGGCTAGGAAAGAGGCGATTGAGTACGGCATTTCCTTATGTAGCGGCTTGGAACCAGCTTCCGCGACGGAGGTTGATAAACTAGAGAAGAGAAAAGTAAGTGGGGAAGAGATGGATGAGCTAGAGCCGTGTGCAATATGTCAAGAGGGAATGTTCCTTGGGGATGAAGCAACCCGAATGCCTTGCTCTCATGTCTTCCACGCTACATGCATCGAATCCTGTCTTCAAAGAGACTATATATGTCCGCTTTGCCGTCACAAACCCGCACAGAAAAAAGTAAACTACTCTTGTCCAAACCACTTTAGGAGATACCGCCTCCTCAAACAGCGTTATCTTTAAGATAGCATTTGATATATTTAGGGTAGATTAGAGACGACAATGTACGAAGAGAGTTTGGAGTTTGCAGAGAATGTATTTGGTACATTTATGAACTTCTATATGTTTTGAATGGAATTCTTCATCGCCTTCAAAATATTTGTTGCATCTTTTCCTCGTTTCGTTGATTTGTAATATTGTTATTATATATCCGTTACTTATATAATTTTCTCATAAACATAAAGTTTCAAATCTTTTGGTTACGATTGTTTGTTGGTTTTCATATTCTATATAATTGTCTCAAGTTTTAATCTACCCAACTATTAAATGGTGGGATGTCAAAATAAATGATCTCGCTTAAATCGGTTCAGTTCATCATATTTCATTGTTCAGCTCAGCTCATCTATTATTATATGAATATATATATATATATATATTAACTCGGATTCAAGTTATATTGATCATGAGATTCTTATCATCATCTATGTTCATGTAATTACTTTTCTTCACAAAATCTTCAAGATCAATTCTTCTGCTTTTGTTTTAGGTGCAGAGGCAGTTGCAAGTGAGGATAGAGGCACAAGCGAAATATTTACAGTCAGTGTTAATAAAAGCTCAAGAAACTCTCGCAGGTTACTCATCTTCGAATCTCGGCATAGAGTTTGCGAGACCCGAGCTCTATGGAGCAGCATCAATGGCGAACACAAGCTGTCTCACTTTTTCTTTTCCTGAACTGACGCAAGTAGATGAAGAGGAAGAAGAAGGTTTCTTGGAACACAAGAGATCAGTAAACAGAGGAATAAGACAGACGAGAAGTTCAGTCGACAGATCGTTGTCATCATCGGAGAGCTCAGGAGCAAATGCGGATGCCGATTCACAGTGCTTTATGATGAGGAGATCGATCGAAATTCAGTTGATGAAGATCAAGCCCGAGGAAGCGACGAAGCGGAAGAAGAGAAGGTCGGACGACGCCGTTTCCGTGGAACAACCTATTTGGAGGTCACGACTGTGAGGACTTGGGACTGAGTTTGAGTGGTTTCAAGTCCAACAAATAGGATTAGTTTTGAAGAAACCTGACTCTTCCTTTTAATAAGATATGTTAAAATATACATCATGCGTAAGATTATCCGTCCATATAACATTACGTAGATTTAATTAGTGGGTGATGAATAATTGAATTATATAAAACATATAGTCGCTTTCGTCGTTAACAGTAGAACGAGAACAACCGACGTCAGATAAGCTTCTGGATGGTTTAGGCAGGCACAAAAGCGATTTATGTGGTCTAGATGTTATATCTTAATACCAACTATTATTATTAGTTTAGCATTTTTTCTTAAAGTTTTGTATTACCAATTAGCATTGAACGGAAAACTGAATGTAAGACGGTGGAACAATTGGAAATTGAAATCGAAGAAACGTTATGATGTGCCAAAACAAAAGAATTAATTTGTATTTAGTAAACCATTAGTTCATTACAACGTAGTAACGTACGCCTTTTGAAGATGAAGCACATTCTTAAGTCTCACATGTAATCATGTGGAAAATAATAGGTTTAGAGAAATGGTCAAGGATTTCATGGGGGATTACTAAACTTTAAAGATACTTAACTTTAATACATGAATTCAAGAAAACAAAACAGAGATTTAGAGGAAGAACAAAAAAAGGCAAAATCCGAAGTTTATCATGGGAAAAGAAAAAAAAAAAAGAAGATTCTCATAACTTTTCCCCAAAAAAAGGTACAAAGTTTTTACAATAGCTTCTTCTAAAACACAGATCTTGTGCCACCAGATCCAACAGTGTTACTTCCATCACCATCACTGTTTCCACCGTCTTGACCAGAAGAATCTCTAAATCTCCGACCACCGTCGAAACCAAACCTAACCCAAATCTCTCTCCCATCGTTTCTTTTCTTCTCAACCTCATCTCCATCAACAGGCATCTCGTACCTACAAACAGGACACGACCCGTGAAGCTCCAACCATTTCTCTATACACCCTCCATGAAACCTATGCTTGCACGGCATCTCCTTCACCGTTTCTCTCGCCTCCCATTCCTCTAAACAGATCACACACTCTCCTTTACATCCGTCCATCTCAACGGTCGGCATCGCATCGATGGAAGCCTTTGACGCCGGAGGATGACCTTCCTCACGAGATTCAAGCAAGTCACGAAGCAGAGGATTCAATCCCGATGACTCATGAAGCACGATCATGCCCTGTGTAAAAGGGTTGACGAGAATGATCCTCTCACGCGACGAAGCAACCTCGTCGTCTCCGTCTGATGATGATTCTTGATCGGAGAAGCCTAAGAGGAAAGGCAAGAACAAGTATAAATCTCTGTTTCTCATAAATCTTCCGGAAACGGAAGAAGTCTCTGTTCCAACTCCAGCTTCTTGCTCTGTCTCCATCGCAAACAAAATCGATTCTCTATCGAGTAAAAATGGCGTTTCGTGATTTGAGAGAGAGGTGCAAAGGAAGGCAGACTTTTCGTCTCTCTTCGTTTGTGTTAAGTAAATTATTAGTGGGGCCTAAAATTTATGTTGTAAGACAATGATTGATCTTATCGAGATGTTTATCCATTAGCAGAGACTCAAACATTATGATTTGTCTGAATTCTCCTTGTCCAAGAGGGTATACTGAGAGCAAGCGAAGGGTCTTTTGGGTAATCTCTCGAGATCAACATTCGAGGCTATTGCACATTTATTTATATGCACTGTGGTGTGGATAAGAGGAATAGAAAAAATTCGACTGATTTCGAATCTTTTTTATTTTATTTTTGGTTTTGAATGACTAATTTCGTAACTTTACTGAATTTGACGTGTCATTCTGCCATGGAGGACATGTGTCTGATTTGAAGAGTAAGCAGTTACAGTTGAGTCATGTCTCATGTGAAAGTTTATTCCCCCCAATCGAATTAAAACTATTGTTTGTAATTTTACAGAATTCTATTGAAACAAGTACTAATATATATACCTAAACTAAACTACACATCTAATCTACTGATACTAACAAACCAAAACAGATGATGTTTTACAACAAAGAATTAACAGATATAAAAACCACATTCTCTTTCTGTACATGTGGACGCAAACGTGAACTTAAAACGCAAGGTGAGTAAAAAGTGCGTTTGCGTTTTGAGTGTCACCAACCGCGGCAGCAAATAGAGCGTTTGGTTTCTTGGTATTTACGCCAGAGGCAAGTCATTTCAGCAGGACTTTGGTAATGAGCAACCACATAACCATCCTTGCATCCATCACTAATAATCCTTCCATCGTTTTCATAGTGAGGCTCTAGTCCATGTTTCTTCAGATCAGAGATCCATATCCCCATCGCCACGTCTTCTAGCTTAAACATCTATTTTACCAATTTCAAAAAATTTCACAATTCATTCTATTTGAATCCTGAAAATTGAGATTAAATGGACTTAACACAAGATTAGTTGGTACCTTCAGGTTGCCTTCTTTGAAAAGCTTACCAACCGATTCTGCAATGTCCCGAGACACAATGTAGCCTGGACCATGCGCCCATGGAGGATATTTCTCCTCTGGCCATTCCTGTTCTTGAGTAGAGAAACTATATTAAATGAGTCTGCTGCAATCATGGATTTGCTTACATGGCCATGTAAGTGTTGTGTTGTGTACCTCATAACTGATGTACCATTTGCTCTCAGGGTTTCGAATTGGTTGAGAGTCGGAATTGATCAGTCCATATATCAGCCCGCGAGTGTTGTTGATCATTGATAAAGAAAGTAGTACTTCATCAACACGAACAAATGCATCATCGTCCGTTTTCATGATAAACTTGGCTGAATCAACCTCTGTCTGTTTCAGGAGATGCCGTTAGTGTAAAGACTACGCAATCGTGAACAGGAAGAGACATGACAAAGACCAATGATTACCCCGAAGATGCAGATTGCTAGCGTTTTCCAACTGATGAGACTGTAGTAATCAACAAAGGGCATTAGCTGAACATCGCCGTAAGTCCGAGCCTCGTTCCAGAGTTCCTGGTTAACTATAGGACTTTTGTGCTGCATTTATCACCCCGCAGAGAAAAATCATGATCAAGAATCACGACATCCCAACATAATAAACTTGATGGTTTCTAAAAGAAGGAGAAAGCTTACAAGGCCAACAAAAAAGCGTACTGCGACTCTTCCAGATCGTACATCATCATATTGCATCCATGTTCTTCTCACAGCCATCCGTCTTTTAAAGTTGTTTGCTGTGGAGAAAACGCCTATAACAAGATCTAGCGGCCTTAGTGGTGAAAGTGGAGGTGCCTTCAGTGCCTCAAGATCAACAACGTGATCTGATTCTTCTGATGTGGGTAAGCCGCTGGCGAGAATGGATAATAACTTCAGATCACCGGAGATCCGTACTTCACTAACAAGCCATGGCTCCAGTGTCTAAACGAAAAGATGAAGAGCCCACATAAGAATCTAAACATTTGATGTAAAGTAGTAGTAACATATAGAAGAAAGAGTGATGGAGTTACATCTCGGAAAGCAAATGAGGTAATATGTTTCCCATCAACTGTCATCTGCATCCCTTCTGTTCCCACCCTAAGTGTAGCAACCGATAAGAAACCTTGCTTAAAAGGAAAGTATCTTTCATGCTTAGATGCTTCACTGGCTACTGGAATCATCCCTTTTGAAGTGTTGGACTGCAAGCTAGTGGAAGAAGTTCGATTGATTTCTCTACCCACCACCTTGTCGCACTGATCCAAGTCATCGACTTTCTTATTCAAATCAGGGTCAAGGTTCGGACAACGCTCCTCAACGCCCCAATCACGAGACGCCGTCCAGCTGTTTTGGACAATGACAGGATCCTCAGTCGACTTGTCGCCAAGGAGCCTGACATTGTAATGTACGATGATGGGCGGCTCAGGCTCCCCTGGAAGCGGTTGTCCCGTAAGATCAATCCTGAAGCTACCAACAAGACCATCAGGGATGCCAATAACTGTGACAGAGGAACCTTGAGTCAGCCCGCAAGGGATTTTCAGCTTCAGGCTACTTCCATCATCTTCAGTAGCATTCATCTTGCTAAGAAACTGAGGACAGAGCACCTCTTTGCCTTCCCTCGTTCGGTTTTCGTTCGCATCGGCTAGCTTCTTGGCTTCAACAGCTGACACAAGGCTCTCCCAAACAATGCCAGCTTCCTTAATGGCATCCACTCCATTCGCTAAGCTCTGCGCGTTATCAACAAGGCTTTCAAGACGGTTCCATGTAAGCAAAGGCTCTCTCTCTTCCTTGGAGACGTTCTGCACAGCAAATAGACCCGAGACGATAGCGATGTCATCGCCGGATATCGCTTCTTGAGTGTTCCTGGCTTCGTTCATGAAGTCAGGGAGTGTAATCCGAAGCCATTCCAGAGGGAGAGTGGTGTTGGGAGTGACGACTGAAGCAGCGATGTAAGGCTTTTCCACGGGAGGTTTCAAGTCGACGTATCTGTACACCGTCAAGAACATACACATTGATGCAACAAGAAGGCCTCCGTAAAATCTCTTCATGTTTCAAGCCAAGTGATCAAGCAGCTGTAGAAACTCCAAGATTGTGCTGCAGCGACGACTCCGGCGGCAAGATCATTAGGAAACAAAGAGAGTGACACAGTAGAATATTGCTATCTTTGAAATTCAATCAGTGTGGATATGATCCGGAGCCCTGAAAAAAAACCCAATAAATATAGTTTTTGAACATGTGCAAGAAATAGAAATCCGCAGGAATCAACATCAAATTAAATTTTAATGTCAAAATCACTCAACAGATCCAGGATAATGTGGTTTTCCACGACATTTATATATTCTACGATTCTCTACCACCGTTCTACTGAATATTCTCCAAGGGTCAACCTTAAACTATCAAAAGCCGAGAAAAATGGAGAAAACACGGGAAAAAAACAAATATCAGATTTCGCAGTCGGCATCTTTTGATTTCTGGGGAAATTGAAATTCAACAAAAATCCAAGTGAGTCGACGCATTTAGAATCAGGAGAGACCATGCCCAGAAGCTGCTCACTTCATAGAAGAAGATGCTATTCTCAACTACCAAAACCAGGTCAAAGTGTATGATAGAAACTTACTGAATCAACTCGAGAATGTGGTAAAGGAAGCAATGTCCGATACAGAATCGGAATCCGGTACACCGAAAAGTAGCGAGAGAGTGACGGAAAAGTATTCCGACTAAAATAGGGCTCAGATCTCTGGTGGCTATTTCTAGTTCACTCTGTCGTATTATCGAAGCACCATCCACCAGCAGAGAAAGCGATTGTGTGTCTCTTCAAGCCCTCCTTTGCTTCTTTATATTATTTTAATATTGTTTTTTCTTAACGCTGTAAAACAGAAACGGTAAGAATGGTGAAAAGTGAAAAAAACTGCAAGAAGACACAAAAGTAAAATGAAGTTACTGGGATTAGGAGTGGGCACAAAAACCATAACCGAAAAAACCAAACCATACCGAACCGAAAAAAATGATATGGTTTGGTTATGGTTAAACCTAAAAATCCATTTGGCCATCATTTTTTTATAGCTTTGGTTTAGGTTTGGTTTGGTTAAAAACCGTCAAACCAAAAGGTTTTTTCGGTTTTTAAAATATAATATTTATAAAAGAACTCTACAAAGTAAACCTTAATTTTTCAATAAAAAATAACGTGATTAACTATTTTTTCTTCACATTCAAGTTTTCTAGTTCTAGTTTCAAGGTTATAGCCTTATAGGTATTAAATTTTAATATAAATTTGTTTATTATTTTATAATTATTAATTATGAAAAATTTAATAATTTATTTGTTTTTCTGTTTTGAAATATGTCGTTATTGATGATTTTTTTATGATTTAGATTCTATTTTTTGAATTTATTATTTTATTTCACTCATATCTATTATTATTATTTCTATTAGTTTGAATCAAAAAATTTTGTAAAAATTTAATTCTAAAAAACCGAAACCAAACCATAATAAACCGAACCGTAAAAAACCAAACCATACCGAACCGAAATATATATGGCTTTTATATGGTTTGAATTTTCGTAAAACCGATAAACCGTAAAACCGAAAAAACCGAACCGAAACCAAACCAAAAACCGAAATGCCCACCCCTAACTGGGATAGTGGGTCCAGTTTACGTAGCGATAAGAATTCACTTGTTACAAATTTATTTGTATTCAAAGCAATTTAAATATACTACCTAATTTGAAAATCATATAGATATCATAAAATCATACTAAACATTTTTTTGGTTGATACTAATGTGAATAATAATTACTAAACACGTAGCATTGAGTCATTTGAATAATCAAATTTTCAGTATTGCGCCTAATGTGTTGATCATCATCCTCTAGTTGTTTTTTTTTTAATAAAGTAAAACTAAATTACATTTGATTACAAAAAGGAAAGAAGAAACTACAACAATAGAATTTTGATCACACAGAAAACAAAAAAAAAATTGTTATGCGAAACTTTAAAGGGTAAGCAAGTTCAATCTCCAAGTCGTGATAGCGTGAGATGTGAGGATGTTTTCATTTGTAAGTTGTAACGCACCACCATACATCTACACCAAGTCATATCACCTCAAAATATTTGGTTGCCATTTTTGCATTTTAAGTGCTTTATGGTTGGAGGAAAAGAAAAAAAAAAAATCAGACTGTAGTTCTCACGTTGGTCTTTTCGTTTAATTCACATAATGTGACTCAAGCAACACTCATGATTACTTTGTAAGCATCCGTTTAGTGTTTTCTAGATTTCCATCTCTCAATTTATAAGCTTCCAACGATGTATTATGAGCTCATATGCAGCTTCGTACGCCATGGTACATATGTAACTTGTGAATTACGAAAAGTTAGCAATGATTCCATCATAACCCACATAACCAATGGCAATGCAACTTGGTTATGGTTTATGTTAGTGATTACGTTGTAACGTTATGGTATTCATTGTCGAAACTAATTAAGAGATATGATTCTATTTTTACTTCTATTTGGCGCTGAAAGTAGCTGCCAACAACACCACTTCCAACTAGCTAATGATTAGTTTTTTGGCATTTTACCAAAAAAAAAAATGATTAGTTTTGGCTTAAAATACCTAAATTGTTATGTTAAGTGACATAAGTTTAACTAATTCTAAATTGTATCAAGGGAATCCCAGATCAAAGTTTTCACCGGTGACATAAGTTTAACTTGAAATATGCTCTAAATGGTACCATAGCATACTTTAGAAATTTTTTTTTGTAGAAACCAATTATAACCTTTGTGATATTTTTACCAAGCAAAACAAGGGTGTCATCGTATCATATTTTTTTTATTGCAATTAAAAGTTGCAAGAAATGGAAATAAAAACCAGTAAGTATAATGTCTTTTAGTAAATAAATGATAAATAAAGCAGTAAAATCAGCTGTAAAATTTAGAATTTGGGAAATTGAACTCGAGAGTCGCATCGACCATGTGGCATAACAGGACAGTTGATGAAGTTGGAGGCCGAAGTGTCAACGCATAGATAAATCTGATAGAGTTGGCTATTATGCGACGAATCCTTGTTACATTCTATTCCCGGAGCAAATCCAATTGCTTCTTTGATCGTTTTCTCAATATCTTTTATCTCATAAAATTTATCATCCGGTTTGATCCCTTCAATAAATAATAAGGAATCAAAGAACACATAGTTAACAATCTTGGGAGAAAAAAAACAAATTGAGATAAATTTGAAACGGCAAAAAGAAGGTGAATGTTGTTGTACCAGCATTGGTGAGGACATGAATGAGATTAGCTTTCTGTTTGAGCTTGAGACCGGCTTCGAAGTAATCGTGTTGGTCGAGCTCGGACTCGGCGCACGTGCCGTGTTTCTCCCATTCGTGTGTCCAAAACGTCACACCATCGTTGCTCGGACATGACAATGTTGGCCATTCTCTTTGTAAATTGCTCATCAGATCAGACACCTTTCATTTTTTTATGTTACAATGTTTCCATTAGTAAATTGTTTCACAGCATTTAATAATCTATACGAGTTTCTTTTGCGAAATCTAACAAACTTATAACGCTCACAAAATATATTAATTTTCTAATTTATTATTTGAATACTTTTTTTTTTAACATAACATGTTTAAAAGCTGAAAACCAACCCGTGATTCATCAAATCCGCTATCAGGATTACAGTTCTGAGGCCATCCACCAGTTTTGTAGTTAGGCCACAGACCGTGAATTCCGAAATCTGCAGGTGGTTTTCCGGTTTTTGGATAGCAACAACTATGTCTTGAATCACAATACGCTCCAGGCCACTGTATTTGCAATATACATAAACATTTTGTTTTTACAACTATATTGATGATCATTCTCGTAGAGACGTATGCATTATTAGATTTTAGATCAACTTTACCTGTTGAACAAAGTAGAAGAAATCGAAATCTTGGGCGACACTTTGCACGTACAGTTGTTGTAACGCAAGAATACAAATGAAGAATTTCATTCTCTATGAGAAATTAAATAATGTAATAGTTTGTGGGAAAGAAAATTAGTCCAGAAAAACCAATGAAGGATTGGATGAGAGAAGAAAAGGGTTTAAGTTTTGTTTATATAAAGCCAAATAACGTAACGTGTGATATTTGTTTTGGGTACAAAGGACTTCGCGTGTGATTAGTATATGTAAATGCTTGAGCGTATTAGGTTAGTATTTCGTGCAAGCGTTTTATTTCCAGCTCCAATGCTTTTGAAAGTAGTAACGTATGTAAGGCGAACTTTCTGATTTAAAACATTTAAACCAAAAAAAAAAAATGTATATATGTACATATATTACCATTTACAAACCTAGTTGGCTAGTTTGCATAACAAGGTATCTGGAAATATCATGCTTAAGTTCTTGAAAGGAGCTTTGTGGCTGGTGGTGATGTTGTTGCTTGCTTTGATCTCAGCTCTTACTTCTCATGTTTTTTTTTTCCTTGTTGTTCTACTACTACTTATAAATCCAATACCATATCGCTAACTAGACACCAGAGCAATGCAAAATTTGGTTAGAGAATTAGAGGATTTTGAAACAAAAGAGAACAATTGAAAATATGACATCTTATATTCTTCTTCTCTTCTCTTTTTTTTTTGGAAAATAAAATGTTAATGGTTTTATTTATTTGTTAGAAACCGAATAATATAATAGGATTTTATGGAACTCCTTGGTTTCTTATTTCCTTTTCTTGATACCAAGTGGGATTTTATTTTTACAAAATTCAATTCAGGAAAAGGAACTGGAATAAGAGGAGTCGAAAATTGGAGACAAGATTGAAAAGAGAGAGTAATATTTCAGGGTTGCAATCGGGCATGGAAGGTGGCAGACGTGATCATAGTCGGTGTCTGGTTGGGAAATTCGGGACGAAGAAGCTGAGTCTAGCAGTGACCATAGACGAGGAGCTAAAAGAAGCTCTGAAGAGAAAGTGGAGCTTTTGTGTGAGAGGCTTCGATGTGTTCCCGTTGGACAAGGGTTTGATTTTGGTTGAGTTCTTGCTGGAAGGAGACATGAGGCAGGTTGCAAACAGAGGAATCTGGATGGCCAAAGGCACTGCTTTGTTGGTCAAGGAATGGCCGTCGGTAGGGTCGGTGGATGAGATGGACTTCTCCACGTTTACCTTGTGGGTTAGGGTAAAAGGCTTGCCCTTATCCCGATACACACAAGAAGAAGCTCGACGCATTGGGAGAAGGCTAAGTAGTAAGCCGCTCAAGGAAATAGCGATCGATTCCTCGAAAAGACAGTTCCTTGTCCGTGCCGAGATTGATATTAAAAGGCCCTTAAATCCTGGCTATGAATATCCAGTTTAAATATAGATATGCTGGGATGTTTTGCAGATATTGTGGTATGATTGACCATACGGTATGTTGGAAACCTCTCAAAGAAAGTCCTCTAACTCGTAACATCAACAGGCCCATGTATGGTAGATGGATGTATGATTTAGTGACCAACCTGGGTGAAACGAAATTAGAAATCGAGTTCCCAGAGAAACTGGTGCAAGATTGGACGGAGCTGGAGGAGACCGTCCCTTACCCACAGTTCTTCATCAACCTTGAAGTTTCTTATGTTCGCACAAGTGATCATGAGTGGCGCGGAAAGAAACTGTTTCGCTGTAACGTAGACGACGTTGTTGAACACGGTTTCCGGTTTCCGGTTTCCAACATCCTTTCTCACAGCCGCACTAGAATCCAGCGATGATCCTTGCAAGGTTTTGGCGCGTGAGATGGACGAGAACGTCCCGCTGGTTGGGTTAACAATTGAGGACAAGGTGGAGATTGCTAGCAAGTTTGTAGATTACACAACGAAAAGCAAGGAGATTTGGTCAAGGCGTAGATGGGTTCAAGTTAAAGTTTGCGTGATCAAAACAACCGAGATGACATGCGTTGATTTCTAGACGATGCTTCAAGAAATCAGAGACAAGGAATATCATCGTGAGCTTGACCAGGGGATAAGAGAGATGATCGAGAGACGTGTTGAAAACAATGAGGACATAGTGTCTGTGTTGCTGGGGTTGTGGAGGAGTTGCATTGAAGCTGCGGTGGGGGAACGCCAGATAAAGCCTTTCAATATGGAAATGAGTTGCATAGCGGCTAGGAAAGAGGCGATTCAGTATGGCGTCTCCTTATGTAGCGGCTTGGAACCAGCTTTGGCGACGGAGGTTGATCTGGTGTTCTAGAGTCTTCTTATTTTGCTGTGAACTCTTTTTTCTTTTTTCTTTGGTGAATATTTCCATATTCGCGATATGGAAATATCCTTTATTCTCTGAAGAATATAAAAAATTTCCTTTATCTTCGAAGGAATATTCAAGAGGAGTTTTCTTCTTGAGCTACATCGGCACGATCTCCTAAAACTAGATGGACTTAAGTTATTAGATTATTATTAGAGAAAACCATATAGAAAATATGTTCATTTTTCCTCTAACAATATTTTTGTCCTTTCAGTTCTTGTGAATCATTATGGATCCGTAGGACCGCAACAACGTTCTTCAATTTCTGGATTTAGACTTGTAGAGATGTGGAAATATGCTTGAGCCGTGTGCAAGATGCGAAGAGGAATGTTCCTTGGGGGAGAAGGAACCCGAGTCCCTGGAGTTGCTCTCATGTCATCCACGCTACAGGCATCGAATCTTGGCTTGGAAGAAAAGTCTAATTAAGACATACCACCTCCTCAAACAGCGTTATCTTTAATTTTTCTGCCATGCATGTATGTTCTTGATTCATTATTATTTTCTCTGCCATGCATTATTATTATTATGCAACTAAATATATTTCAGGAATAATACACCTTGTGCGACTCGGCTAGTCTTATTCCAACAGCACACTTTATCAAATGGTTTATTTTTCGTGGGCTCTTCTTTTATTTCGCTTCTCTAATTAATTGTGATGCAAGGAAATAGAAAAGCCACACAAATAGAAAAGTCTAAGTTTGACTGAATCCAGTGCGAGCAGGCCAAAAAAATAAAAAAAAACTTTTATGTTTCAAATATTAATATCAAATATATTCGTACTATCGCATGAGGGAATTAGATTCCAAAGTATTTGAAAGCTGAAAATGATTCTTAACGTAGATAAAAGCATAAGACAGCAGATGATGATTAGAACGTGAATGCATCGTTCTTCCTCCTCCACCCGGCGTTGTCTTGACAGCGTCCAGCAACATCGCCTTTGTCACCGGCTCTACTGCCGCCTCCACCACGGCCTTCTATGGGACAAAAATATCAGTGACGCTATGAAATATAGATCAGAGATTAAATGATAATGGTGGAAAAAGCAAAAATGTATTTTATAGCGTCACTGATATTTTTGATCTACATTTATGTTCGTCCAGTCAGAACACTCAAGCAGAACACTCAAGCAAGTAAGTGAAAATCATGGTGAGAACCTTCGTACATGGGGATCTGCCATTGGAGTGTCGCGAGAGCTCTGGTTTCTGATGAGATTTGAATTTCCTGAAGAAGATGAGTATTTCGAAATTATGTTTCCAAAAAATAATCTCATGAGCTATAAGGTGCTTTAAAATGGGACTATTATTCATACACATTCATAGAGAAAAAAACTATTCCAAAACATCAAAATACATGTTATCATATATGCAGAAGTTCTACAAAAAAGAAGATTATAGTAAAAGATAAAATCACATATGAGTTGCGCTATAACATGATGCACGTTCACTCCATCAAGGTCTACATCACTCCTGGTTGAGTCTATCACCCTTGATGTAGATGTTTTCTAAATTAGTTTGTGTTCATTTAGACTAATTACTGTTTGTCCTCCATAATTTATACGCTTTTAGGGTTGAAGTTAGGTATTAGGGTTTCAGATTGTCCTCACAACTTCTACTAAAATCTCAACTTACAATGCTTTCCTAATCTATGCAACTAAGATGGCTTAAATTTTGTTTTGGAAGACTTTGGCGAATTATTTTATTTAGAATCTTGATGAGAGTTAGAGACCGCATTAAGAACTCAACTCAATGCATATAGGTTTGTTAGAATCTACAAAATGTTTATTGAAACTTTAAATATATAATTTTAAAATTTGATAGTTAATTAATTTTTTTGGCATTTAACCAATAAAATTATTTTTTTTTGCTTTAATCGATAAGATTAATTTTGTTTTTTTTCATGATAACAATATTTTCGTGTTGTATCAATTTTGGATAATTAATAATATTATTAAAAATTTATAAAAAGCAATAATAATTTTATTATTTTTAACATCTAACATAATCATAATACCAATTTAAAAATAATACAAATATTTAATATCAATTATAATAACTGTAAAAAAAGGTAATATCATTTATATTAATTGATATAAATATTAACATTATTTTTTATAACCAATACAAATATTCAAATATTTATATCATTTATTTAAATTGATGTATAGTATTTGCATTACCACATTCAGAAATTTATAGAAATGATGTAGTTGCATCATATCTATACTAAATAAAATGAACTATTTGGGGCTCCTTAAGCTATCCACCTCAGCTTTTCAAACTACTATAAAAATATGACATATCAGCAAAAAATAATAATACAAATGCCCACTTTAGATTTTTTTGAAATACACATAAAGTAAATAAATAGAACCAAAATTAATATAGTTAAATACAAGATTAAATAAAAATAAATTATTATTTTTTGAATCAGTAAAATAAATATTATTTAAATCTATAGCATCAATATATACTCTTTTATTTGTAATATAACAAATTAACAATAATGAAAATTCTCACTTTAGATTTTTTGAAATACACATAAAATAAATAAATAGAACCATTAAATTAATATAGTTATTAGCAAAAACTAAATAAAACTATATATCATTTTAATCAGTAAAATAAATATCCTTTAAATCTGTAGCATTAATATATACTCATTTTTGTCACTAAAATTAATATAGTTACCAACAAAAATAAATAAAATTAAAATATCATTTTTTGAATCAGTAAAATAAACATCATTTAAATTTATAGCATCAATATATACTTCTTTTGTTTGTAATATAACAATAATAAAAAATTTCACTTTATATCTTTTGAAATACACATAAAATAAATAAATAGAACCACTAAGTTAATATAATTATTAGGAATAAGTAAATAAAACTAAATATCATTTTCTAAATCAGTAAAATAAATATCATTTAAATCTGTAGCATTAATATATACTCCTTTTTGTAATATAGTGAATATATTGGACAACAAATTGCTCTAAAAAACTTAAATAATAGTTAATAGAACCAAGATTACAAAATAATAATTTCTAAAATAAAATTTAAAACATTTACAAATTATAAAAATCTAAAACATTCACCTTTTAGAAACATACAGATTAAACATCATAATACGTTAGATTATGGCAACCAACAAGACAACATAAATTATAGGAAGCTTTTCAAAGCATCTATGTATATGAAGATTTCGATCATTGTTACTATTTACATTGTAGAAAATGATAGACAAAAGAAGAATTTTATGCACTGATATTTATTCAATGTGTGTCTTAGTTGGCTTAAGGTAGTCAAGTTACTACAAGCGATACATGTCAACACATGAGTTAAACAGTTTATAAACAAAAATTAAGTTTTAGATGACAGTTAATTTTTATATATATCAAGTTAGTAAATTCTTAAATTAAATAATAATGCATTTTTGAAAAAATAACATACACATTTTTATGTAGAAGAAAATGTCTAAAAAAATCTTTAATTATCCACATCAACAAAATTCTTTATAAACCCAACTTGAATGAAAAACTAATATGGTTTTTTTTACTGGGTTAAGAAACTCCTTTAAAAATAATATAATATATATTATTAGTTTAATTATAAAGGCTCATCAAAATATATATGTGTAGTTTAAGAAAAAAATGTTTAAGTTAAATTACAAGCAAACTTTTGTACATCTTTTGAGTTTTGAGAAACTCAACATACTTTATTTAACATAATGAGTTAGTATGAAATTGTATTTGTATATGTATTACTTGCCTTATTCATCTATATTTTTTATAGTTTACGTATACTTCATAGACCAAATCAAAATTGCATTTTATCAATATGATTGTGATTTTTTATACTATGTAAATATTATTTTTATTTATATGAATCATAGTTATTTTATAGATTTATAAGAGATTAGAACATTGAGTGTTGTTTGTATTTGAGATTGCTAATTAAATAAAAACACTACACGAACACAGTTGAAATAAAAATAAAAATCTAAATTAATTGGAATAATAATAATCAAATTTAGTCAAAACAAAAATAATTTTAATAATATTTTGAAAGTTAATAGTGAATAACAGTGAGTTTATATACAAATATAAAGTTTTAGATTAACAGTTAATTTTAGCATATATCAAGTAGATAATTCTTAAAATTATATCATGATACATTTTTTGAATATGTTAAAATATTTTTGATGTATAATCATATCAAAATAATTTTAAAAATTAAATATTATATTTAAAATATTAACTTAAAGTGAAAATAATAAAACTTAAATAATAATCAAATATCTATATAAAAACAGTCTGCGCATAGCGCAGTAACATCCCTAGTTCAAGTTAAATGAGTAATATCTTTTTTCTTTTAATAACTCAAATTTAATATAATAGAATAGAATACATAAGCTGTTATCTTTATTCGTCTTTTAAATTTCTGACAAGAATTTTGTACTTGACATTTAACATTTTTATGCAAACAAAGACAACCGAAAAAAAAAATGAATGATAGAAGTAGAATTGATCCCTGGACCTTGAGAAATAATAACATTAGCTAAACCAACGTGCCAGAAGATGAAACATGTTAAAGGTATCTTTATTTTATATATATCTCATTATATCGAAACCATGACCAGAGACGGAGAGTCCACTTTTATTTCTTCCTCTCCATATCTATCATCTTCAACAGAACCTCCACCTTCAAAATCAATCGCCGATATCTTTTCTACATCTATCTATTTTATCTACACACCGACGCTTCAAAAACTATCCATTTGCTTCTCCTTTAATTTTTCATTATTCTGTAAATTTCCCCCAAATCTCTACGCGGAAGCCAAGAATACATTCCAAACCCTAATCCAACCATCCGTCCTTCCCGATTCTCTCCGGTAAGTCTCCGATTTCCTCGATCCACCTCAATTTCATGGTTCTCATACTGTCTTTTCGGCTTATTTTCAATTCCTGCTCTTGTTTTGGAATCCAGATTGATTTTGCGATCCCTTCCGGTTTTTTGGTTGCTCGGATTTATACACATATCTTCGTCTCCAACCGCCTGGTGTTGAATATGAGTAATCAGAAGAAGAGGAATTTCCAGATAGAGGCGTTCAAGCATCGGGTCGTGGTGGATCCCAAATACGCCGATAAGACTTGGCAGATTCTCGAGCGTGCGATCCATCAGATTTACAATCAAGACGCTAGCGGCCTCAGTTTCGAAGAGCTCTACAGGTCTCTTGTCTCTGTTCTTCATTTGCTCTCTTGAATCATGGCCTTTGTTTATAACAATAATGTTTTCTGGGATCAATACCTTCATAGATATAATCTGCCAATTTCGTTTTTTTTTTTTGAGCTGCTGGTGTGAGAGTCTCTCTTGTTATCTTCACATGACATTTTTCCTGAATTGGAGTTGTTCTGTATCTTTGGCTCAGAAACGCGTACAACATGGTTCTGCACAAGTTCGGGGAGAAGCTCTACACAGGGTTTATCTCCACGATGACTGCTCATCTGAAAGAGAAGTCGAAGCTGATCGAGGCAGCTCAGGGAGGATCTTTCCTAGAAGAGCTCAACAAGAAGTGGAATGAGCACAACAAAGCGTTGGAGATGATACGGGACATCCTCATGTACATGGACAGGACTTACATCGAGACCACCAAAAAGCCCCACGTTCATCCTATGGGGCTTAGTTTGTGGAGGGACAACGTCGTGCATTTCCCCAAGATACACGCGAGGCTCCTAAACACGCTTCTTGATCTTGTCCAGAAGGAACGGACTGGTGAAGTCATAGACAGGGGGCTGATGAGGAACGTGATCAAGATGTTCACGGACTTGGGTGACTCTGTGTATCAGGATGATTTTGAGAAGCCGTTTCTGGAGGCTTCTTCTGAGTTTTACAAGGTTGAGTCTCAGGAGTTTATCGAGTCTTGTGATTGTGGGGATTACCTAAAGAAAGCAGAGAAGCGTCTCACTGAAGAGATAGATAGAGTAGCGCACTACTTGGACGCCAAGAGCGAAGACAAGATCACTAGCGTGGTTGAGAAAGAGATGATTGCCAACCACATGCAGAGGCTGGTTCACATGGAGAATTCAGGTCTGGTTAATATGCTTCTGAACGACAAGTATGAGGATTTGGGTAGAATGTACAACTTGTTCCGCAGGGTTACCAATGGTCTTGTCACTGTCAGAGACGTTATGACTTCGCACCTTAGGGAGATGGGAAAGCAACTTGTTACCGATCCAGAAAAGTCAAAGGACCCTGTGGAATTTGTGCAGCGTCTGTTGGACGAGCGGGATAAATACGACAAGATCATCAGCACAGCGTTTGGCAATGACAAAACGTTTCAGAACGCGCTGAATTCTTCATTCGAGTTTTTCATCAACTTGAATGCTCGTTCTCCTGAGTTCATCTCCTTGTTCGTTGATGACAAGCTACGGAAAGGACTTAAAGGTATCGCCGATGGGGATGTGGAGGTGATCCTTGATAAAGTTATGATGCTGTTCCGCTACTTACAGGAGAAAGATGTGTTTGAGAAGTACTACAAGCAGCATTTGGCTAAAAGGCTTCTCTCTGGCAAAACCGTGTCGGATGACGCAGAGAGAAGTTTGATAGTGAAACTGAAGACAGAGTGTGGCTACCAGTTCACTTCGAAACTGGAAGGCATGTTCACTGACATGAAGACTTCAGAGGACACGATGCGCGGGTTTTATGGCAGTCACCCGGAGCTTTCAGAAGGACCAACACTCATTGTCCAGGTTCTTACAACTGGTTCTTGGCCCACACAGCCTGCAGTGCCGTGTAATCTCCCAGCGGAAGTTTCGGTGCTCTGCGAGAAGTTCCGTTCGTATTACCTCGGGACACATACGGGAAGAAGATTGTCCTGGCAAACTAACATGGGCACGGCTGATATCAAAGCCATATTTGGAAAGGGTCAGAAACATGAACTGAATGTGTCGACTTTCCAGATGTGTGTTCTCATGCTGTTCAACAACTCCGATCGACTCAGCTACAAAGAGATTGAGCAGGCCACTGAAATCCCGGCGTCGGATCTCAAACGTTGTTTGCAGTCGCTCGCGTGTGTAAAAGGGAAGAACGTCGTAAAGAAAGAACCCATGAGCAAAGACATAGGAGAGGAGGATTTGTTTGTTGTCAACGACAAGTTCACGAGCAAGTTTTACAAAGTGAAGATAGGAACAGTGGTGGCGCAGAAGGAGACGGAACCGGAGAAGCAAGAGACGAGGCAGAGAGTTGAGGAAGACAGGAAACCTCAGATCGAAGCAGCCATTGTGAGGATCATGAAGTCCAGAAAAATACTGGACCACAACAATATAATCGCCGAGGTGACCAAACAGTTGCAGCCGCGGTTCCTGGCTAATCCAACGGAGATAAAGAAGAGAATCGAGTCGCTCATTGAACGCGATTTCTTGGAAAGGGATAATACGGACCGGAAACTTTACCGCTATTTAGCCTAATAAGTTCAACAACAACAACAAAAATTGGCTTTTCTCTCTGTTTCTATGCTTTGTTTTCTTCTTTTGGTGTAAAAGTTTCTGTAATCGGTCAAGACGAACAAACAGTGTGTTGGTGCTGTTGGTCGAATATACAATTTGTTTCCTTATCTTTTGTCGTTTCATTTGCAACAAGTTATTCGCACTATTCAGCTTGTAGACATGTTTTCAACGTAGGATGCCATATGGGCCGTATTAAGGCCTTCTTTCGAGGCCCATTTACGAAAAGCTAGAGGGAAAACAAATCAAGCGGCCGCGAAAATTTCAATTAGTCAACAAAAATCCCGCCAAACACCGTTTTTTTGGCCAAACGTTGGCAACTGTACGCATTTTTTTTAACACCGTTCTCGTAGCCACTTACATTGACATATCTTGAAAATCCATCGCTTGACCTTGATTATTTCGTATCAACAGTCGCCGCCGGGAATAAGGATATGGATATCTCCGACATAGCCAAGAAGCTTGACCTCGCTAACAGCAAACTTCTGGTCAGAAAAGCTGCCGAGATTCGCCGTCTTTGTGATGCTCAGTTCGATTCATCCATCATCGGCGTTGTAAGACATTCGAATCTGAATCCATTTAAACGGTATTTGATTGTGATTTCCCTCTGTCGTATCAATCTAAAGTCGAGTTTTCTTTGTCTTTCCAATTGTATTGATCGCAGGGTGAGATCTGTAAAGCTGTGATATGTCTGGAAATCGCAGCCTCTAGGTCAATTTGCAATCGATCATGTTTGATTCTATCTCCATTGTCTGTGATCTAAGTAGCAAGCACTTACTCGCTTTCGGATCTATTGCAGGATGCAGGTTATATTCGACAGACAGGCAGCGATTAAGTTGAGTGGTATGTCGGAAAAGGCTTACACCAGATCATTCAATAGCCTCCAAAACGTTATTGGGATCAAGTGAGTTTTCCTTTTTCGTCCACTTGAGTTGAATTCATGAATATGCTGGCTGAGTTATCTTGATTGATGTGTTGTTATTGTCCTAAATTGTGAAATTTCAGGATTAAGCTCAATGTAAAAGAATTAGCGGTTCAGTTTGGATGCGTTAGGATAATCAAATCCGTGCAAAACGTTCTATCTTCGTAAGCTCTCAATTTTTTCCCTTTATGACATGGTTTTATCTTCATAAGATTTTGCATGCTATGTGTTTGATAAAATGCCAAATAGGGAATCTTGGTCATGTTTGCATTCTTAACATTTAGTCTTTAGTGTTGTAATCAATTCTTTTAATCGCTTTTGTTGGTCTTTAGGTATAAGGAGAGGTTTCTTGCGTCACTACCAGCATCAAGAAGGGCAAATGCTGACTTCACTAGACCTGTTTTTACAGCAGCAGCTTTCTATTTGTGCGCCAAGAAGCAAAAGGTTAACTACATTTAATACCTGGATTTCATTCCTTTTTGATGGATGTTCTTATGTAACTTATGTTCATAGTACATTTGCCTTGCGTAACGTATCTGAATACTAAGCTTTGTTATCTCTTTTGCAGCTCAAGGTAGATAAGCTTAGGTTGATTGAAGTTTGTGGAACATCAGAATCTGAATTCTCTTGTGTGAGCGACATTGTTTTTTTTATTCAGACACACTTAATATCTCTCAAAAACACTTGATTCGATTGCTCATGTACTGATTTGGAGATTACTGAAACAGGTGTCGACATCAATGACAGACCTTTGCTTCGACTTTGTTGGGGTCTCAAAGGAAAAGAAAGATGCAAAGGGCGTGAAAGGAAACCGTGGTATGGACCATTCCGTATGGTTCATCAATCAATTTGTTTGTTCCTCTTGTCTTATATATCAAGCGAACAAAATAAGTGATTAGGTTTTAAAAAAATTTCTCAGACTTGCTTGATGTGTTACCTGAAAAGAGGAGACTAGAGGATGGTGGATATTCATCTGATGATGAGGTACATTTATGGCGTCCAACTTCTTTCCTGTAATCTATTCTAGAATCAGTCTGCATATGATTGATGATGTACATTTAACTTGTAACCATTGCTGATTCACTCTACATTTAAACGTGGTGCCTCTGCAGTCTTCGTGTTACAAAAGACACAAGAAGATGGAGGAGACTAAGTATGAGGACTGGAAATCTACAGTCGTTAATTCCATCAAGCAGAATCCAGAGAAAGGTAACCTTTTGCAAAAATTAACTCTCATCACCAACCAACAAATTGAATCATTGTGTGGTTTCTTTGTTCATGATGTTTCTGGGGCTTGTGTGATTTTCAGGAACGAAGAAAGCTATACAGACCAGTCTCAATTTCTCAAAGAAGACTGAGACCAAAGAGTTGAAAGTTGATTCATAGCCTTTCACAGACAGACCCATACCCAGTTCTCTGGTTGTTCACTTTTCAATAGATGAAAAACTGCGGAAATAACAACTCTTGAAATTTCTGTTCAAATAATAATAATAGCAATCTCTACTCGGTTGTTTCCTAAACCAACTGGAAAGAATCGGTTATGTTCGGTTGACTAGGTTTTAGATATTGTCACAATCCACCAAAAGAGTTTATATGAAGTTCTAAACCTTTAGTACGGCGTCGTTTTATGGTCGCCACGTTGAAAATAAGTAAACAACAAAACGCGGGAAGAAGAACACGATAAAGGCGCATCTTTTGCTCCCCGATCGAACGGGCTGGAAGGTTCCATGTAATGTTTGACCGCTTCATCTTTTGCCACGTACACAAACTCAAATGTAATATTAGCTACGCTATTTAAAATTTATTTATGTTATTCTTTTTAGTCAACAGCACCATGTTTCTGTCTCTTTCTCCCTCTGATGAATTATCCATATGACTGATTTGGTAAAACCAAAAATTGTAAACCCTAAAAAAACCTCTCACTAAAAATAAAATTTCCCTCTTTTATCCTTAATCATTTCTCCAATTTGACGAAACTCCAACGATCTGGCAAAAAAAATTCCCGCGTCAAATTCCCATTTCACTGATTCCCAGAAGCTGTGTCGGTTGATGTGACCCGAAGCTGAAAACAGGAAGATGGGTTTTGTTCTGTCGGACGAATTGATGGGAGCTTTCGCACCGATTCTGGTGTATTGGGTTTATTCTGGGATCTATGTGGCGCTCTCGTCGCTGGAGAGCTACAGATTACACTCGAAGGTGGAGGAAGACGAGAAGAATCTTGTGTCCAAGTCCAGCGTCGTTAAAGGAGTTCTTCTCCAGCAGCTTATTCAAGCCGTCGTCGCGATCCTTCTCTTCACGGTAAAAGTTGCCATTACTCGATTTGCTTACGATCCAGCCAAAAGTTAATTTGTGTTCTTGTGCCATAGCTTGATGATGATGAGGTGGTTTTGTTCATGGAAAGGTCCCAACTTTTGGGTTATCTCTGTATAGTAATGTGATGCCTACTTTTTTAATTTGACGTAAAATGCTCATAAGCTGAAAGAATCATGAAATTGGCTCTTTTATTCTTTTTGTGAGCTCAATAATCCAAAAACTCTAATCTCTGAATCTTTCATGAGCTCTGAATTAGACTGAATGGTTTTGGGGTTTGATCGGAATGATACTTTGTCTCTTACCACGGAATCGGTAGAGCAACCTCCTTTTCTGGCATTGGCTGTTCTATGATTTGATGTCCCGATGTCTTGTACGAAACCAGCGTAATGGGATTCTTGTTTATCTTTGATTGCTGTTTAGTGTCAGAAGAAAAGTTCACAATTTCTTGTTAGCTCTGAAATTGTCTCTCATGGATCAAAACTTTTCTACGTGGTGTTGTCTTTCATGAATCAAACCTCTTAACTCTGTATACACTCTGTTGAATCCTGCAGCAATTTTTCTTATTACAGTTTCTTGCTTTACCTTCTTTTGGTTTTTTTTTTGCATTATTTGAACATGCCATATGTTTTGTCTGCAGGTGACAGGAAGTGATGCCGAATCCAGCAAGACACAAAAGAGTTCTCTTCTGGTTCTAGCTAGCCAGTGTGTAACAGCCATGATAGTCCTCGACACATGGCAATACTTCATGCATCGCTATATGCATCACAATAAGTTCCTATACAAACACATCCACTCTCAGCACCACAGGCTTGTTGTTCCATATGCCTACGGAGCTCTATACAACCATCCCGTGGAAGGACTTATCCTCGACACGATCGGTGGTGCCTTGTCTTTCCTCGTCTCGGGTATGTCTCCAAGAACTTCAATCTTCTTCTTCTCCTTCGCAACCATCAAGACCGTCGATGACCATTGCGGACTCTGCCTCCCCGGAAATCTCTTCCACGTCTTGTTCAACAACAACACTGCGTATCATGATGTGCATCACCAGCTCTATGGTAACAAGTTCAACTTCTCTCAGCCTTTCTTTGTCGTGTGGGATCGTCTTCTCGGTACTTACATGCCTTACTCGCTTGAGAAACGGAAAGATGGCGGATTTGAAGCTCGTCCAACTAAACAAGTTAAAGACTGATTTGAGTTGAGAGCCTGAGAGGTCTTTAGAACTGGATTAGCTTTGTGTTTGAGATATGTAATATAGGGAATACGTTATACTATGTACTTTGAAGCTTTATACACAGAGATTATCTAAATTTGAGTTGACTATTGGATATGGGGAAAACTATAAAGTTGAGAATTCAATGATACACACCTCAAAAGTTCCACGTGTTTGGATTGGGAGAAACAAATATATAAACTATTACGTTAATAAATAGAGATGCTTAGAAAAAAGTGTTTAAAGGACGAGAGATTGTAGCTCCCTCACATTCCCTAAGGACGAAAGAAAGCTTTCTATCATTTGGATCAAAATGTCAGGTCACACCGGGAAACAAAGAAGCTTCAGTGAGCGGAGGTGGAGTTTGTAACCCAGTACTGCTTCACGGCAATCAAAACCTTCTCAGGAACCAAAGGACCATCCTCGTGATCAACGAGCTTCGAATCCCATCTCATTCCGGAGATGATTCTCTTCACCTTGATCAATGTGTCAACATCGTCCCGGATTAAAACAGCTCCTTCTGGACGGAGAATTCGATCCATCTCCAGAAGAATGTCCTCCGCATTGCACCTAAAAGAGTTTTGGTTTCGTACACATTAGCAAATCTCAAAAAACCAACCAGCAGGATTAGTGTTTTAAAACAGAACAGAGATGCATACTTGTTCTTGTACAGACTGAAGAGCTGGTTCGCGTGGATTAAGTCATACGTTCTTGGGTATGTAGAGAAAGCCTCACACCTGAAAAAAACCATATTTACTTTAGAACAGAGTCTCTTCAAACCAGAAACAGAGCTTTTGACAAGTGTTATGAGAAGATGGGGAGCTATCAGTGACTTACCAGTCGTGGTAGATTCCAATGAGTCCTCTTTCATATACAACACCAAGTCTGTTCTTTTCGGCGATCGTGGGAACAACATTCATAACCCAAAGCTTTGTGGATTCGAGTGCAGCAGCAAACCCACCAAACCCTGCGTTCATGTCCATGATGTTACGGTACCTCCCCGTGTCAAGCAAGCTGTTGATTCTCTTGTAGGCTTTCACATGTTTCTTCCACTGCCTGTTATCGTCTTCATAGGCATCGACGGTGACACCAGAGATCGAACCGCTAGAGATCCTAGGCGGCACTGCGTTGAGCCTATCAGGGAAAACCTGAAGTTCCCCTCCAGCTACTTCATCTGAGCTACTTGTCTCGGGATACGGTGTAATACATGCCTCCATTTTCTTGTACCTAGAGAAGATTAATGGGATTAGAGCCAAAAACTAAAACTTATGGGGTTCGATTTATGAACAAAAATGAGGGCTAATGTAACAAATGATACACATACCAGACATCGTCGGTATCATCAGTTTTGCAGAAGTTGGCTCTAGGATCATCTTGTCTTGAACGGCATGCCTCGTCGTTGACTCTCTTCTGCCAGATGGCGATCTCGCCGTGTTCATACTTCTTCTCCCAGCAAAGAAGCTTGGCAACTTCCTCAATCTTTCTTTGCTCCTCTTGAAGATCCTCCTTGGGACGTTGCCATGCCTTGTAGTTTGTTTTCCAGTTAATCGGAGGACCAGACAGGATCCAGTAGCCTCCCGGTCTAAGCACACGGTCAACTTCCATCAAGTACATCCCATCTGTTAAAACACCAAAACACCCCATTGAGACTTGAGCAAAGGAACCGATCATTTTCTCTAGGTGCAAGATGTTAAAGAAGTAGAAAACTTTTCTTACCATTTGCTCCCCATGGAATCAAACAACGAGAGCAGTGAGCCATGTCGAAAGCCCGTGTTGGGTATGGCAGCTTTATGGTGCCAAGAACACCAATAACAGCAGGAACACCTCTCTCTAGAGCAAATTGGACCTGAGCCTCGTGGGAATCTCTTGGTGCAAAAGACATTGCTCGCACGTTTCTGCTCCACAAGTACGCTCCCCAACTCGCAACCTAACCAAAAAAACGTTTCAATTTAGCTCCACAATGTAACTAATGATGAATATCAAACACAAGAGAGAATCAAAACATGAGATCTTACCCCACAACCAGTGTCCAAAGCAGTCCTAACAGTTCCATTCTCCATAGGTATCACTGAAGCAAGCTGATCGATATACTTATCAGCACCTTGAGGGAACTGAGTTCCACCTCCAGGGAATCTGAAAACGTCACCTTCATACTGAATCCAGTTCTGAATAGCCTTCTCAACGGTCAAGGCTTTATACGGGGCATTAGCATAAGGCACATAGTCTCGACTCTTGGGCCAAGAGAAAGGTGTCACGTATCCTTTAGGCGCCGGTATAAGGCAGTGCAGCTTCTCCTTCTCGGGAGCGCAATGCCTTTCACGGTAAATCATACTATCTCTCGGGAAAGTCATGGCTCGCCTCTGGTCTTGACACGGAGTGTAGTCCGTGTAGCGAGCGTCGCAGGGCTCGAAAGCCTTGGCCTTTGCTGCCTCAGAGGCACCAACGATACTCGACTCGCCTGCGTGATGAGTCTCGAAGTTCAAGCTCGGGACGATGTTGCAATCAGCTCCACTGTTTGTCATCTCGAGAGCAATACTGTCTCCTTTACCGAAACCGCTTCGTTGCCATGCTCCAAGAATGTAGAAGAAGCAGCATAGACTAAACACAATGAAGATCTGAACAGAGCTTCTGGTTTTACCATCAGCAGAACTAGACTTCAACGCCATAGTTTATATCTAACCAAAAAAAGTCATGTAACACTCAGATCAGCTCCAAATTCAGATCAAGAGCACACAATATTCAGATCAAGAGGACAAAAGTGTGAAGCTTTAGATTTCAATTAGCAATCAAGACATTAAGAACAGATCGAAATCAAGACAGTTATACTAAGATTATTTAAACAAGATCAGATACATGTGCATGAGTGCATCACATTCGTTAATAGTGCTGTCTTCAGAAAGAAGCAAAATAAACCATTCTAAACGTAATTAACAAAGATCCGTAAGATTAACGAAACCATTAAGAGATCCAAACACTAACTCTTTATCTACACCAGACACACTACTCTGTAACTAAGGATATTAATTACAAAGGGAATATTAACAGATTGAGCAATGTTTAATTGATTAAAAGTTACCCCGATCTGGCGAAAAAGAATTAAAAAAAAAAAACCAAACACACGGAGAGGGGAATTAGAAGTAGATTTGTCGGAATGAATAAATAAGAACATACAGAGATAGAACGAATCTGGGAGATCCACTGTTACAATTGGCTAATTAGAAGAAATAATAGTCCCGAGATTGTTGTCGGTGGATGGTGATTGATGAAACGTGTAAGATAGCTTGTGGAAAACCCTAGTTTCTGTGAATGGTCATCATCTCGCCATGGGATGAATGTATAAAAGGAGAGAAAGAGGGATAAAGCTGGCGATTTTGTTTTTCTGGGAGAAATCTAATTTGCCCTTTTTAAAACAGAGCCATAGAGAAAGAGAGAGAGAAGGGGAACTGTGTAGATCAAATCGACGTCTAATAATTTTATTTCTATTTCGTATAAAAACAATTTAACCTAAAATCGGCGGAAGAATTATAAAAGCAAGAGAAATTTGAGATGATATATATAAATAAATAAATAAGAAAAAAAAGTTTGAAAAGAAAAGCTGATTTCTTTCTTTAGTTGATTACTTGATTATAATTATAATTGTTTTGTTTCACACTTTTTCACTTTGTTCATACTGGTTTTAAGTAGCTTTTTTGTTCCATCCAGAATGAAATATATATATAGGAGTGTATATAAAAAAAACATTTCAACAAAGTTAATGCATAATTAGGAAAGAATAATAGAGGATAAACTCTCGAGAGTTTTCATTTTTGTCGGCACAATTGAGAGAGATTAGTTGTTACGCTTTGGCGTAGTGACTTTATAAAAATCATAGCTAATTAATTAACTGATTAGGGAAAAACATACCTCTGAACATGGGACCCACAGTCTGTAGAAAAAAGAATGCGATGTTGCAAAACCGCGTTGTAATTCCTACCGCCAATGAATAATGATGATTAGCGTTTGGATCCAACGGCTGTAGACAGCTTAAGATTTTTTTTTGGTATTAATGTTAAATATTGGATTATCGAATTAGATAGAATGTACAATAATTTAAAAATAATTGAATTCTAAGTAATTTAAAATATTTTGTTGGAATTAAAATTAATTCTATCAAAATCAGAGTAAAAATGGTAGGAATTAGTTTTTTATAATTTTTATGTAAGATTCCATTAAATTCCTTCCAAATGATAATAGAATCAAAGTTATTACAAAATTGAATAAAACAGATATTTAATAGAATTAGAGAATTAGTATATTAAATAACAATAGTATTTAAAGGATTTTGAAAGAATAAATAGAAATCATTAATCCAATAACACATATATTTAAAAAAATTGATAATATATATAATTGAATAACACTGATATTTAATAAAATTTTCTATTCCCTATAATTCAATCCAATTTCTGAATCCAATACCCCCACGTAAGACTATTTTTCCAATGTAAAATGTAATAAATACAGGTTCTTTTGTAGTAGTAAGAACATCTCTAATCTATTGATATTTTTTCTTCTACTTTTAGATGAAAAAATAGAGGTGTCATTTTTGTTCTCTAATTCACCTCTATTTTAGAGGAAAAAATAGAGATGCTACTTTTTCCTCCAAATATAGAGGAAAAAATAGATTCCTTTATATTTTCCTCTAAAATATAGGTATTCTTTTAAAATAGAGGTGGATTAGAGAGAAATCTACATCTATTTTAGAATTCTTCTATTTTAGAGGAAAAAATATCAAAACAGATTGGAGATGGTCTAAATACAAAGCATCGTCCACTTACTTTGGCTTAATGTTGATAATTAAATCGAAAATGTTAATAGTTAATCATGCACATATATACATGTTAAAACATTCGGATTAAGTCCATAACCTCTACGTAGGATGGTGATCCGAACGATTGATCAATTTCCACTGGTTAAAAATAGAATGATGCCCAAATTTC